AGGGGCTACAGGTCTGGTAGTGATTTCTGGTTAGGATACTAGTTGGGGGTGGTGTTGGCTTGCCACCGGGACGCAATGCTGTATAGGCGCAAATATCTTTAGGGTAGTATCACAAACTGTGACTAAGCAAGGTAGATTTTGGATAGCCCGGAATTCCGAGCTATAGGTAAGTTAGGATTTCACATGATGCACACTAGTGCACCATAGGTTATTATGTTTACCTGTTCGTGACTCACAGTTGTGAGTCACATGATGTTATGATTTTCGCATATGACTCAATTTATGAGTCATGGGTTTCACTCAGGTAATGTGAGTTGCACACCTGACTTGGTTATTATGTTTTGATTGGTTTGAAGTATGTTGCGCAGCAACTCATAGGGGTTGGCTGATGGATTTCACATGACTCATGGTTATGAGTCACAGGGTTCGCATGATGCGAGGTATGAGTCACGCCAGGTGAAGAACTACTATATAAGGGATCGCTAGGACCCCAAAGTATTAGTTCTTCACACATTCTTCTTGTTTATTTCCTACCTTTAATGTTATTACAATAAAAACCTACCTTTACGCTCTTTAAGATTTATCTTAAGAAACTCAAAAACTATCTTTCCTCCCAAGCGAGAACACTATTTCTCCTCCCACGTCGAACAACTAAGTCCTAAGTGAGGACTTAAGAAGATCAGAGGAATAGGCGTGATAAGATAGAAGTCGGAAGGACTTAGCTATCCACATCATGTAGGCATTGGCCTAAGAACTATTACCTCGGTACACATTAAGAATTGTTACCTGTTGCACCCCTGCACCCGGTAGGATTCTTAACTGGTGGAGTCTAGTGTTTCATGAATAAAATACGCTAACTATACTTGCGAGATCGTCACGACGGAGACAATAACTATAGCCCTCGGGAAGATTTACGAGGAATAACTCAGGAGGAACAAATTGGGGAGTTGGGACATTTTCTTCGCAGCCCGGAAATTCTCCAACATAAAGAGTTGGATTTGTACCATTTTCTTAGGAGCGCTTCCAAGATGTGGCGATTCTCCAAAAGCTGTGGAAACCTTTTCTCAGTAATCCCCTCTCCCATTGATTTTATTCCCCCTAGCTACAATTCTAGCTACAATTTTAGGATATCTCTAGACGCATCTTATTTATCTTATTACATATGACCCGCTATCCTTCTCCCAATCTTCGGCCCGTTCCGAATTATCTGGTATTAGCTATCCAGCTATATCGGGCTGAAAAGAGCCTCCAAGGAGCGAGGTCTGAGCACTCCTTATCGATGAGGTTACAACTCGCTCCACAGGGTTTCTTTTCCTTTCTTTTCCTTTCACGGTTACCGCGAACGCGATTTCCCAGCGCACGTGAGAGCAGTGCGGGATTCGGGAACCAGAGAAGGGATCGCAAACGCCCACCCGCATATCATAGAGTGAGCCGGAGCGGCGCGCGGTGGTTGCGTAAAAGGTGAACTGTTTAGGAATAAACAGCAACCCCCACCCCCAATCTATGATATATCTTGTGGGCGTTAAATTTACGAGTACTGTGCCGGTATATCTCAGATAACTACCCCCCCGGCAGATTTAGGCCTCTAAGATCGTTCTCTGGGCATTCCGAGAGCATTCGCTTAGGGGGCGGGATCAGATGCACATTGATTGATCACCCTGTGGATGATTTCCTGAACGAGTTCATTTTCGCGTGAACTGCCGTTGCGCTGTGCTCGTACGCACAGGTGGATCTTGGGACCTTGCACGAGCGTTAGGATCGGTTTATCAAGTAGGCAGGCGGAACGTAGGGGTGCACCCGTGAGAATGTGATACGGTATGATAGCACTCGAGGAGTGTCGGGATGTGATCGCAAAGTTTCGCAATGGATCAAACGAGTTAGCCTGGCCCACAGGGAGCGATTAGGCTCTACCGTCATACATACCGGCATGACACCTTACCGGTGATTTGAATTGTTTTGATGATATCTGGATCGGATGGTATAGTCTAAGCGTAGGACTGATGTATGATACGATACCGGCAAGTCAAGACAGACCAGGATGAGGAAGGAGGCCAAGTCGGTTCCGCCAAAGTCCCAAGATCCACGTCACGGATTTCCAGATTTCGGGTTCAAAGTCCTCCCCCGGCCCCGAGGATGGGGGGAAATCATGGGCAGCCCCAGGTGTCCGGGTAAACCCGAAGCTGTCCCGAGAGTGCGTGCCTCACTGTCAGGTACTGAGTACCGGTACCCGCACGCTTAACCCACCGGTGCTGGCACGAGTCCAGTGATTACTAAGGAACTGTTTGGTAACACGGCAAACCATGGTTTTGAAACCACGGCTGGCAAACTGACCAATGATAGGGCCTGGATATGCTAGTTTTAAGGCCTCCTATTGAACTTGCTAACTACCGGTATGGTTTCGGAGCCATGGTCTGCCGTGCTGCCAAACAGCCCCTAAGTTATAGACGGCGGGAACACGATACGGCAGCCCAACCCCCCCCGCGTCAACTGCCCACCTCCCAGTTGCACATCATACCGTACCAGAAAAAAGGATAAAGGTGTGCCGCATCGTTCCGTATAGTGGGGTTATGGTAGCTACCGCAGCCTAACTTGAACCTTCAACGGGAAACATTTGATGCTGTGAGCCAATGTGCTCGAGTACGAGTACAGTACTACAGGGAGAAGGTTAAGGGCGTTTGACGCGCCACGACATAAAGATATGCCATAGAACTCGGGAAAATACCATTTTTCTGGCGTGCCAACCAGGCCCTACCGGTAATCCTCTCCCGGAGGAGTGAAGCGAGAATAATGGCACGGCATGCGTGCCGGCATTCAACGTGCCGAAGTGCCGAGCGAGGATACAGTACAGTACTGTATCTGTAAAAAGCTCGCTTACCATACTTGCGCAGTGCAGGACTACAGTACTCGAGCACTCGAGTAGACTGGAAGGTAGCTGGTCCGAAGAACTTAATCTTGTCCTCAATTCGTTGTTTAGGTTAAACTAGCGACTGTTGTGGATGATGCGGGTATCATACGGCAGACATAGCGACACCTTGATATCATAGCTTTTCTGTAGCCGTTGGCTCGGCTGCTGTGACTTCCCTGTCCGGGTCAGCGAATATGATGGGTTACTCGGGCGCCCGCAAGAGATTGCCGGGTGGGGCGGAGCGGAGCAAGGGTGAGGTCCAGCGCCGTACAATACCGTGTGCTCTTACAATGCAGTGCGCAGGGATGGGACCGCGGTCGAATTGCTAAAAAAAGGGGACAGAGTTCCAAGCCGGGATAATGAGATGGATGACCGGGATGTTTCACCCTTCTTTCCATTCCTACATTCTATCTGCAACCACCCGTTTCACTGGGCGATCTTCGATGTCTCTACACGAAATCAATACGGTACTCGAGGGCAACCGCTGCGGACGGTTCTGCGATACGCAGAGGAGGGTAAAGATAGTGAAGATTCCTTTGGATAACAGTGGTAACGAGAGTATCAAAGGAAAAAAAGTGGATGGCAGTGGCGATGGCATATTTCGGTGGTTTGGGGTACCGGTATTAGCATAAATCAGATATATGACCCATGATATAAAGGCAATAATATAGGTCTTGGGACCCTCTAAGGCTGTCCCTTTCCCGTTTCACTAGGACTAGCGGCGAAAACCTTTTTCACTGCACATTGGTGGCGTCAAGCACTACTGTAGCAATTCCCCGACCAGCAACCCCCACCGACATTTCGGACCATGGCCTGTGCATACCGCCCAACACTTGATATTCCCGACCGAAGTTCCTAACGATCACACACACCCACGATACAGTGCTCACCCTCCTGTGCCACCCGTACCCAACTCAGCTAATCCTTGGGGAAGGGCCGCAGACCGCGGTACACCATCACTGTTCCACAGAATAGGTCGAAATTGTGCCTTCATTTCCTTTCATCTCCATTTCTTCTTAGGAGGAAATAAGTTTGTTTTCCTCGGCAACACCGGTGCATCAGGGAATACAATAGCCTAGAGTACCGTCTCCTACTTGTATTGTGTGTTGTATGATCGACGTGGGGTTATTGTCGAGGCTCTGCCGGAACGGTACCCATTGTCACCACCCAAAGGGCATGACTTCAATCCGCCGACTTGAGTGAGGGGGATCCTACGGCAATCAGCAAAAACTGTGCCGGTGCTCGTAAGGCAGCATTACGGCACTTTACGTTTCTGGGCACGGATGCAACGGAAGGTCCAGGGATTCCTTCCAAGACGGACAAACCAAATGAGCCAACGCCTGCTTCTTATTTTCTTCTTTCTTGATGAAAAAGCCCGAACCAAGGGAACCAAGACTCTTAACTCATACGGTATGGTTGAAATATGACGGGATTATCCCGACATGAGGAAGTTTACGGGCGCAAGCACCGCTGCTGCAAGAATAGATAGAGTGCAGTATTTGTCTTGCATTTGATGGACCATGATAAGATGGCTTTATGGCTATGGCTCCTTGGCCCTTCCGCTCTCACGGACTGGCAGTACAGGCAAGTGTTTGATACCATCCTATCTATCAATCAATCAAAGGTCTTAGCCTTAAGATAATTCGTTCGGAGTACACACCACCGGCTTGGGATAAGTCAAATGAAGTTATCCTTGAGCGCAATCAAGTTATGGTGCATATCAGTGCAAAAACACCAGAACCCGAGGCCCGTTGGACCATGGCTTGGTTTGGGGGCATTTATACCAGAAGTCTAGCCCCCCTCCCCAGCTTCATTCTTGCTTGCCCCCGGATTATTCCTACTATGATACTACTTTTTATATACATTAATCGCTCATGACCTCTTCCTCCTCTTTTCCATCTCCACTTTTTCTGAGCATCGGCCGACGGCGATTTATAAGATTACTTAATCCCGCCCTTTCTTGTGCATGTTCTATGGGTGTGAGTTATAGTTGTTTCGAGAGTTTTCCTTCCTGAGGTAAGGTTTTGCTCTATTCATATTTTATCTCGGGGAAGATACTAACAGGTTGCAATAGCCTACTGTATTCTATTGCATAATGCCAAAGTCAGTCGTAGAGCCCGCAGGTTTAGGATTCAACGCCTATCTTGCGCTTCAAAGGCTGGGCAAGTACCTTCTCAACCCACCGAGACGTCATAAGCGTGCTATTAAGGTTTCGCTATCATTCACAATGGCCATTGCATTTACACTCCCACCGCTCTTTGCCAAATTCCTCGGGACGAATCCATTCTTGCTGGGCACTGTTGTGAGTTTTCCCAAATTCCTGGTGCCAATGATTGTTACCACCATCTTACCAAATGTATTAATATATACAGGCAATCTATCTTTTCCCGCTCAAGACAATTGGCGGTCAGTTAGCATCCACGGGTGTAGGCCTATTGGGCGTTATGTGTGGGCTCGGATATGCGAATCTTGTTCTTCTCTTGAGCCGCTTGATCCAGTCCACAAACGCACACAATATAATCGTTAGCCGCCGCGCCTTCCTCTGGAGTGCCTTTGTATTCCTAGCAGTAGGCTGTGGATATGTTCGGTCTAAATATCCTCGTGCATATCTCGCCACCATTTTCACCATGGTGGTCAACATGTTCGCTCTCATTAATGGGATCAACGACTTCGATGCCTGCTTCAACAACTTCTTCTTCGTCATGGTGTTTGGCGCTTGCGTCTCCCTCGTCGTTTGCTTCCTATTCTGGCCGGAAGATCACTCGCACAGGCTCCGCGACGACGTCATTGCGGGCTTGCGAGAAGCTCAGAACGTTATGCAGTCTTTGCGGCGCGCTATGGAGTTCAGCTTCGGCCAGGAGGCTGATATTGCTGCTTTCAAGGAATCACACGTCAATATTTCAGCTACTCTTGAGGAGACGAACTATGAATTGTCGGTCACGAGGGTCGACCCAGCTGTGTTTGTCCCATTGAATACATCAATTGCTCGGATGTTATCCTTGGCTAGAGCCTTCAATTCCGCAATGCGGAGGAGACACAGACTTCACACTCATATCCACTTCCGCTTCGAGGATCTTGCGGATAAAGAATTAGGCATTTCTACCGCCACTCCTTGTGAGGGGGCTGGGCCAAATTCCATGAACTCCAAATTGGCGTTTGAGCTAGCCTTTGCTAGCGCTTTCGAGCTCTTCGGTGACATGACTCTTCGTATCGAGGAGCTCTACAGCGGGAAAGAGATTGTCTCCACGATCGAGTATGAAAAGCTCGCCAACAGGATCGATAACATCCGCGAGAAACTTGTTGCCGAGGTCGAGCTACGGACGGTATCGGGACCCCACGAGTTGGAAGGCGCAGCTTTCATGGACCAAGTGAACACTGTGCTCCTGGACATGCTGGAAGTCGTCAAGGATACCGCACGGGCAATTAGTTGCATTGAGAAGCGGAGAATTTCTCTCGTCCTGCCCAGGAAACTCTATACTGGTAAGCCCCCCTCCACCGGAACACCCGAGACGCCTATGATCTAAGACAACGATGCATGTCCAGCAGAGGAATCGAGCGAGGACGACGACTCTGCCCGGCATGCGGTGAGCGAAGGAGACCATGGACTAGTCTTACTACTGGGATCTACATCCGCACTGGACCGTTTCCGGATCTATCTGGCCGATAAACTCCTCGCATTCCGCGGCTCTCGGCACATCAAATACGGCGCCAAGTTCGCCGTGGTCATGGGCGTTATCTCGCTACCAACGTACATATCCGACTGGAACGTGTGGTCCAAGGACCTGCGCGTGGAATGGGCACTCATTTCCGCCATGCTGGTGATGGAGACAACACGAGGTATGGCCTTCCGCACCGTGGGGATGAAGCTCGCAGGCGCAATAATGGGCGGGTTGGCGGCCTTCCTGGTAATGCAGGTGGGCCAAGGCGTGATATACGTCACCATAGCTCTCTCATTCCTCACAGGTCTTGGAGTCGGTCTCCTCGTGCAACACCCCAAGTTCGCCAAAGTCGGAAGGGTGCTCGCACTAGCATACAACATAATCCTGGGCGTTGCGACCATATTCCCGGACCAGGAGACTATCCCCTCAGCTTTCGCCCGTAGAATCCTGACGCTGTTGGTGGGCGGGGCGATAGCAATATCCGTGCACCTAACCCTCTTCCCCTTCCGCTCCCGCAGTGCGCTGACGAAGGCGCTCTCACACTCCCTTGACTGGCTGCACCACCTAGTCTTCGCCATCGAGGCCAGCGGAGAATTCCCCATGCTAAAGGAACGCTTCGACGACATGGTTAAGAAGGCCCGGGGTCGCGTCAACTTTGCAAAGGCTATGCTCCCAGCAACGAGGTACGAAATCTCCCTGGCAGGTCACTGGCCGTACGAGCGCTTCGAGCGCATACAGGAGAAGGTAGTGGACGTAACGGTCCTCATCGTCGGCGAGAACGCGGCAGAGCCCGCCATGTCTAAAGTGAGTGGGGGAGGAGGGGGAAAGCTAAGACTGAAACTCCTAGCCTCCCTCTGCAACGACCTGCTAGTCATCTCGCACGCGCTCGGCACGCGCTTGTTCATGCCCAGGAACGAGTCGCTGTCGACCTACGTGCTCGATGAGTATCAGACCAACCTCTCCACCAAGATCGCCGACGGCGATCCGTCGTGTCCCTATAGGAGGAATTTCGCCGACTTGGGCAGGCTCGCGGATCTGGTCTATGAAATGAACCTGCTCAGGGAGGAGGTTGATGAGTTGATTGCCGAGACCCAGTGCCCGAGGAAGGGCCTGCTTCCGCATCTGTCGTTTGTTATCAAAAAGTCCAAGCCCTCAACGCCTATGGGGGATGAGGAGTCTACGGGGCAGAGGGGGCTAAGGTGAGCAACTTTGTGGGGACCACGATTCTAGAGTATTTACTATCTTGTTTCTCATTTCATTTTTTGATATTTCCCACTTCTTAGTTTTTGCTCTTTTTTCCCTCCTTTTCCCATGTAGTATATTGTACTTATTATCGTTTTCCTATCACGTCTCACGCCGCATAAACAGCCCCGGTAACTCGAGCACTGGTACCACCTCTAACTGAAGAAAATTCTGCTCTTGTTTTTTTCAACCCTGTCTACACGGGTGGACGAGATGGAATGGAATGGATAGACAAAAGTTGTAATATCGGGCTCCATATTTCCTCTTCATAACGGCAGTTGGGGGGCAAAAAAAAAGGGTTCGGTAATAAAAAACGGGGGGGGGTTCATAACTGTCACGAATGGGTGGCTATTCCCATCTTTATTTCTATTTGAGCATTCTGGATCTGCGTTCCGATTTCTTCTCCCTGGAAGCATCCGGAGTGTTATTGAAAGTATTCACCCTTGGGCTACCGTACTGTAGTAGCCAAATATTCCAGCAATTCTCCACTTGCCGATAGCGAGCCAAGCCACCGGTACTGTACTCTACAGCACCTTACCTTACCATATAAGTACCGTGATGTACTGTACAGTACCGTATCTTCCTTAAACCAGTTATCGTACCAGCGCCATCGATTCACTCCCAGCGCCGCCCGTGGTGTCTACCGTACTGCGGTCAAGTCCAGGGCTCCGAGACACCCCCGGACAGCAACGCATTGAAGCACTATACCCGACACATCTCCCACCCGCAACCTACAAGTCTATTTTTCAAGCACCCGGATACCTTGGCGCCGAGACCGGAAGCCGAAGTGCCAAGGCGTCCGCATACTCTACGGAGTGGAAGCCCGCGAGTGCCGTAAACCACACTCTCGGCACTCAAAACATTTTCGCCCCAATACGGTAGAGCACCGTACAGTACAGTACCGTATCCTAGTATCATACAAACTTTTGGGTAAAAGCGAGCGAGCAGGGATTAGCTCTCCCCCTCCTCCTTCCTTCCTTCCTTCCTTCCTTCTTTACAAGTACATATCATACCGTAAAAATAAAATAAAAAGCACCTTGAGATTCGCTATCTCCGTAGGAGTCCCGAGCACCCATCCCCGTAAATCACAACTTCAGCCCCTCGATAAGGTCCGGTTCCGCAAAGTTAAGGGAAGTGGGAAACCTAGAGATTGCCGTCCAGGACGAGTTCAAAGTAAATTACGGCACCCGGGATTACAGTACTCGTACCGTGACATTTATCTCTGAGCCGTGCACGAGATTAGCGAGTGAGGGGAGGTGGAGAACCTCAAGGTTTTTTTTTTTTTTTCTACCGTACTGTAGTACTGTACTAGTACAGCCACTTCTACCGTAATAAACGGATCATGTGCCATGTAGTCCAGAATTTCCTCCTCTGGAAAAAGGGGGGATAGGCACTACTCGTACCGTTACAGTATGAGACCGGTAAAAAGTAAAAATAAAAAATAAAAACACCGGAGTTAGAGACGAATATGGTACCGGTATGGAGGATTAAAAAAAAAGGGAAAATACCCGACTTTACCCGGAGAGGTAAGTCTAACGTCCTGCCACATGCATGTTTCTTGCTGTAAGATTTACCGGCGATTTTTTTAGTTCATCTACTTCTCCCCCCCCCCCCCCCACACACACACACATACGGTACCGTTACCAGTACGAGTACTTGTATGATACTGTGCGACCTAGCAACACTTATGATTTCACTTCTTCGCGGAGAATTACAGACGCAAGCATAACACAGTACCGGTAAGCCGTCGTCTGGAAAAAGGAAAAGAAAAAAAAGCGAAGGTGTGGTGGTGCGGTTAGGGGACCCCTAGGTCTCGGAATAATAATACTCGGAAGCTTGGTGATTAGTTGGTTTGATGGTTGAATCGGCCAGGCTCGATGATGGGCTGCGGAGATGGATGGGGTCGTCGGGAACCGTTACTCGTAGATGCCCATATTCTACTATCATATCTCCGCTAGTTGTATCCCTTGTTATCCTTGTTATGATAATCTCCGAATTCTGAGACAAAATTTCTTCCCCTCACCACCCCCCTCCGCCAGAGGAGATTTTTAGTGTTTTCCTGGCACGGTACTGGTACCGTATCTGCCCGGCCCAGCCCAGCCAGCACGCTAGATATGTAGGCGCCTAGACTATGTTGTAGCCACCAGGGGATCGAAATTACATCATTGCGATTTTGACCCTTGTCACGCTGATGATTATTATACTGTATTTGCATTTTAAGTTACTTGTAAGATGCCTGCCGGGAACAATTTATGGAAAGGGACATGGAGCTATTGAAGAGGAGGAGGAGGAGGAGCAATTGAGTTACATATAGAGGGTTATCCCATTCCCATGTCTTGTACTTGTACACACTACTGTACGATAGGATTGGAAACTTTTACAGTACAAGAGCCAAGTATCGGGTCGGGTATTATTGATATTGCTGGACAGATCTGTAAGTCTATAGACTAATTAGTGAATAAATAAATAGCATCCTCTTAGCCGGTACGCGTACCGGTATTCTGAATCCTTTTGTTTGGCTTTCAGGATTTTATCAGACCTGTTCGTAGGCCGGCGGGGCGGTTTCCACTGATCCGCTGGTGGGTTACGACAATAAGGGCTTTTGGCGCTATGCAGCGCCGAGAGTGCTGTGGGGGTGGATCACATGTCAGGACGGTGTGGAGTATCATACAGTACAGGTATGATACCCACTACAAGACCCTACGGTAGACGAAGGGGGGGGGGGATGATATTACATATTCATTCCTGTACAGTACATACCGCTACCGTACCGGTTATTGCTGCGGTGCTGGAGATGCGCACGGCCTTCCGCGCAACGGGTTGGCACTACGGCTAGATCTCCACCCCCCGGCGCTCGCTCCCGCAAACTGCCGTGTGCTATCCTTCCTACTATACCCACAGACATGCTTGGCTTTTTCTCCATTTTGTCTCCTCCAGGGTATCTGTTCACACCGTGGAGGCTTGGCGGTATTAGGGTTCTCTATGGAAATGGGACAGGGTGGAAGGGAGTGTGAAATACGGTACTGTAGATGAAGGTGCCCTGCATTTTTAGAGCGAGTTGCTTGCACTTCTGGGCCGGTATGTTGCTCCAGATATTCCTGCCTTTGTCAACCAATGGTCCATACATTCCAGTGGGCGGGAACATCCCCTCCCGTACTCTTTTGCATTGGCGTGTGATTGCGATGCTAGTATGTGCATATCAGTGGCTTGGCTCGCTATGGTTCTAAGGCTTGGGGAGTGTTTGGCCGTTTAGAAGGTGGTACCCGCATGATGATAGGGAGATTGGGGGTCGGAGGGGGTTGCCGAGACGGTGCAGAGGCACGTGCATACTAACGCTGGTGATATTCTGCACGGGCTTGGTACTGCTGTTCAAATAGGATATACATAGTAAGGTTCTTAGCACTATGAGTACAGCCATATGGCCGTAACACGTTCTAGGACTGGGTTCTGCTTGTTGGGTGTGTTACAGTGGGGCACCACCAAAACTAGCGGTGCAGCCAAACTCTTCATGCATGGCCTTCAGTTAGGCACAGATCGACCGCCCGTCCATCTTCATCCTAGTCTGCTGAATACACTGTGGGAGTCACTTCCCTGAACGGGGCTCAACAATTGCTGTAACGTCTGTCCTACAGGTCGCTAGTTCTTGCCTGAAGGGTTAAATATCCCTATCCACATCCACCCAGGCATTGCGAGTCTTTCGAGTTTATGGCAGGCCCCCACTTCCATTCCCTCCCGCATTAGCGAGCAGGAACCCTCGAGTGCCGTAGCTTTCGGAGGCTCCCCGCAAGCTCTGCTGCGGCTAGCCGAGACTTGGATACTGCTGCTTGCTATCACGTGGTGCAGTAACTGGCGCTGTCGAGCTCATCCCGGATCAACCTGTCCTGTCTTTGAATTCCCCGGATTGTCCTAGAGGTCACGACTCTGTGAACCATAGGCTCTCTTCTCTTCCCCTCGGCTGGCTACGCTACCTCAATCCGTGCTCGGCGTCTCTAGGGGCGGTGATATAAATTTTGACAATAATGCCCTTGCCAAGGGCCATGAAACGGCCAAGCTATAAGACCCGCACTACACAAGCCGACATTACAACCTACCAAGACGGCTAAAGGCATATCCCCCGGTTCGGTAGCCTGTGCCCTATCAACGCTCTCGGGTGCGCCGTGCGAACTCACATAGGAAAAAATGTTGTCTCGGCGTCGCCACCTCATCTCCCAGTAACATCATTTCGTCCAGCTAGCGCATTCCCCCCCCTCCCCCCAATCCCTATCCAAACAGGAATTTGAAATCGCCAAGATACCACCCCCGATACGGTATGGGATTCTGCCCGGCACCACTCCTGTGGGCTTCACGGGAGATGAGATATCCAGTCCCAGCGCCATAAGCCCGTCAGCAGCATAGTAGAAATTTTCCACAAAAGCAACCCCGTGAATACTGCATAGCCCCTTTGAACTAGTTGCGCCCTTACTTTACCGTGCTGGCCTCTGCACACCGGGTCATTAACTATCGGTACGGTTACCTGTTCCGTCGGCGCGGAATGATCACGGCCGATCACTCGCTACTAAGTACCAAGATTTCCTTGGCTCGCTTCCATGTCCGCTGTTGACAGGTGGCATCGCGGGCTAGATAGGGAATTACTATTGAAAATCCACGCAACTTGGGTTGGCGTTGCGCTTGTTTTCCTAGAATCGGGGGAGGTATTTGCGTCCGGTGGTGGGATTGCGCTGGCAGTCCCAGCTGCGTTTGACACTACCCCTCTTTCCTTCCCGGCGGGTAGTGACTCTTCCGTGCAAGTGAGTGGGTGGAGAGTGCATGGGTTCTCCATAGGCATTTGGTATCATATACCATGTGGTCATTCCCTCGGCCAAAAGATACCCCTTCCTCCCCCCCCCCGGGAGCCCAAGTTTTAGGCTTACGATACGGCAGCAGACTAGAGAAACAGTTCTGTTTATTGGGCTTGGCGGCTTGTACGATCTTACAAGGGGGGGAGATATATGAACGCCAAAACGGGCATTCAGCCCATGAACTGAGGTGGATGAAATTATAATTCCATTTATGACTCCAATCCTGTCAATAAACTTTATATGGAAGCGGACTCGTTGATCCCGCCAGACTCTCATCCGAAACTTTAGAACTTGGTTTGGGATATTTGGGAGAGCGTCACAGCCCCATGACAAAGCATCTATCATATCAACTAACTCATGACACCAAACCACAGTCTACCACACCCAAGCCCCAGCAATGGGAAAGCTCCTTCCAAAACCTAAATCTTCTCCTCCTGCGGATACACCTCCGCCCCCCCTGCCCCCTACCCCCCGACCTCATCCATCAACCTTACCATACCCACCAAAACCTCCAACCCCAAGACCTCATTCCCCTTCATACCCGCCGCCAAGGGGACCTTCTTCCCAACCCTTCGTATCATACCGACACTTCCAAGCCTTCCCAAGCCTCCTTCTCCCTCCCTTTCCTCACGACTGTAAACCCGCTCGGGGAGGGCACCGCGGATCCATGCACAGCCATAGCGGCCTTCGTCCGCTCCAGGCTACTATAGAAAAGTCATCCCCGGCCTTGGCGAACGACGTGCATTTCCAAGACCGCCTGCATGCCCTACTGCGGGTGGGACATCACAATCACGTTTGATAATTCAATTGGTGCGTCGGTGGCTAGCAATCATGCTCGCGGATACGCCGGATGTGCTGGCGGGGGGAGGGGCTTGTGAGCATGTCCCCCCCAATCCAAGGAGTTCATTCCTATATCTAGGAGGGTTGTTGAAGAGCCCAGCGTTGGGCGCTGGGTTCCTCAGCTGGGCGGGCTTGGCGGGATAATTGGGCGGTCGACTTTCTAGACCAGGGTCGGCAAATTCTCTAATCACCTTGCAGATTACATCCCCCCCCGTGGAGGAGTCGGTACTGGGTATTATAGTATCTTATCCAGGCTGCTGTGCATGGGCACTACTAATCTATACCAAGTTACACAATATATGGGTAATGGGAGAGGGGCGTAATACATCACACCCTCCATTATTAAGAAGATACCCTTCTCCCTCGCCGCCTTAACTACCTCCTCGGACTCACGGGGATTGGTACCAATCGTCTCACCGCAGAGGATGTATCATACCTTCCCACTGCAATCCCGTCAAGCGTATCTTTGCGGTGGAATACTCTGGAGTCGCGACGAAGACGCAGTCAGCCTCTAGATCCGCCAAATCGAACCGCATACTCTCGATACCGAGTTTGGGAGGCTCTCTTGGACAATGTTTCCCTTCCCTATATTTCTAGGAGCCGATGGTTGACAATGTCCCCTGTCCCCCTCCCCGGGTCACGGTCCAGAACGATGTCAGGGACGAGCTAGACGGCGACGATATCCTGCTGGTCCCTCCCCCGAACTGCCGGGAAGGAGATATTATAGACACGATAGCGGGTAAAAGAGGTACGATACCAAGGCTTTTCTCCAACGAGCTCGTAGTTTCTCGGCCATTTCCTCCTTTTTCCGGGCTCCAGTTTTTGTTATTTCGGAATATATATAGAATCCCCCGAACCTCAACCCCCGATAATCTACCGTAGACACCGTATCTTTCCACACCGAACAGAAGAGGTAGGGAGGCAGCGCGATCACCAGGTGGAAGTCCTCACCATTACGTCCGCAGTCAACTTAAACTTTTTCCCAGCAGTGACTCAAGCCCCGAACAGACCCCATCCGTTAAAATCTGGTCACATGTCACCTACCAATCAGTTCTCTTTACTTTTTCCCAATATACGGTTTTGGCACAGGATTGGTATATCATTTACTTCAGACCAGTCCAGTACAGTACAGAGCCCTTGCACGTAAACACGGGAGGAAACCTCCTCCCATTCAGAGTCTCTAAGCAAAAATTTGAAACACAAAACTTAAAAAAAAAGTAACTTGATATCGCCATCCGCATAATACGGTATTACCATATCGCTGATTTGTGGCAGCAACCCGAGAGACATATCCTTATCACCGTTCCGTAACAAACCTATTCACACTCTTCCGCCCGTCCGCTAACGTCCGAGCACACATTTCCTACAATACACTGCACCACTTACCCAACCTCCACAGATACCGATCCACCCCCCGGCCCCAAACAGTATCGTGACCAGTCAGCACTCCACGGCATCACATAATCTATAGTGATACCTCCAAGGACCCGACGGGAATCCTTCCCGCTCACCCAACTTGTGGGATGGATCGGTGCGGGGGTTTCCATGGAGTATCTATCAATCGTACACGGTGGGGACGCGATATTGAGATAATGTTATGGTTCTTCTCCCCACGGTTAAGTAGATAAATAAATATGGCGTGTTATCGCGCATTGGTGGAAGAGAGAGGGAGGTGTTTTTGAAAATGCGATTCCAATTGTGGAAAGTTTTTATACGATGCCATAATTATTATGATAATATTATTTATTTATTTTCCTCAAATACTCGCGATTTCCCCAGCACCCCCACCCCCGTCCGCGCTGAAGCGTCTCTCTACGAGTATGATACACCGCTGGGACTAGGCCGAGCGAGTGATTTTCAATGAATATACTGGGATGAGGTCGAGCCTAGCTAGTGATTTGAAAATGGTTCTCATCAACTGCACAGTATGGGCGCTGGAAGAGGCCTGGAAGGCAACCAGCTATAGACGAAAGGTTTGGAAGGGGTAGTAGTAGTAGGTATTAGGGGGGGGGGGTATTATTCGTGATATTTGATGCTAGGCCTTGATGATGGGGAAGAGATTTTGGTTTTGGGGACCCTGTGTAGACACAAATCTCACAGCGAGACTTTCGGGGTTCCGTCCCCGAACTGTGTAGGGAACATCTCCATAAGGTAATCCCAAGATCGTTTTCATGGTATCATGGGACACTTGATTGGTATTGTCTATTGCACCCAATCCTACCTACCACCTAGGGTAAAATTCATCTACAGGCTGTTGAAGCCTGCCACAAAACCCCGGGTATAAGCGTCTATATATACCCCCAAACGACCCCTCTACTCCTTCCAATTCTTCATAATCATCCCAAATAGTTCAAAATCCTCCAACGCATCGCTCACATCCGTCTTGATCTTCCCCCCCTCCCTAACTGCACTATAAAAGCTCTTCAGCTCGAGCGTATATGGATCCTCATACGAGTTCCTAACAAACCTCTCCACAAACTTCCCATCCACATTCTCCCTCACAGTCATGGTAACGGGCAAACCCTTCACGTACGGCGTATCGTACTTTATAAGCACGGACTTGTTCTCAGAGTATACCTCGATATGCGCGTCGAATATGGGGATCTTGTGGAACCCAGATTCGTAGAGAACGGTAAAGTGGCCATAATTGAAAAGAACGTTCCAGACCGGCATGCGGAGTGATGCTCCCAGAGTCGGGTTCTCACGAACCGGCATTCCGAGGATTTCCCGCATGAGTGATAAGTCGTGGGAACCTAATCTACCCTCTGTCAACACCGTCTTGCGTCTTCATCCTTGGCTCCGGCAGCTCACCCAGTCAACCCCCTATATAGCTCAATGCTCTGCTCGGTAACCTGGGCCCCGCATCCACTCAGCTCCTCCGAAGCCATATCCATCGCTCGCCCCGCCCATTCACTTATATCCTCTGGCTTGTAGTCAGAGAACCTCCTCGGGAACGTTCCGGATTGCCCCACGAACGTGCTATTCGGCCCAATTATATCCCTAACCCTAGCGTATATGATATTTTCCCGCCCACCAATCTCCGCGATAGCGTCATCAACGACGGCAGCGTAACGCCGCATGTACCCCACCATGACCCTGCCCTTTGAATGCTTCTCCCCCTCGGCGATGGCCAGCGCATCCCTCTTCGTCAGCGTCACTGGTTTCTCAACAAAGACGTGCTTGTCATGCTTCAGTGCGAGAAGTGCATGCTCAGCGTGGAATTCGTCTGGGCCCAAGATGAAGACTGCGTCGACTGATTGGGAGGAGCATAGCTCTTCTGCGTCTTGTGTCGTGTGGATGGGCTCTTGGGATGGGGTTTTCGAGGCGGCGTGGGAGACAGTGGCGGGAGAGATGTCGCAGAGGTATGTTATTTTGTAGAGTCCTGGCAAGAAGGTTAAAGTTGGGATGTGAACTACTTGGGCTACTTCCCCGCAGCCGATTATTCCGATGTTTATTGGGGAGGGCATTTTGGAAGGGAGTGCCGGTGGAAATTGGATTGATAGGGGATACTGATATATATACATGCGGGGTTTGCTATGTCATAAGATCATTACCGTACTTGTCACAGCACAACACCCGCAAGGGCAATATATGAGAGGGCACTACCGGTATATAATCAGCCACAGTAGCACTACCGTACCGCACTATAAATACACTGCACTTAAATGTCTTAGAAACCGATTACGATCAATGCAATGGCTGGTGGGTTCACGATCGTGAAGCTCATCCCCTGCATGCTGTTACCTCAAAAATATGACTGATATCATAGATTAAGGTATCACAATTCACCGCAAATACGCAAGAGACCTTCCAAGACCGTAGTGAAAAGCCCTATGCTATGCCGAATAGTATACCACTCGTAACTTCATTGGTAACCCTAGAGGAAATAGCGTAACTCCAATAGGGATCCTACGGCAGTATAATAGCCTGAGGAACACAGCACTTTACTCTCTCCGAAGCCGATTAAAATCCCTCCGCCTATCCTAAACCCCCCTTTGAGAGCACCAAACGATCCCCCCGTTTGGCCGTATCTTGGGACATTTTCAAAAAAATTTTGAGTCAAATATTATATAGAACCAAAAAAGAGTATCGCTATATCTTATTTATTTATTTGTTCCCCCGAACCCAGTGAAGAGTTTACGAACGGAACAGAAAGCACAACACAAATTAACTCCCAGGCTCCGTCCGAACAGGAAATAAAATAGTAAAAGAAAGCGGTATTCAGAACAAAGCACCGGTTGAATTTCAACCAATGTACGTGAATGTGATTCTAGCGGAATCTAGAGACAATAACAGCGATGATAAGCAACACCAAGACGGTTATGATCGCAATAGTGATCATCCGGTTGGTAGCCATCCTGAGGAATTATGATTGTCAGACGACGCAGCACTAAATGGGGAATCAGGCGTCAGGGTTCATACCTACGTGCCATACCCCTCAAGGTTTTAATACTTCTATCCAGAAACCTTTCACTATCGTTCAAGGTATTATGGGTATTCACAATCTGTTCTCTCTGTCTCCCAAGATCACCCAGAATGGAAGCACCGATTTCCTCGGTTTCGTTTGCGACACGTTGCGAATCCCTAAGTCGCTGCGAAGATCTTTCTAACCGATCGGTTCCAGAGAGTAGCTGTTGTCGCTGGTCAACCACAGCATCCCCCGAACCGGATTTCGAGCGAGCTCCAAAGAGAGCATCACGGTCGATGTTTTGGGCGTGTTTAACAAGCGAGTGGCGGGAAATATCGAGGTCGTGGGCATAATTGCGAAGGCGGGGTTTAATCTTGGATCTCTGGGCGGAGGGAATATTATTGATCTCCAGGGACATTTGGCCGAGCTTCTCAACTGTTAGCCATCGAAAATAGTCTTAGGGCGGGTAGCATAGAAGGTAATCCACAATTTCATCGGCCTCATCAACAGCTCTTTCGGCAGCACGAATAGCCGCTTTGCGCGGCTCCCCAGAAAGCTCAGGTATTTGATCAAGCTTCTGAGTGATGTCTGCTCGGACAAGCTTGAAATCAGCCTCGTATGAGGCGAAGAGCTCCGAGCCAGGATCAGAATCGAGAGCGTTCGACATATTTATGATCTAGTGACGGCGATGACGATTAGTACAGTACCGAAGGTTGCTAGATAGGTTGACTCCTCCAGCTCAACCCCGGTGATGCAGGGGATGGATGAGGAGCACCGGTAAAGTTCCTGAAGATTTACCTGATATGAAATCTCAAAGCTTGTAGCTAAAGGACTGAGTGTGGGGCGGTAAGGCGGGGCAGAAATAGAAAGAAAAGACAGAGTGGAAAAATGCTTGAGAGGAGGTTGGTGATGGAGGGGATTGAATCGAGGGCTGGTTTTTGGTGCCTCGGTAAGCATCACATCCTCACTGCCACAAAGCCCTTGGCTCGTTCCGACTTGGTTTAGCCTACCCAACAGAGCCCAAGGATCCGGGAACAATGAACAAACACCATAATTATCATACGAAAAACATATCTCACGCACAACAGATTGTTCTAAGGCCCTATCTATATATCACGGAAAACAAAGAGTTTAACGCAGATTCTAACGTTGATCCTTACGCCTATCCAGGCCCCAGGTCTTCCCCTGAAGATCCAAGGCTCTTCTCTGGCTGGCCCGAGCCTTCTGTGGGCTGAAGTCATTGCCCCCCAGGGGTTCGTGCCACTATATTCCTATAAATTTACGGTTTTGATACGGTATCCTCCAGACGGAGAATTTCTCGCTGCATTCCCATATCCCTTGATTTCACTTTCCGATGGTGCCCTATCGCTTTCCTCCTATCATAAGGGGCGGAATCCCTCCCCGCTCGACTTGGTCCTATGAACCCTCTCTATCCATACGCACGCATCCGTCTATCCCGTCTATCCCGGTCCACCTGTGAAGGAAATAAATATAAAATCAATCATGTCCCCTTTCTCGCTGCCTACCACTGCCCCCTCACCTCATCCCGCGAAAAAAAAAAAAATATCACCGAAGAAAGTTGCCACAGTTGGGAGCGGTGTTCCTAGCTCTGCTGCTCTTCGGTCCCTTTAGAATAGCCCTGATCCACCGGAGGTCCACCTGTCCGAGGCGGGTGGTTATATTGGAGACCATACGGATGCTGTGCCATTTACCTATAATGGACAATCTACGATAGTTGATACGGGATTTATAATAATGAATAGTGCTACATACCATTCGTTCCACCCCTCCGACAGCATTGCGAACACGAGCTAACATTACGCCTGCTGTTTGTTTAGAAAACTTTCTATCCTTCCCCAAGTGCATAGATGTTACCCTTGTTTCAACGGTGATGAAATTCGGTGTTTCCCGGAATGTCGGTGCCTTCGGATGGTCCGGCACCAATCTGTCATCCATCTTTGCTTAACGTGCAAACTTATTCGGGCCGAGCATGTGGCGTATGTTGTTTGATATAATCTGTTTCAACACCTTCGCCATAGATCTTCTAGGGAGGAAAGAGATGAATGAAGAGTGCGAGGACGAAACTATCAGAGCATATCTGGAGAGGGAAGGTCCCCAAGCATTCAGGGATAACCACTTAATCCCGATGACGACCACCGTGTGGAATACCAGTCCAGACAAATGCGCCCCAGAGCTCCCAGCAGCCACACTTGTGAAATTTCACGCACGATATCTGTCCCTCCCCACGACCACGCCAAACAGTACTGGCAGTTGACAAGGTGGAACCACCACCTTTTAAATACTCCCCAGCAATGCCTAAATGAATTACCATTCAGGGCGGATCCAAGCAACATGCTGGTGCAATAATAAAGGCTTTCCCAAAGGATCGCATCCATATATCCACCAAAGTTACTAGAATTCATACAGCTAACGGAAAGATGACTTTGGACCTTTCAGGGGCAACATATGAATATGGCCATATTATCCTTGCAATTCATGGTGACCTGGCCCTCCGACTCCTAGAGAGTCTGAAACGCCATTGGAAACGGATATTCTCTTCTTGCTTTCAAACAACCCTCAATACCGCTGCGCTTCACTCTGATACATCTGTGCTTTCTCCCCTCCTCCCCCCAATATAAACTAACACGATTCGAAGTTCAGACCACAGAGCCGCGTGGTCCGGACAGCGCAGAACTCCCCGGCGGCCCCGATCTCTACCTCTCGAAATACTGATAAGGTTTCTTTAACCTATAATATCAATATTCTCCAGCACATGCCAACTTCCAAGCACTCGAGCATCCCGGTAATTTTCAACCCACTCACACCGTCCGGATCACCCAAAGTGCAGGATGAATATGCCTATAGACATCCTCTGTCCACCCCTCAGACTGTCGCAGCTCAAATCAAGCCGGCGGAAATACAAAACAAGCGTGGAACAAGCTCTGCGGGAGCATGGACCAATCATGGCTTCTACGAAGACGGGTTCACATCCGGGCTAAGGGCAGGTATGTCCCTTGTGGAGTCGTGCCCCGGCATGGCGGTGTATCCGGTGCAAAGTGCATTGGAGGAGGCGCACAGCAAGAAGGATAAGCCCAAGTGAGAGAGCCGAAAGAGCGGTCGTGGCATTCTTACAGTGGATCATAGAATTCGTCAGACTCCCGACCAGTGATGCAAAGGGGAAAGAGAAGGAGTTGCAGTCCGCCATTTCCCCCATATATAACGTATTGTCGTCCTGTCTAAGCACGGGCTTTCTTTTGTCAGATATATGAAAATGCTGGAACATTCGTTGCCACTCACAGGTACCCCACTCGCACTTATGACACGCTAAAAATTACCGATCTTCCCAATCACCAGATGAATTCTCCGCACATTTTATGAAGCTACTGTTATCTGCCCTACTAGCACTCGCTCACTCCTTCCGCAACATACAGCGCTACCCAATACCATATATTCAAGGATATCCTCCACAGCCGGCCCCGGCTCGCGGAGCATGTCTATCTCTCGTTCTCCAGAAAATCCATATATCCCCACCCTTCTCCTAATTATCAAAGCTATAGCTTTTACAGATACCTTCACAAGCATCCTAACTCAACCACACTCGCAAATGGACTACACCGAGCAACTCCAGCTATCATTAATGCTGCAGCACTGGCGGGACGATGAAATTGCGAGAGTTATCCTGTCGATCTTGATCTTTGGTCGAGAGCTAGGTCTTGAAGAGGAGAGAAGCTGGCTGATCGAGGCTTTGTCAGGGGGGTTGCCGTAGGTTTGCTAGCCACTCTTCCACTTAATCATTCCCTTGCCTGTCTGCCAGCTGTCTAGCTAGGTGGAAGCGAGACTACTAACTGTCGTGTAGCGCTTTAGGTCCGGAAGCAGGCGTATCACAAAGGGGGCTTCGTAGTGACGGGGCAAGAGTGGCAAGTCGATTGACTAACGGACCGATGGAATGAAAGCCAACGCACCGGTCCGATGGGAATTTGATGAGGGGGCAGACGGAGGATATGGAGCATGATGGAGTGTAACGGAATGGTATCAACTTGGAACACGAGGTACTGATCCAAATCGGCGTGCTTACCATGATATCTACAATAAAAGGTTTACGATCCAAACCCGACCTCCTCCTAGCTAGTCTTATACAATTAAGCTTTTATTTATGCACTCCCATATCCCACTTCCCATAGTAAACCTCCTTCTGTCTCCCAAGGCACCTCAGTCCTTATCCCACCCATTTTCAACCTCACAACCTCTCACTCGCAATACATCCCCCCCCCAAAAAAACCACTCTTTCATCCAATCCCCTTCCTCACCTTAGCAAAAAAGAAAAGAAGAGAAAAAAGAAAAAGAGGGGATTCCCAACACACGCCCAAACCTACTCACCGGTATGATATCAGACACAAGTCCCCTAACCGCGTCATACCGTATGCTATACCGTAACCGGTCGACCGGCCAGTTTCACCCAGCTCCTACTCCGCCGTGCTCGAATCCCGACGTTGGAGTTTCGACGAAGGGTCCCAGGGGAGGGAGGGCGGGCGGACGGGCAGATGGACAGACGTGTTCGTATGCTTCCACGCGCCGGTCCGTGTTCGGGACTCTCTCTCCCCCCCCCACCCCTTTTTCCTCCTTCCTTTCTTGTTCTCTCCAGCTGGCCGGTTTTCCGCTATTCGTCGCATATCCAAATTAACCTATCACACGGAGCTCATATCAATGGTGGCAACCGGTACGACAAGCGGAAATCGCATGTACCTAAGTACAGTACGAGTGCCGGTATCATAGTAAGCCGAAATTACACGCTACCATACTGGTGGTATATATGATATTATGTAGGTGCAAGTTCTGTTGGAAAGTGAAGGGGGGGTTTTTTTTATAAAAATAAAAATAAAATAAAAGTTGGACCATAATAATGTGGACCAATGCCGTGACTATAATTTACCTTCCCCTCCCCCGCCCCCCTCACGAAAATCCTTTGGTTAGTCTACACTATATATCTAGACTTTTATGCTCGTAGGTTTAGAAAGAGAGAGAGAGGAACCATATCAACCCCCTCCCTCCTCCTCCTCCTCCCCCCGCATCCTCGAGAGGGCACAGCACTCACTCACTCAAAAACAGACAGACAGGGCAAGACCCGTGAAATACAAAGTAAAAGTCCCAGTCCCCACGAGCGATCCCCCCCCCGGAAAAACCAAAACATAGATTACGAAGTTCCAAAATTTGACGACATATTATATATATAATACGGAAGGGGTGTTCTCGAAAACGCAACTGGAGAGCGTACTGGTAAGTTAGGTGGTACGTACAGTACCGTATTGTACGTGAGCCCTGCAAAGAAAAAGAAAATAGGAATATCATATCTGTAAAGTATGATAGTCTACCCCCCCACTCGTAGTCTTGAAAATAGCTAGACCGTGAGGGTAGTAGTGCTGTGCTAGTACGGTGCCGGTAGAGTGTACGGAGGTTACATTGTCGACTACAGTACCGTATAGCGTGTTACGGAAAACAGTGCGGTCCTCCACAGCGCACTTGACGTTTCGCCATTCTAGAAATGTGGTGCTGTTAGCGGGAATGCGTCGTGGTTATGGTAACGGTAGCGGGGTGGAAAAGACTTACACTGCTCATGATATTATACGTATGATATACAGATATCATGTGTTGATATCAGATCGTACTCACAAGCAGCCACGGTATAGCTGGGGAGACGAGGGAATCGAGTGCTTCCATCTTTCCCCCCCTCCCTCTTATGATATAGTTTTCATCTTGTGCTCTGATAATCGATGGATTTATTTATATACTTGTATACATGCAATCATTAATATGCCCAATTGGTTCCCCGAGTACAAGATGAAAAGAAAAGAAAAAACGCGGGGCAGTGTGCACCGTGAACGCCTTCCGGGTAATGTAAATGAGAAATATGGGGGTAAGTGGGAAGAAAGGGAAAAATAGAAAGAAAAATAATCTAAACTGTACATTGAAAGATCTCAGAGGGAATCGTGCAAGGAAAGGTAGAGAGGGGGGGGTAGTGTGCAAGTAGGTGTACCCAACTAAAGTATATACAGAACTCCGGCAAAAAAACAAGGATAAAAAAATCTAGTTTCCGTCGGTCGGCAGGTCAAGCAAATGACCCATCTGAGTAACCTGCTCCCATCCGTCAGTTTCCCTCCTCTTCCCCCACCTCAATGACGAGACACATACCTTGGTTCTCAAATAGTCACCCACCTCCTTCCCTGTAACCCCGCCCTTCAAATTCTGCCATGCAAGTGGAATCATAGGCACCCTCTCCACAACCTTAACCTCCTTCCCCGGCCCTTCAACAGCAGCAATCTTGTCGGGATTGTTTGTGAGAAGCCTAACATTGACCGACTCCAGGTCCATCAATATAGCCGTGGCAAGGCCATAACTCCTCGCATCGGCGGGATGTCGAAGCATGAGGTTTGCCTGGACCGTATCATTGCCTAGGTCCTGGAGGTTGTATGCTTTCAGCTTCTCCCCGAGACCGATTCCGCGGCCTTCCTGGCGGAGGTAGACTACCACCCCGCCAGCTGGATCCAAGGACATGAGACGGGCGGCCTCGTCTAGCTGTTCGCCGCAATCGCAGCGAGCGGACCATGCGATTTCACCGGTGTAACATTCCGAGTGGATGCGGACGAGGGGAACAGTGCGGGTACTGCTTTCTAAGGTGGCTAATTTGGCAGTGGAAGCCATCTTGGGGAGAGCTGTTGAGGAAGCTGCGCGGCTGGGAACCCGGGAGGGCATTGGGGAGTCATCGACGCGGGAGGAAGTACGACCGGGGAAGAGTCTGCCCGTGTATGCGCCTCTGATCATACGGTCTAGTTCGGTCTCCCCCTCACGCGGGGCGTCGAGGGATTTAGAGCGGATCTTGTTCCCGAAAACGATGGCTAGGTGTTCTTTGTTATCAATGTTATTTTGGTACAAGTGCAAAAATATTTCGGTCCCCGTGGTGCTGGGAGGATAATTCATTAGCGTGTTTTTTTTTTTTCGCAAGAGGCAGATTGTGAGGTCGGGTAATTACGTCGGAATCCTAGCTCTGACTACGCAGTTGACCTTGGGCAGCTCTTGCATCAATTTTGGTGGGATTTTGCTAGCTACTGGCCCTATGAGTGGAGTACTGGGAGTTGTGGGAGGCGTGAACGCCGGAGTAAGAATCGAAGGAGGAACCTGTCCCTCGGCACCTAGAAGCATTGTCAAGTCCGAGCGAGGCATGGGATTCAGGGCAAGAAGTGTAGGCGAAGCATGAGCCGGTGGAGTAATGCTGTTCATCGATTGATCAATGCTCGAATTGGACCCAGAGAAGTGGTAACCATTCCCAGCAATCTTTGGTTTAGGAGAGTATATGGGTGTAGAATCGGAGCTGCCCTTCTCAGGGGACCCCGAAACCAAACCCGAGGACGAGGTGTCGAAAGAACGAGTGGCCTCGGTGCCTGACATCTTCCACAGTGGTGTAGAGAATTAGGTATGTGTATGCGTGTCGGATAATCCGCAATATCACAAAAAAATTGGGACCAGGGAGCAAGCGGAGAAATATCGAGAACCGAGAATTAAAACGGGCCCTAAATAGCAGCAGGGAACTCAGGAAGGGAGTCAATATTTGTCTAGCAATGAGGGGAGTTTTTAGGGTGAGTGAAGAGGGGTGATGATGACGATGAGGAGGTGGAGAAAGGGGAAGATGGGAGAAGCTGGAAGAGGCTCAGGGCGCAGAGTAATCGAGAGGTCAGCGTGAATAAGCAGAACGAGTGAGAAGGGGGGGAGGTATAGGGCCACCTCGCAGGAGGGAAAGCATCCGATGATACAAGTACCGGTATCCAACGTTCTCACGGCACTGTCAACCCACAGTGTTCTGTGCTCGAGTACAGGTATACGAGATGGGCATCCGAAGGCCAGTTTCCTGATTCGCCTACCGTATGGCGTCGGAGGGCGAAATAATTAATAATACTCTGAAACAGAACGAATGCATAAAACCCCACCAAAAAAAAGCCGGGCTTACCCCACCCTACTATAGATTCACTCAGGGCGAGTCTTTGGATGTCATAGTGCGGTATCGCAAAGATTCTTGGTGGCTGCAAAACAAAACTGGATTTCCCTGGGCAATCTCAGGGAATCTCGATATTTGGCACGTTTGGGAGCCCTTTTTTTCTGAGACCCCTGCAATATCTGGGATTCGAGCTTTAAGTTACCTCTGGAGGCAAAAAACATCTCCAGGACCAGAGATCTCACTGAGGTGAGTGCAACACCACACCTTTCACCCGAATTCAAGTCTTCGGGTGCGTACACTGCCGACTGCATCCAGCTGTGCGCGCCTTTCTGACTGTACTCGAGTACAAACTTCCACCAGTGAGTGATATTTTTCTATTATGCACCACTAAGTAAGTATCATGCCAGTGCAGTTCCGATCTCTCGTCCGTTGTTTGGCGATCGATGGATTACCAATCTCGTAAATCTCAATCTTTGACCCTCCAAACAGGCCCTCACATATCTCCTCCGCAGGAATTACTCGTTGGCGAGAGTTCTATCCGACCCGTCTCATCTCCCCCCCAATGGTCGCTCGGGCGCACGTATGATATTAGACAGTAGCGACTCGGGAATTGCAAAACGGTCGTCCACCGCAGCTCCCTATCGGCAATATGGCCGATAATTCCACATACTCGAGCACGGCACTCGAGAATGCCGAGGGGACGATAAGCTTGTCATCCTCAGTATCAATGATTGGACCTTTTCGACATTGGTAACCACACTGGACGAGCCGGTAAGTGGGATGCGAGCTATATTTGCAATGGTGCCGTACTGTTCTCGCACGGTATCATCGGCTACCGGCATTTTATTGGAGGTCACTCCTGGGGATGGGGGGTCTCTCTACTGATGGATGCTGACAATACCATACTCGCATCATAATGTGTTCCTACGACCAACCTGTCCACCTTATCATTAGGGCTAATTACCGTACAGCCTAACCAACCCGACTCCCCTCCTAGCCCTAAGCTGCCACCAGCAATACCGTCCGTCTGCTCGAGCAAGATATGATACCGTGCGCTATGTACTCGTACCGGTAATCATGCACTACCGGTATATCATACAACGGATTGAGACCCGCCAGGGTACAGTACTGTTGCGGTGTCTTGCTGTGCGTGTCGCTCGCTTCTGCATGGTGGGATCAGGTTGCTGTGAAATGCCGGGAAGTTCCTTGCGGTCCCTCTCGCGAGAGAAAAAAAAAAGGAAGAAAAGAAAAGAAGGGTAATCCAGCGATCAGGCCTACCGTACCAGTTATAGCCACAGAATTTGAGATTTGAGTGTGTGCCTGAACCAGAGTGGGCTTGAGATTTTGCTGCAGCTGGGGCGACACCCCTCTCGAGTTCCACCGCGGTTGGGAATACCGGTAATTGCTAGGGAATAATAAAGAACTCAGCTGGCCAACATAAATTTACCGGTAGTAATCGCAACATGGCGAACATGACCGGTCCCTCCCCCTTACTTCCAGTGGATCGCATAAGAGTACAGTAACCCACCCAATCACCCCTACCGCTGCCAATCCAACAGCTTCGGACTTTATAACGATTTCAAGAGATATTTTCTTTCTCGGTGGATTGCGTCTTTTCAAGCCCTATGACGGGGATACCAACCAGGCCAACTGACGCCCGCCCCGTGACTGCCCATGTTGTCCCGCCATATAATTATCAACCCTCCTCCCCCTCCCTCGCCCCTCCCCTCTCCACCCCCTTCCCCTTTATCATCCCTTCCCTTCCCCTTCCCCCTCATTCCCCGCATCCACTCTCTTTTTTTTTTCTCTTGTGTCGGTGCCTTCGCACCGGCCGCACCCGTCACTCGTCATCCAACTCAATGTCTCCCACCCGTAAGAAACGTCGAAGATTGAAACCCGGTCGAAGAGGATTGATCAGAATCGACAGATCACCAACAATAAATTATTAGCCGATAGCTCAAAGTTGGTCAACCAAACGATCAAGAAAATTTGGTTCTCTGAGCGATTTGAGCCATCATCTGAAGGCGGCGGCGGCGCATTCCTAGCCCTGTGCGGACTGTCTGGGGGCTCGTCACCGTTGGTTTAGGAGCCTTGGGCTAGTCACTGTTGATAGAATTGCCTGGGACTCGCATCTTTTTAACCGCGCTTGCTCCCGTTCGGAGAACTTATCGCTACCGATAGCGTCGCACATAGGACGTTGTATCGGCGGCCGAGGTTTCTTAGGGGCTAGTCACTATTGATCACCGGATCGACTGGCCCAACTTTGCCCGTTTTTGAAACGGTCGAAACTTGGATCGACTTTAATTGTGTGGCCGTCTGAGATTTGCTCCATGCAGTATGAGTTATGGAGAGGGCGGAGCCTAGCAACTAAAGTTAAAAGAAGAGAGCTCGGGTGACAGGGTCAATGGTCTGAAAAGATTGGTAATGCCCCGCGTTGGATTGCTTTCGCCACCCAGATCCTAATCCGATTATCGTTGCTCACCAGTATCGCTCTAACGAGCCTTTGTTAACTGCGGATCGGACCGTCTGCCTGTTCAATGCCTCCTTTGTGTTCGTCCCATCCTCGGAGCGCGGCCCAATCCCATGTGCGCTCGCCCTGGACCCTTGCTGTTTGGCGAACCGCTAAAGCTCCGTCCCAGTGGCCGGGCGCGCAATGGCAACGTGAGCCCGGATTTCCTGGAGAATTAGACCACCAGGACTTCTCAGCATTCGGCTTCCCCGCCTATGTACGGGCTTTTCCGACCATGAATGGGCCCCTCCACCCCTGCATCAGGTCTTTCGAATCCGTATCGGCTTCTCCTGAATCGCACGGGGGCCCGGACGTGGCGTTCGACTAGAGACCAGCTTATTGAGCCCTACAGGGGTGATATCGAGTTGATTTCTCCATCGGGAGGTTGTTGGACTGCTCAATTGGGCCCATCAGAACACTGACCGGCCGGATGGGTTTGATCTCGCTCCTGGAAACGGCGGACTGGATGGATTCTCCATGAGCCATTGTGAATGGACCGCCGAATAAATCGCCGGCATGATCAATATAATAAAGAAACTGGCTGCGGCTCAGTGGATTTATCTAAAGTTGGTCCTCGCTCAATACATACTGCTATTTAGGCTAATGGTGTGAAAAGATATTCAGAAACTTTTGACACTATTGGATTATCCGCAGGGCACCGCCAGCGAATTCCAGAAGCATAGCCTATATCCACGACCAATGGTGGGACGCAATTTCAAACACTTTCACGGATAGACGTCATGACGGGGCCACGCTTCGGTGCCCCATTTCTCGAAGCTGCTCGGGTTGAGGAACTATTTGTACCGGCGGAAAAAAAAAGCCCCCTACGCTTGAAGAGCAATAATTTCCTGTCGACAGTCAGGCGCCGGAAGCCTGAAACTCCAAATGGACCTGGTTGTCTCGAATAGGGTCTTGTGAGTGCATTCTCAAAAGCTTTGATGCTCATGGGATCCCACGTTAACCAAAAATCATGAAGGATTCATTCAGTTTGACCGCGTTTCAATCTTCGACGTTTCTTACGGATGGGGACACATTGAATTGGCTGATGGAGGTGTGAAAGGAGGGGTAAATAGGTTGATGTATTTTATAGCTGGCTTATAAGGTAGATAAACTATTTTCCCATTGACGAATTTTGGGGCTGCAAGTGAACCTGAGCCTCTGTTTTGACGAACCCGTCATGCAAGCACCAGCATAGGCCCGGCAAGGGCAGTACTTGTAGAGTACAGTACTCGTGCACTCGTGTCGGAAGAGTACTAGCACCCCAAGACATATCGAGCCCCTCCCTGGTCACACCTCCACCCCTCGTGACTCTTCCCCGCACCCCGGGCTCCAGTTGGAGCCTGTGCGGGTACGGCTAGCGGACAGCACCGGCACACGCATGCCACCGCCGCACAGTGAGTCAAGCGTTACCCAGCCCCGCCTCACGCTAGAGTTGCAGGGTGGGGAACATTGCATATTTTCGCACAACCCCCAACACTGGCGAAAAACCAGTCACCAATATACAGGAAGCCTCGCAAGGCCTGGCCCGTATATTGGAGAGGAGAGGAGAGGAGAGGAGAGGGGGGGAAAACCAACCGATTCCACCCCCATAGATAGGGCATAACAATACAGCCAGCAGGACATGCGGCGTCACTCGCTCCGACAGGATGGATGCCGCCTAAATTGTTACTTCAATGTGATGGAGGATACAGGCATGTCCGGATACGACACCTACTATCCAATCTGGGGCATCACGGTATGGATGATAGTGCGAGTCATCTTGATGTATATTATAGATGGGACCGCTGGTATAAATACGGTGGATTCGGGGTACATGTACAAGTACTGGGAGTAGACTACATAACCTCTCTCACAAAATTGATCTCTCAACCGCCAACTTCTTCATATCTCGAGCTTTATTCCTTCCTTCCCTCAATACCGACCCTTTCTGTGTGTGGCCTCCAATAGATAGACGCACTTAATGGGTGGGAGCGAGATTTCCACTAGAGTCATTAACTGTCACTCGTGTAAAACTTTACGAAATCTGTTGGAAATATGATAGCAGTTTGATGGCCACACTGTGAGGCTGCAGCGGTATACATACGTACTACTGCTGGAGGACGCGCAAGCAATGAAAAGGGGTTCTCATCCCCACCCTCTCTCACGACACGCCTCTTCAAGTTCCCGTACTCTAACCTTCCCTTCGAGCCCATTCGCTCTAAACATCAACTTACGACAATCAATCATGGTCTTCATCTCCGCCCAAGTCAAAACCCTCTGTCTCTACTCAAGTTGTTCCACTCCCCTGCTTAAAACCCTCACCCTCGATCATTACCTCCATAGCGATTATTTTCAGCAAAATCCTGTTGGAAACGGTTTTTTCTCCTGCCTCTCAAGATTTTTTTCACGGGGTTCTTCATTTCTGACCCGTATTCAACGAGAACCGAGATGAGGTCTTTTTCTCCTACATGACAAGCCTAACCAGGCCTCTCGGGACTTCTTGGCATTGGACAGATCATTGGAAATGACGGCTAAGCCTGAGTGAGATAGTGTGATGTAGGTTATTCTTATGGCCTGCTGGAATTGGAGAGCGAGTGATAGGTTTCCCCCCCCCCCTTTCCTACCTCCCGCCGGGCGTATCCCACGACAGAGCCCAAAAGTGGAGACCGATTTTTTGATTTCTTTCATAGCTGCGTCAAAAATGGAGTAAGTTAGGTAGGCTACGTGTCTCTTCGCAGGATCATCACGAGCTGGAACAGCTGGAAAATTACCCGTCTTCAATTCACCAGTAACTCAGTTGTGACCCCTCTAGATCACACACCCTGCCCGCCTGCCCGCTAAAGTGTCCAACCAAGACCCGAAGAGGCTTATATCGTGTTCGTCCATAATAAATAGAAAGATGAAAATCTCGCACCCCGTCCGGTCCGTGGTAAGGTAAAGTAGCATCGTATCATATCATATCGCTCGGTCAGCATCATGCTGTGGGGGTTGGGGGGACTTGGCACTGGTTTGCTCTACGATACCCTACCCGTTCTGTGGATCCTACAATTACAAGTATCGCAACTTACCTGGTCGCCTTTGTCGGTTTCCGGGAGTGGCCGTTAAGTTAGTCATCATATGAAAGTTCTCTGTGTGTGGGCAACGTCGCCCCCCCTAGGTGTATATGTGTATATATAAATAAGGGGACCTTTCTCGCGTGCGGCGAGCGAAAAGCTCCCTCTTCTTCGGCCTGCGTATGATAGTGCATCGTGGCGCTTAGATAACAGATAAACGAGTGATGAGGGGAGATTATCGTATCCCAGTTGCAGGTCAAGTTAGGTTTAGGGTTGAATTACCATGCACCTGGGAGCCGCACCCTTTTCCCTATAAAAAAGAAAAAGAAAAGAAGGAAAACTGTTCTCATGTGAAGAAAATATAATTTAGCCCCACCAGCCACACCACACCCCGCCAGCCCCCGTTTCGTCCATCATTTCCCGCACCACAGAAACATCCCTCCGACCGAAACAAATCCCAACGGACGTCGTTCAAGATGGCTGATAAAACTGCGGTGGTACATTTTTTCCATTCAATTTGTTTTCTTGTGCTCTTCTCGCCATCATCGGTCTGTCTGACATTTGTTTCTTTAGGTCGCTGAACTGTTCGATACGATTCTGGTGTTTTTCACCCTTTGATCGAATTCACGGGGCATATCTGACAGTGTAATTTGGAGTGTTTTAGGTTCTTGATTTTGGGTTTGTCTCCTCCCCTCTTGTGGGGGGTTTTTGTTTTGTGCGGGCTTGCTAACCTTTCTGTACGAGTGCAGATCCCAATATAGTCACTTGATTACCCGTCGTCTTCGTGAACTCAATGTCTACGCTGAGATGCTCCCGTGTACTCAGAAACTCGCAGACCTGTCATGGAAGCCGAAGGGCGTGATTCTCTCCGGGTCTCCATATTCTGTCTATGATGCCGACGCACCACACGCCGATCCTGCTGTTTTTGAGCTTGAGGTGTTATCACATACTCTCCCCCCCACCACTTCCAACAAAGCTGACGTGTGCCTCTCCCCAAAGGTTCCAGTCCTCGGGGTCTGCTACGGCCTCCAAGAAATTGCCTGGAACTACGGCAAGGACGTCTCCGCTGGCAATCGCAAAGAGTACGGCCATGCCATCCTCAGCGTGACCAGACACATTGACGCTCCCTCTCACATCGACATCCTATTTTCTGGCCTGACGGATGAACTTGAGGTATGGATGTCCCACGGCGACAAGCTCCGCGCTCTGCCAAAGGACTTTGTCACCATTGCTACCACCTCCAACGCGCCCTTTGCCGGAATCGCACATATGCAGAAGAAGCTCTACGGCATCCAGTTCCATCCGGAGGTTACGCATACTCCCTGCGGGAAGGCGTTGGTTGAAAACTTTGCTGTTAAGCTCTGCCAGTGCAAGCAGAATTGGACCATGGAGAGGTTTGTCGACACCGAAATTGATAGAATCAGGAAGGTTGTCGGGCCCACGGGACAGGTTATCGGGGCTGTTTCTGGAGGTGTCGATTCCACGGTTGCAGCGAAGCTAATGCATGAGGCCATTGGTGACCGGTTCCATGCTATTCTCGTTGACAACGGCGTTATGAGGTTAAACGAATGTGCAATTGCGCATAAGACCTTGACTGAAGGGTTGGGGATTAACCTTACTGTTGTTGATGCCTCTGAGGAGTTCTTGGGGAAGCTTAAGGGTGTCGAGGATCCTGAGAGGAAGAGGAAGATCATTGGAAATACCTTTATTGAGGTTTTCCAGAGGGAGGCTGAGAGGGTCATGAGGGAGAGTGGCGGTGCTGTGGATTTCTTGCTTCAGGGGACTTTGTACCCGGATGTCATTGAGAGCATATCTTTCAAGGGCCCTAGCGCTACTATTAAGACGCACCACGAATGTACCCTCCTTCTCTCATCCTCAGGTGTCTGCTAACAAAAAGGTTAGAATGTGGGTGGCCTCCTAGAAAACATGAAACTCAAGCTTATTGAGCCCCTTCGCGAACTCTTCAAAGGTAACCTCCCGCCCTCCCCTTCGCATGCGAAGGGTGCAAACTAACAGCTTCAAAAAAAAAAGACGAAGTTCGCGTCCTCGGCACAAACCTCGGCATCCCGGAAGACCTAGTCTGGCGCCACCCCTTCCCGGGCCCTGGCATAGCCATCCGCATCCTGGGAGAAGTGACTCCCACGCAAGTCGCCATCGCTCGTAAAGCGGATCATATCTACATCGAGGAGATCAAGGCCGCTGGCCTCTACCGCAAGATATCCCAAGCCTACGCTGCGCTCCTACCCGTCCGCGCTGTCGGTGTCATGGGTGACAAGCGGGTCCACGACCAGGTCATCGCCCTGAGAGCCGTCGAGACCACGGACTACATGACAGCCGATTGGTTCGATTTTGACGGAAAGTTCCTGAGGAAAGTTGCCGGCCGGATTGTCAACGAGGTGGATGGCGTTTGTAGGGTTGTCTACGATGTTACACAGAAACCCCCGGGGACTATTGAGTTTCAGTAGTCTAGAGGTTGCCTGGTTTGCAAATGGGTTTTTAGACAATAGATGGGGCCAAGTTTATTACTTTGCGGCGCGGGGATTTTGCGTTTATCTGGTGAATGAATTGTGAATACCCGATAGGTTGTATTGTCCAATACCTTTTGCCTTCCTAATCGATCTAGTAAAATGAATGCCACTACGGTATGTAAACCACCTACCTGCGAAACAACATTAGCAGCCGACCCAGATGAGAGAGAGAGAGAGAGAGAGAGAGAGTAAGGTAAAGTGCGCTACCAACAACCCAAAGTTCTCCCCAAACAAAGCCATAATAAATGCCCTTGAAATATTCCCGACAAAAAGACCGAACCATCCCCCAAATCCCCCAAATACATCCCCTCCCGCGCGCGCCGGCCCTACGATGCCCACACAACCCACCACTCGCCCGCAATTTTTCCAAAACCCCACTTTCTCACCATCTCGTAACGCCCCACGGACACGACATATTACCCGTACTCGAGTACATGTAAGAGACCAACCTCAGACCCCAACTAAACTAAACCATTAATTTATATTATCGTCATTATCTAAGGTAAGTTACAGTGTTACTACTACTACACGCCTCCCCCGCTCCGTTCCGTTCCATTCCATTCCCGTTCCGCGGTTTAATATCGTAGCTGGATAGGCAACAGATGCAGATGTGAAAGAATGGGGGAAAAAAATTGAGGAAAAAGATGAAGATGAAGAAAAGTGAAGGGGCGAGAGGGGGAAAAAAAAGAAAAAAAAGAAGAAAAGAGATATATATGTTTTGCGCCTGTAAGGTAAACACCACACCCACCCACCCATAGTGAAGGAAGGAGAGAAAAAAATGGATAGGAAAATGTAAAAAATGTAAAAAAGATGAAAAAGAAATGAAAAAACCCTTTTTAGGATACAGCCAGTCACGATAGTGAAAGAGAGGAGGAGAAAAGAGGTATATGGTATCACACACAGAGAGGAAAATGTCCGGGCAAAACGCCTTTTCCACCTGAGAAAACAAGTGAAAGAACAAAAGAAAACGATACAAAAGCCTCCTTTTTTCATTTGCGCCCCTAACCTCGGAAAATCTCAATCCGTGAATCAAGCCATGCCATTCCACCATTACCATTCTCTAGCCAAAACGCACAGCCTTCCTCACAGCAGCAGCGCTACCAGAACTGCTATTGCTGGACCTTCTCCTCTTTCTATCGCTACTCCCGGCTCCAGAGGAGGCCACAGATGCCCTGCGCTTTGGTGGGGTCGCGACGCGCAGGTCGCTGACTATCTCTTCGTCGCTGTCCGAGCCAAGGCAAGCTGGCGATGTAGGCGCCAATGACGGAGCTCTATCGCGGGGCGCCCTATATGTCTTTCTGAGCTTGTCATCCAGGCCTTCGTGACTGTAGACGCCCCCATGCTTTCCGGGGCCCAGGAGAGTCTGCGGAGACTTGAGGTTGGAGAAGCGGTCGGAGGAGATAGAGGTGGAGGGGTTGCCGTTGGAATTCACTCCTCCTTCCGCATCGTCAGTTTTAAGAAACTTGGTGTTTGATATGATGTCCCTCATTTTCGAGTCATTCGCCGCCGCGCCCTTTGAGAGATCTAGTTCTGCTACTGTCATCCCTTGCCTGCGATCCCACATCTCTCGTTCGATAGTGTGGTCCAGGATCAATGTCTCCGCGTACACTGGTCTCTTCTGCCCGATGCGATGCGCGCGCGCAAGCGCTTGGTGCTCGACGCTGGGTTGCCAAACCGGGTTTACAAAGAAGACCCTGCTAGCGGCCGAGATGTTCAGGCCAAAGGCAGCCTGTGAGAGGTCCATCAAAAACACGCGGAACATCTGTGAGAACTGGAATGTCACGAGGTATTTCGCCTTCTCGTGGCTGGGCAAGTTCTTCTGGTAGCCAAGGTACTCCACGCCAATTATTTCCAAGCCCTGAGCGATGTAGAATGCCACATCCTCGGATTCGTAGAATATTAGGATTTTCTCAGTCTCGTGGTGTTCTAGGACTTTGTCTAAGAGGTAGGTTAGTTTTCGCGAGGCAGTGCCGATCACTTCTGTCTTTGCTAGTGGGGAGTCCTTGGGAACGCTAGATACGGGCGTTGTACATCGCTTTAGGATAGATTTGATGTTGGACTTGGTCTCGGCACCGTTCGCAGAACGCGCTTCTGTATTCTGCTGACCTACCACTGTAGATGCCGTCTTGGATTTCCCGTCCCTTCTGGTGTTGCCGGTCAAATAGGCATCCGCTGCGGCCACTCCGGCCTTGTCCCCAAGCTTTGAGACAAGTTTGGGATCGTACGCATGCGCATTCACGTATCGTTGAACATCCTGTACCGACTTTCCCCCTATCGGGTAGGGGTTCCCGGATCCCTTCACCAGGGCCCATTCGGCAGCGATCGATTCAGGAAAGTGTAGGACGGAATATGCTGCTCCCATCGTATAATTTTAGCGGCTGGTTGTAAGGGAGAGGGGGGGGGGAACAGACCCATCTCAGAGTTACGAATGCAAGCATTCCAGACAGGATTACCCAATGCTCTCAATCCTGACTCTATGGCCGACTCCAACAACCCCCGATCCTGCTTGCTGTGATGCTTTGTAGGGTCCGTAAGACACTTCTGGCTAACTGAGACCATGAGCTGCACGTCTGCACTTGAGTGACCCATCCAATAAAAGCCGCTTCGTTTCAGCAGATTGTTAGTCAATTCCCGCAATGGCCCACGGTTCTTTGGATGAAACATGTAATCCTTATCTACCCGCTCACTTGCAACAGCATTAGACGCTAGACCGCCTAGAAACAGATTCATTGATAGTCTCTCAAAGAAGCCGGGCTCCAAATAAACCGGAGTGTGATACAGCGGGGGAAGATTAATGTCTTTCTCAATGTCTTTCAAACGATGCCTGATCATTATCCTCTGGAGAATACTCCGCACACAATCAGTAGATCCTGGCTGTCGCTGCATAAAACCTTTACTAATGTAGACTTTCCAAGAAGCATGTTCATTGCTCTGACCTTTAGAAGGTAGGGCCCAAGGACGCACTCTCAGAAAATCGCAAACTATACGACCGAGCTTCTCAAGATCATTGGCTTCGTTCGTCTGCGCCACCCTGCGTTCTTCCAACTCCTGCTCCCTCCGGGCCTCCAGCGCCTCTGCGGTCTCCCCAATGTTCATGCCAGAAGATATTCCCAATAGACCTGTAACCGGGGTAGCAGAGACAATCCACCGCCGCTCAACCGGTAGTCGCTGGGCGACGCAAACGCCTCGGTTCATTAGCGAACTTGATGACGCCATTGAGTGACCCTCGTCAACGATTAATCGCTTCCACCGAACTGACATGAGTGGTGACTTGTATACTGCATCCCTGTCAAAGCATACACAATCGGCAATTCTTGTAGCTCCCTTATAAGGGCATCTGCAAATAAGTGGCTTCCCGCCAGATTCACGTCTCCCAGCCTTATCCCGACCTTCCCTCTCCTCCATATCAAAGCGAGGTCGGGCAATGATAATAAGATCGTATTCTAGGAGCTCCGACACAGGAGGAATCTCTTCGGACGACCTCACAAGTACAAGTGTCTAATATAGTTAGCAACAGGCCCAAAATTTGTGGAAAGCATCGCAATCACCTTTAGTGCCTTTTCCTCGACGTGAATACTGATTTCTCGTTTCCACTGATCTACAAGATTAGGAGGGCACACAACAATAGTCCCAGTCCCAAGATGTATCCTTTCTTTGGCATCAATAGGGCTATAACGCTTGCTTCGGCTTTTTGGAGGGGGTGGCACTTCGTAGAACGCATGCGCCGCCCTAAGTTTAGCGACATTAACAGCACCGAGGTCATCTTTAAACTCTCCCCACCCTAATGAGTGTTTCCAGATAGCTGCTACTGCAAGATCAGACAGTGAAGGTGGGGATTCACGAAGACGCGGCTGTTCCTCATATTCTTCAGGGATAAAAGAGTACTGATACTTTGTTGCTAGAATGAGTGCCAGGCAAATAAAGGTTTTCCTGGCCATTGACCCTGTCAGCGAGATATGCAGATACGCAACAGGGGACCAGTTGGGCTAACCCTGTTCCCGTGTCTTCTGCTAGTATTCCTCCTCTGACATCCTCATATTTTCTTGGCTCAATCAACATCTCTGCAGTCTCGAGATCAAGGTAGTATTCTTGCCCTTGTGGACCAGTATAGCATCTAAACCTAGTATCCTGTGTATTTTCAGGGGCTAGCTCCCGTTGGATCATCATAGCAACAGTCTTCTTTTGGTACCCGTATAGCGGGTTTTTCATTCCCGCAATCGGTTTTCTCAGGACCCGATTCATGAGGTCGGTGGTATTGCGGTCTTTAACCCACTCCGCCTTAGGATTTGGGTTGGGCGAGTCTAAAGTATTAAACAGGTAGAAAAGGGACAGATGAGCATCACCCGGAGCCACAAGGGGCTCGTGGACTTTCACCTTTAGCCCCTGCCAACCTGTCTTAGAGGAATCGAGTGCACACAAGACCTCCCGCCGAAACTTGCCGATCTCCCGATTATCTCTCGGCACAACACGTCTCCCAACGTCATCCGGGAGCAAGTAGACTCGGACCCTCGCAGTAGAATCTCCGATCATCTTATATGTGCATCTCAGGACACGGAGCGACGCTAGCTGGACTAGGTTGTCGGCGATAGAATGCTTTGGGAAACGAATGGGGGGGGGTTCGAGCCAATTCCAGCCGTCCGGAGCTTCCATTCCTGGAGCTGGTCTTCTAGGCACTTCCAAGTCTACCGAACCTACAGCGCACAGACCCGAGAGGCCATTGAGCAAATCTATCGCCGCAAAAAAGGTGGTGTCGGGTTCAATAAGGATACGAGGGTTTCTAGGCTTTATCAGTGTACCTGGCTAGGAGGAAAGTCAGTGACAGAGCGCCAACTCGTGTGCAAAATGTTCAACGACAATTACCTTCCAGCCCCCACGACGAGGAGTGCGGCGCGTCGGTGGCATTAGGACAGACCAAAGATCTAGACCAGCTAGACCCAGGAGCGAAGCTGGTTCTGCAAGGGGACAAGGGAACGAATCTAGAAAGGTGGTAAAGGGTGTACCGGAACGACGACAGCTGAATTGAATTGCAAAGACGAAGTGGGCGCAAAGACGTGAGATGGTATCAGAGGGGTCGGTGGGGGTTAAATGGGTGGGAGGGGCAGAGAGAAGAAAGAGCGGTGTGAAGAATAGGTGGACGTCTGACTCGGGGGTTCTCGTGAATTTAGGTAGCAGTGCAGGGTTCACAGTGTTGTGCAGCCAATTGAGGCTCAAGGTTGCCAAGAGAACAGATTGAGCCTCAGCCACGACCCTGGACGGCCGCGGAGGGCAACCTCATCGCATCAACGAGCTATCGTAATACCTGTAATATGCAGTCTACCGGTAGGGGTTTGGGACGGATGGATGGCGGTACGGTTAGATAGTACGGTAGCTATGCTTTTGTAGTGATGAAAGAGAATCATAGGAAATATACGTCAGGAGACTTTAATAAACCCTGGGTACAGTACAACTAGTAACACAGAAAATAGAGCATAAGAAGAAGAAAACCAACTATTTCCACATAAGAGCGGAAAAAAAGAAGAGAAAACCCACAAGCCTCACTTGCTTCTCACCAGCTGTCCGTAACATCCATCTCAGGATCCTAGTTCTTCCACGCGAGCGACAACTCTTTCTGCAGCGATAACCCTACGGACTCACCCGACCGGTCCTGTTTTTCTTCTTGGTATCATACTCAACAGAGTCCGGTAGGATCCTGAGGCTTAAGGAGGTTTCGTGACTAAATTTGGCCGACTCGGAAGGCGAAAAATCATGGCCCCTCTAAGGCCACCAACTAGGGTTGAGATGGGGTCGCATGTCTCGATAGCATAGCCGTAAAATACACATTTTGGTCAGCAAATAAGTTAACTCCCACGCCCAGAATTCCAACAGACCAAAGAATCTTGATGCCATGACAACGTAGCAGGATATAGGGGTCCTAATGGAAAAAGGAATAATGGTAATAGGGGAGTGGTTGAAGGAAAAAAGAGATGAGGGGTGAAAGGTATGATGGTAGGGTGCGGGAAGGTATGGGGTCTGAGTAGGAATACCACTGCAGCCACACCCCGCTGTCCCGGATCTCGATAATCCGGATACTTCTCCTCTGAATTTTTGTTGCTATTGCGAAGTCACTGTCCCTGAGAGTACAGTACTAGCACTACAAGCGTTCGGTTCGCTTCCTGGTATGATAAGTACTGTATATATACAGTGAGCAGGGGAGTCTCCTCAGGCGGGGAGGCCGTGTGCATAACAAGAGACTTGGAGATTATTAAAGAAAACAACACGCAACACACGAGAAATCAATCGCTACACAACTGAATTCTTTCAACAAAAAAACGAATGCTTCCAAGAGGCCCCCTAGTACCTAGGGTTAATGGTCCATGTTCTTAATTTTCGATTCCGTGGTGGGAATATTCACGATAACTGTAAGCAACACTGTCAGAAATATTTGTTGCAGTGCCCTTTGGGGAGAGGAGAGGAGACAGCTTGGCGTTGTCGAATCAGGAAAGATATCTGTATTGGGTTGCGCTCAGTCTCCCTCCCCGCCTGAGGAGGAGACTCCGCCAAATCAGGCCATCAACGTCGAGGGACACCATCTAAGAGGGCTCTTTATCACGTCCTGCACCGCTCCACCATAACAATCCGTGACAGTGTCCGGTGCTCCCATCCTAATCTAATTGGTCAAATCCAGAGGGTTGGTTAGCACTCATCTCTTGGCCCCCTCATCCCTGACCGATGCAGGTCACCTTTCTCTCGGGTTGATCCGACAACGCGTTGTCATGGAGACGCGTTTGTGATCCCGCGTTCGTATAAATTCCTCCTCCTGCCCTCTCACCACGTCTTCTTCCATTCTCATTCCTTCTGTACCACGCCTTCAACCTTCAATTGCAGTCTTCTCCTTTACAACAAGTTTTACAACAGCTCCACCGCTCTTTGATCCTCCGTCCGATACCCTCGCACCTCCCAAGAATGTCTACCGTTCACATGACCCCCTCCAAGCAGGTATGGGCCCTCCCCCACCAAGTCCACTTTACGCGGTCAGAGGGTCAACTTGCTAACTGTCCACTTTACGCGCATCACCAACAGGCTGCGAATGCCCTCTCGAACATGACCGTCGACGATGTCGAGGTTGTTAAGAAGAATCTCAACTCGGCTTTTGAGAATGCAAAGTCACCTGGAAAGACAGGTGCCAAGACAGATCTTGAGTTGAAGCAGCCCGTTGATGAGGGCACCAAGGCTGAGGAGATGGATGAGCCCATTCTTACCGAGAACAAGCATCGTTTTGTCCTTTTCCCTATCAAGTATCATGAGGTTTGTTCCTCTACCTTTCCCACCTTTGATGTTGTATGCCTAAGCTAATATACCGTCTCCCCTTCTAGATTTGGCAAATGTACAAGAAGGCTGAGGCCTCCTTCTGGGTTGCTGAGGAGATTGATCTTTCAAAGGACATGCACGACTGGAGCGACCGCCTAAATGATGACGAGCGCTACTTTATTTCGCATGTTCTTGCCTTTTTCGCTGCGTCCGACGGTATCGTCAATGAGAACCTTGTTCAACGCTTCAGTAATGAGGTTCAGATTCCTGAGGCCCGTTGTTTTTATGGTTTTCAAATTATGATGGAGAATGTACACTCTGAGACCTATTCCCTTCTCATTGATACATATATCAAAGATCCCAAGCAGAGGACATATCTATTTGATGCCATCGATACAAGTATGTCTCTATCTTATTTCATTGATCCGCGCTAATGTGGACTCCCCAGTTCCTTGCATCAAGAAGAAGGCCGATTGGGCTATCAGATGGATCGAAGACAAGGACTCCACTTTTGCTCAGCGCCTTGTCGCTTTCGCTGCTGTTGAGGGTATCTTCTTCAGTGGTTCTTTTGCCTCTATTTTCTGGCTCAAGGTAATACCTTCCCGGTTCCTCTGTTTGTTTGTTTTTATCCGCTGTTGCTGACAAGGGATAACTAGAAACGTGGATTGATGCCTGGCTTGTCATTTTCAAATGAGCTCATCTCCCGTGACGAGGGTCTCCACACTGATTTTGCCTGCCTCTTGTTCAACCATTTGAACAACCGTCCCTCTCAACAGGCTGTTCAAGATATCATAGTTGAGGCCGTTGGTATCGAGCAAGAATTCCTCACCGAAGCTCTCCCCTGTGCTCTCTTGGGCATGAACTCTAAGCTCATGAAGCAGTACATTGAATTTGTTGCCGACCGTCTTTTGCTGTCTCTGGGTAACCCAAAGTTTTACAATGCTACCAACCCATTCGACTTTATGGAGTCTATTTCTCTCGCCGGCAAAACTAACTTCTTTGAGAAGCGTGTCGGAGACTACCAGAAAGCTGGTGTCATGGCATCTACCCAAAAGAAAACTGAAGAGCCCACCAACGATAGCGAGGGTAGCATCAGATTTGACGAAGACTTTTAAACGGGTTCCGGCACTTTCTTTCCCTTTTTTTTTTTTTTTTTTTGTTAACGTGTACGACGAAATGATGTGGCTTTCCACTTTTTTTTGTAGGGTTTTCACTGGATGGTTGGGATTTAACGGATGGTAACTGGGTAGGGGGTTTTACTTTATGGCTTTGCACGATTCTTAATTAATGTTGGGTTACATTTGTATACCCCAATAAATAGCATCCCCGATCACAGCTCTTTTTGCTTAACACTTTCATGCTTTTTATCGGAGTTGACACTCATAGAAATTTCCTGTTTCCTGAGTTGTCTTTTGTTTCTTTTTTTTCTTTTCTTTTTTACTATCGGGTGTGCATTTGTATCTAGAGAGCTCCATTTCCCCAACCATTTTCTGAAAATTGGTTTGGCGTGAGCAGTGTCGGTCGCTTTGTGTAATGATATCAGATTACGATTAATCCTTTGCTGTATTATTTTTTTCTCGTTGTTTTGCAAAAAAAAAAAACCCTGAGATTTAAGTTTGTCATTGTAGGTTAGGGTAAACGTCATCACCGGGGAATGTGCCGGCACTTGGCAATTTATAAGGTATGATACCGTCCCGGTATTCGGACCCCTTGGCATACCGGTAATTAGCACCTATCTGAATGCCAAGCACCCAAATAACCTTTATAAATTGCCAAGCCAGTGATTGGCGGTACTATGGTGTACCGTAGTGTGTCGCATGGTTGCTATCAGCTGCTTGCTTAGTCTAATGTGTTTTGTGAATTGTGAATTGTGAATTTGTGAGTGAGTGAAGTTTTATGATGCAGCTGGTTGTACGATATTTATGATCATAATATTATTATGCAGTTATTTTATGTTGCTGGGAGAGGTTTTTCTTTTCTTTCCCTTTTCCCCCGAATTCAGGTTTACTCTATTATCATGGCTAACTCGGCCGGCTCTGCTTGTAGTCTACGGGCACCGTAATTTACAGTAGTGGTAGTGGTGGCCTTGCGCACTTGTTGCAGTTAGGTTTCTGGAATGGTGAGACTTATAGTTGCGGTATGGTACAAATTCTATTCAAACAAATCAATGGTCTATAACTTGATACCTATTTTGAGTAGCGGTAGAGTACATCAAGCGTATGTTGCGTGTGCTGCGGTTTGGTGATGGTTGTAGGTAGGTGACAGGAAAGGGGGGGGGGGGAAGGGAGCCTTAGGCCGTCTAGGTTCCTGTGCTTTCGTCGTTGGATTTAGGCGCGATTGATTGCCATGTAGAGGCGGTTTCAATAGTTTGAGGGATGTCGGTGTTGTGATCGGTGTCATTGCACGCCTGCTTTACTTCCTCCGTAGCTTCCATGTCCTGTACCGGCACATCCTCCGTTTCCGTCTTAACCTCCATCTCCCCTCCATCAACCACCTCGATCAAAACCCCGCTCTCAATCCCATATCCCATCGGATCCCCGTCCCCGCCCCAAACCAGTATTGTCGGAAACTCCTCCACAGCCCTTCCTCTCAGTGCTACCGATAGGGACTTGCTCCCGTCGAGCTTGGTCAGTACGGGGTCATTCGCTGGGCATCCAATCTTTTTCAAGTAAAACTTTGTCTGCGGGGTTTCCTGTTTCTTCTTGATTTTTTTGCGAGAGGGTTGGAGTTGGGAGTCCGAGTTTTCGTGGGCGCCGCTAGGATTAGTGGGAGGTGTAGGATGGAAGTAGGCCTGAGAAATAGATGTATTTTCCGATACACTACTACAGTTAACCCCGGTGCAAGAGATGAGCGGGGCGGGAAAGCGAAGCTTACTTCCTATCCAAAACCCTCTCCGCCTCCCCGATACCCCGTGAATTAAGAACGATCCACTCCACTGTCCAAATCACATGCTTCCCCTTCCTCCCCTTCGACACAGCGGTACAGTTCTCCACAGCCCTCTTCATGCCCCTGGGTGCCCACTTAACGCTCACACCGCTCCTCCTTAAAAAATCCTCCAGCCTCCCCCTCTCACCTCTCGCCCCACCATCTCCCTCCTCGACAGCACTCCCTAGCGCCCTCTCAACGCCCGTCAGGAACCCAAAGTCCCTATTCAGCGTCGCCGGCGACGACAGCAGCGCCCTGCGCTTCACGAAAGCGGTAGCATCGATTCGTCCGCTGCACTGCGCGTAAAGCTTGTGCTTCTCCACGCAGGCCACCGAGCATGTTCGCGTGGCGCACGCCGGACAGCGGTACTTGGGCGGGCGGGAATGGCAGAGGGGGCAGAGGGCCGTTAGCGATTCTTCCTGGATAAAAGTAGACATCGATTTTTTTTTTCCTTTTTTTTCTTTTTCCTTTCCTCCGAGGTTGTGGTGGTTTGGGTTGGCGGTAACCCAGGAAAGTAGGGAGGGGGGGAGGTTGTGTGGAGTCGATTGATCGGTAGATTGATTGGTTCTGGTATTATGATAGGGGTGTGCTGATAAGGTCCGATAAGCTGCTGGGGATAATATCGATGATGACGATGACTGGATTCGGGGACTAATAGCGGCAGCCCGTTCTTCAAATTAACCCTGTACCGTACTCGTATATTGAATTCCGGGTTGCCCTTTTTCCTTCTTCCTTCTTTTTTTTAGGGCTCAAGAAACGGGAAGGTGTGGTGGACGCTATATTATCATACTGGCATCGCTGTTCACGGGTACAGTGCTTGCTTTGTTTGTGGATTTTTCGTGATGATGATTGGAGAAGGGTGGTATAGCTGTGCGTTATAAAGCCTTGGAGAAAGACCCTTCAAGGGGCTTGTGTGAGCTACGGCAGTCCAGAATTGGCCATTGCGGTGGTGTGATAGTAATCAATGTAGGGCCGTTGTAGGCACCGTCCAACATCGCTCTATACGGTATCATTTCATAGATAGCTACCCTCAAAATCGAACCCAACCAGTCGGCAGCACGCCCCGCCCGGCCATAACCTACCGTATTTGGCCAACCACAGACTCTCTTCAGGCCTACAGGAGGCACCCCTCAATACTAGTATCATTCTCTTGGCACCTCGTACTCACTGCTTCATATCTTAATCACAAATCAATTCTATATCCCCCATTACAAGAGCAGTGTATTTATACATACAAAGAGAGTTTCTTAATACATAGGCAAAAACCATAGCACCAAAAAGTAATGTGCAAGAAACGGAAGAGCCAGCAAGCTCATTCTCGGTCCCAGGCTCAATCCCACCACACAAGAGATGAGGGGAAAGGAGAAAGGGAGGAAAACAAGACCACCGCCGTGGCATGGATAAAGTTAACAAACAGGACTCCCCACAATTGACCCTCCCATCCCACCTAATCACTTTTAAAGGTGCCCCGTGAGAGGAACCCTCAGTCGGGCACGTGAAAAAACTGGAAGAAAAAAACTGCATATAAAGAAATAATAATAAAAACAAGTGATAGGTCAGTTGACATTCGTCTCCGGTATCGTGCCGACACTGTCCTTATTCTGATTGGCATTCGATCCATCGGAGAGGGTCCCGGCCTTCATAGCCGCGGAGAACTTGGCAGCAAAATCTTCACTCGGGTCCTGAGCACCCTTGCCGCCATTCGGAGCCTTCTTCTCGACGATGAGGTTCTTTAGCCACTTGTTCTCCATCTCCAGCTGAACGATCCTTTGCTCTAAATGTCTGACCTTCTCAGACATTTCCTTGGCCGACCGTTCCAGGGCTTGCTCCCTTTGCTTCTTCTTGACACGAAACCTTGCGGAGGCTGCCGTGTTACGGCGACGCTTGTCCTCTTCTGCTGCCAGTCGGGAGGCCTCCTCGAAACTCTCAGCCTGCGGCGAGGTGTGCGCCGCTGGTGCCGCAGACCCTTTTCGCTTGGCCGGCGTGCGAGCGTTGTTTGGCTGTGTGTATACGGTGGGTGAACTTGAAGCGGGCGAGTGCATGACCGAGTCAACCTGGCCAGTTGGGGGAGTACTATCAGAGGCAAAAGGGTTTACAATATCGCCGGTTGGCTGAGTCTCTAATGTGCCATCGAGGGCGAATTTCGGTAGTCCAAAGCTACTATCGATATCTAGCACAAACATTTTTGTAAGTTAGTAACGTACTGTGCCTCTGTGGGGTTTTCTTCTCAGCAAACAACGGGTAGAGGAAGCATTGTTTCTCGTCCTCCTATTGATTGATTTTCTCAAACGTGGGGGGCATGGAGGGGCAACAGTAGGCTACGGTAGGTAAGACACATAACATACCAGCCATGAAATCCATTTGCTCATCACTGGGTTTTTGGTCGAGAGAGGCGAAGCCTCCTGAACCCTTGAGCGTGTCGGACGTTCCGTCATCCAGCGGCTGGCCCATGTCAAAGTCGAACCATGAGGTGTTGGAAAACAGGGCGAGATTCGCATCGTCCTGAAGGTCGAGAAGGGGTTCGTCTACGGGTATCGAGTTGAGATTTTCAATATAGGAGGAAACATTAACGCCGCTGCGACGGCCGCTGTAGGTCCCAGCCATTCTCACAGAAGAGGTAGGAGGGATGCAGAGGGAATGATAACTATGACTGTACAGATCTGTAAAATTTGGCGGGCAGAGGGGAACTGGGGAAGTTTGACGGATGGCGGCGAGTGGGGGGGGGGGTGGACTGAGTGGGGAGTTTCTTTGTGGGAATCGGCTATGCTGATTAATGGATGGACCGGCCAACCGTCGGTTAGCGGTGTAAAACCCGAGGAGGCGGGGGGTTTAGAAATGACCAAAACCAAACGTAAGCCAGTCCTACTTGAACCTTTTCCCGAGGTTTGGCCCGAGTGGCTTTTTTTTCTCTCTTATTCTCTTGGAGTTGGTTGATACTATGACAGACCGATTCTTGGGGAACACAAAGCGGGGGGGGGGGCAGAGTTCGTATGTAGGAAGTGCGAGAGGAAGAAGTGAAAGCAGGGGAGACCAGTAGCAGAGGGAAACCGGGAAACAAAGATAAGACGGACGGGGCAATCCAAGCCAGCCAAAAAAAAAAAAGAATCTGTTGAGAGTGCGAACACCGTGTGAGACTTCGACCGTTGACCCTTCACACGCCAATTCTTGAAGTTTGTCTCAGTTTCCCCCCACCCGCACCCAAGATCTCTGCAAATACTCGAGTATCACCTGTCTGTGGACTGGATTGACGCTGTACGATACGAGTATTTTTCCTCGGAACGCCCCCCACCCAAAAGATGCGCACAAAATTATTTTGGATATAGGACACGGGGATCGCGGAACCGGTAAGTTCTACAAGTACCCCCATGCGTTAGGCCTGTCAACCAGCCTGATTTCTCTACGAGTACGATGAGATGCCTCTGTCGCACCGCAGCAGCCTAACCAATCAGCAAGCGCAAACTATTCCGATCTCACAAAGAATCCATCCTTTTCCTGACTCTATCGGGCTTGGGCCAACGGAATACCTTGGCAATCAAACGCCTCTATATATTCCGAAATGCAGTATTGCTATTGCCGTACTCGAGCATACCAAACCGAAGCATTCTGTGGCCCCGACTTATCCCCCCCTCCTGCTGGCCACCCTTTCTTTCCCCAGGGGACCAAAAGGGAAAAAAGGGAAAAATCTCCAAAGTATAAACTCTCACGGTCCGTTATCGGATTAATATTCCCCTGAAAAGTAGCCCTGATTATCCATCCCGACGGCACGTGTACCGCCCCGTGTTAGCAGTGTTTGGCTCGGATAACTTAACGAGTTCTGGCTGGTTGGTAAGAGATCTGGCACCCGAACCGCCAAAACTCCTGTGAACCATTGAATTGGCCTGGCTCGTCACAGACTGTCACTGGTTATCCACAGCAGATGTTTAGCTTATGTTATCGACCCCGCTATCACCCTTGCAAACTGAAGCACTTGTGCCTACCGAGCAGTCCGAGAGTTCGAGCACTTTTATTACAACTAATAAAAGCTCCGCAGTCTGAGAGCTATCTGGTGTGGGGTTTCCAAACGAGGCAGGTAATTGGTCTCTTCCGCAACCCCGTGCAATTGTACCGCACGGAATCCTTGTTCGAGCGGGTCGTTCGGTTCTGCAGAGTGGGATTTTTTTTTTGTATGATACCCATTCTTTTTTGTCCAATGTGATCTCAATTTCTGGACCAAACAACCCTAGTGCCGTTCAATTCGAGCGGGGAAATTATGAAGCTTACCCAGAACGGGAATACAGGCAACCGAAACAGTTTAGGTTATCACACAGCATAACCGCAACCGCGCCCTGAACCCTTGTGACTGATCCATCTAATACTCGAGTACAAGTAATCCCTTGGGGAAACTGCTGAAAACTATACAGCACTCGAGATACTCAATGCCAGGACCTTCGGAAGTGGCCGACTGCAGCCTATCATCACGGGTGATCACTCGGCACATGGTGCCACCTGGCTCCCTTTTTATTCCGGTTAGCTTGGCCTCGTGGATGGCTATCGCTGCCTTCTTGGTTGAATTTATAGGGAGAAGTGCGGGGGAACTAGTGACCAGTTACGAGCCCTGCTTCCTCCGCCTCAGCCCCTCGACTGACTGTAACGAGTGAGAACTTAGGAATGTTGGGTATTGACCGAACATGGCTTGCTACAGATTATGCTTGGGGGCGAATCACCGGTTGGAAACTGCACAATGAGGGCCTTTTTGGTGCGGTGTCTTTGCAGGTGGCAGGTGCCGACCCCCCCCCCCTCCATGGGAATCAAGGCATGACCCGGACCGCTCGGGGGGGCAAGCGCGAAACCCTCGGCTGCCGGTTGCATGGGAAAGCCGATCGGTGAGCGATAACCCATGTCGCAAGCCTCGTCCACGGCCTGAGAATCACAGAATATCATACTCGAGTGCGGGAATCGTCTACATCTGCAAACTCCTGATTTTTATCTGCAAGCGTCCGGGATAGGGAATACATATGGGACGAATGATTCGCCTGAGATAGAACACTCTTCTAATACCAGACCTACCGCTATTTCGGTCCTAGGATGTTGGCGTACAAGATGATGAGAAAAGCGGAATTCTACCGCGCTTGTATTGATGCTCGATTTTGATACACTTTCAATGGCAGGGCGGATAAAGGCTTTGCAACTACTGTAGAAAGGCCTTCCTATTTTCTAGGATAATTGTTGCCCCGACTCGCCCTTATTCCAGTGCAGCCACACTGCAGTATTTGAGAGGGGTAAACCCATCTATGCCCTTGCCGTGCCGTTAGATTAAGCCATCCTATATCTGCAAGCACTTCCATGGAGATGGAGATGGCACTCAAGTAGTCTGTCCAATTGCCAACGAGTACAAGCAGCTAGCCAACCGGTGCTCCCTTTCGCGCTTAGCCGATCCGGAATGATGCCTATGAGCAAGTTTGCTGCAATGAAAAAGAAAAAAACCCAAGAAAACAACCAGCATCTCATCGAGATGTGACGGGAGGATTCTAGCCAGATCAACACGAGTCAATCATACAAGTGCCCATACTGGCAGTAGCTGAACATCTCCGGGCTGGAGGCGTTGGCCAAGCAATCTCCCCAGTTCCAGGAAGCTCAGACGCCGCCACGAGGGGGGGACGAATCATAATTGCCAATTCGGCGCAATTAGTAGTACGAGTACGAGTAGATTCAGGTTTCAACTAGTTGGGCCCTCCTTTCCCTCTGCCCGGTGGTGTTAAAAAGTTGAGACACACTGGAGTTTCTAGCGGTGCTTAGCGAAGTGCTCTCTGTTGGGCCGGGGCAACCGCTGGTCCACCTTTCCGTGTTGGAGTAAGGATAGTCGGCACTCCAGGTGCGGAGTCTTGTAGCCGGCCTGCCCATACAAGAATGGGTGTTGAGGGCTTGAGGGCTGCTGGATGGGGATGCCCTGCAGTGAGAAAATTGTGCCTTAAAAGGTATTAGTAACCCGCCAGAGATCCCCTTGAGTATGGCGCTACCCTTTAGCAACATAGGCCATGTCATACGGTTGCTCTTTGCCTGTGTGCGTACAGTGCGAATATATTATTTTGGGTCGTGCATCTTGCCAGAATGGTTCGAGTGTTGCGGCGATGCTCATTGCTTCGAGGGTTTTGGGTTGAGCTCGTGCTCGCCCTTTATATCATTGATAGTCACGAAGATCGAAACCCAGCTGTTCCTTCGTCACCAACTGCCTATCCGACCCCGGGTAAGAGGGAGTTGTTGAATCTCTGAAGATTGTTGAAGAGGAGGAAGAAAGTTCTGCGTTGCCCACTTTTCAGAATGGGGGGATCATTCTCTGTTAGGAAGTGCAGTCGTGCTCGGCGATAGTGTAAGCCTGAGTCCCTGGATCTGCTTTCCTGCGCCGTGCATTGCGGAAACCGCACCTCGAACTCTTCATTCGTGGGGTTGATCAGGTGGTTCCCTGCGTCTTTCTCCCAGCGCCCCACATTTCTCTGCATCCTTTGGGGGGACATTTTATGGCAAGGGGGAGGAACGAGGGCCCTTTTTTTTTCTTTTCCTTTCCTTTCCTTTCCTTTCCTCCTTTCTTTTTCTAACTCTTGCTGTATGGTTACTGTCTGCCCGAGGTTTTGTTGTTGGTTGGTTATATAAGAGTGACCCATTCGTAGTGTACAATTTAGTTAGATTTTACCTCCAGGTATTCCCAGACTACGACCACTTCTTTTTACTCTATTCTTTAAGAGAGTGTTGAGCATTTTTTTTTTGCTTCCAATCCTCAGTAACTGAGAATATTGCCATAGAAGAGAATAGATTGCGACCAAGAAAGAACCTGTATCAATGTCGAGTAAAATCAGGTCATTGTTTCAGGGATTCCGGTCCTCTCTAGATGGGGAGAGGGGAACGTCTGAAGCTTTCCCCGGCGATGGTAGCAGCAGTCCTGCTACCAGCACAAGTACTAGTACCCATGACTCGAGTCCGGCGGCGATTGCAAGAAGGGCTCCACCAACCCCACCAGACGAAAAGGATAACCACCACCATCTGAAAACCCTTCAACGCCTCCAGAAGGGCATTCCTATCAATCCAAAAAACTCCTCCTCCTCCACTGACGGCAACAACCACAGCCACTACGAAGACTACGAAAACACTGAGGACATGACAGACGCGCAGCAAACTGAAGTGAATGGGCTCGCCCATAGCGTCTCCCACACGCTAAGCTTGTCCAATTCGCCCTCCTCTACTTTCCACTCTCCGGTGGGCTCCTACAGCTCTAGGACTACGCTCAACCGACCTTCGGGAAAACAATTGAAGCCGTTCAACACGCAGGATATTAAAATTGTTCTTCTCGAAAACGTTAACATCGCGGCAAGAGAGATTCTAGAATCTCAAGGTTACCAGATTGAATTTCACAAATCTTCCTTACCAGAGGACCAGCTTATCGAGAAGATTCGGCAAGTGACTTTTCTTTGTTCTGTTCCCGTTCCCTCTCTTCCGGTCATTTTTTTTTTCTTTTCTCTCGTGCTCCCATGCCGATTTCGTCATACCCCATGTCAAGCCAAGTCCCTGGAAAATGTTACCGATACTTGCCAAAGTCAAAAGTATGTCCCGACCCTTACCTAGGCACAAAGGATTGAATCATGCCTTGCTCGCAAAAATCGAAACTCACCCCTCACAACCTCTCAACATCAGGGATATTTGATTTATGAGTAATAGCCATCAACAGAATTCCCCTGTCGTTACGGCCGCTAGATGGGAGTAATTGCTATGTTGCCACCTCGGGGACGGACTTTTGGCTTTGGCTTTGGCGAGCAGTGAACCTGCGTGACATGAGTGGGGAGATAGAGGGGGATATAGGGCATTCGGCTAATTTTGAGTCTTTTAAAACAAACAGGGACGTTCATGTTATTGGGATCCGCTCAAAGACCAAACTCTCTGCAAAGGTGCTGCGTGAAGCGAAGAATCTGCTTGTGATTGGGTGCTTTTGCATTGGAACCAATCAGGTGGATCTCGAGTATGCTGCTAAGCATGGTATCTCTGTCTTCAACTCCCCGTTCAGTAATTCCAGGAGTGTTGCCGAGCTCGTCATCTCTGAAATTATTGCTCTGGCGAGACAGCTCGGCGATCGTTCGATGGAGATGCACAATGGCACCTGGAATAAAATTAGTGCTAAATGTTGGGAGATCCGTGGAAAGACATTGGGCAAGTTTTCATTCACTCCGGAAATTATCTCCTGGATGCGGCCACTAACGAAGCTTTTAGGGATTGTTGGATATGGCCATATCGGATCACAACTGTCGGTTTTGGGCGAGGCTATGGGAATGAGGGTTCTTTATTACGATGTCATTCCTTTGATGGCCCTTGGTACCGCTAAGCAGGTCCCTACCCTCAAGGATCTGCTCGAACAGGCCGACTTTGTCACTCTTCATGTTCCGGAAATTGCTGAGACTAAGGACATGATTGGAGCCGAGCAATTGGCACAAATGAAGCGTGGGAGCTACCTCATTAACGCCAGTCGTGGAAGCGTTGTCAACATTCCCGCATTGATGTCAGTTTGTCTAAATTTCTCCAACTTTCAATACGCCGGTGACTGATAGCCATGACATGAAAGTGAATCCATGCGTTCTGGGCATACCGCGGGTGCGGCCCTTGACGTCTACCCAAGTGAGCCGGCGGCCAATGGCGACTATTTCAATGACACGCTCAATTCCTGGGGTAACGACCTGAGATCTCTGAAGAATCTTATTTTGACCCCCCACATTGGTGGAAGCACTGAGGGTAAGTCGTCTTATGTCATGGCTTTAAAATAATTGGGGCTAATATTTAGTCTCAGAGGCTCAGAGCGCAATTGGTATTGAGGTTGGTGAAGCACTGGTCCGGTATATCAACTCTGGAAGCACTATTGGTAAGTCCCTACGGCGTTCGCAATGAATGGAAAACTGATGCCTTTTAGGATGCGTTAATATGCCGGAAGTGACCCTTCGTTCTCTCACTCTTGCAGAGGAGAACCATGTCCGTGTTGTCTTTATCCATAGCAACAGGCCCGGTGTTTTGAGACAAGTCAACTCTATTCTTGGGGACCACAACGTGGATAAACAGATGAGTGATAGCCGTGGCGATGTTGCATATTTGATGGCCGACATTAGTGATGTCAATGCTGGTGACATCCGTAGCCTCTACGAGAGCTTGGAAGCTCTGAGCTGTAAGTTGATTAACCGAGATACTCATGGGAACACACTAACGTTCTTTGCAGCTAAAATAATGACAAGAGTTCTGTATTAGTGCATTAGTTCCCAATTCATTTTTTCGCCTTCGTTTTTTTTTTTTTTTTGGGGGGGGGGTTCGGTCTGGCCATCGGTTCTTTCTTGTTCTCTTTCCTAGAAAAAATTTCGTAGTCCCTATAACAACATCCGCGGGGGTTCATATCTGATGGTAGTAAGTTGGCAACAAAAGGGATCTAATACCAAAGCAAAAAGTCATGTTTGGAGCACTTCTCATGATGGGGTACCGGTATGGTGTATACCGAGGGGTCGGATGGGAGTGGTGGGGAGGTTGAGATTTGGGGAACTAAATTTAAAAGCTGCTTCAACATGTTAGTAACGACTAGCGTAAACTTGCTTTTATTTCTCTGCTTGAATACTGTGCCAAACGTGAATACCGGTAGTGTGAATTCTAGTGAGTTGTTACTGGGGTATCATAGCATATTTTCAGTAACCCGCACTCAACAATCTAATTAGTCATCGCCACCCCATCCTGCGCAGGTCCTAGGTCAACAATAGTCTAGGGTCGACAAAATCACGACGGCTGCGCGCAGCTCCAAACATCACCAAGCAACCTCCACCTTCTGCCACCTTTCGAATGGGCTCTCGCCAATGAACCCTCCCTTCACTTGATATAACCACCCTCCCTCCAACACGTCTTTATTATCGCCTTTGGTAGAGCTCGCCTTGTCGCTCTAGCCCTGCCGGTAACCAGCGATTTTCCGCCGTTTTATTTTAGGGGGAAAAAGATCAATATCATAGCTATTCGGGGCTGCCGATCCCTACCGGTTGTTATATTATCCAACCCTACCGTGATCTATAATAATCCCCCAATCCCGTGATAAGAAAGGGAAAGGGAGAAGTGAGGAAGAGAGGCATCCACCATTGTATCATATCAACCTTTCACCCCCCCCCTTAACCCGCGCATTTTAAAACGAGAGCGTGTCGATCCCCGCGTGCTCCCTTCCTCGTGAGGCTCTAACGGTGACCTCCGGGACCGCACTAATCTCAACCCTTCCTACCTTCCCTGACCGCTTGTCCTACACACATCACTGTCTTTCCGCCCCACCATCACAAGCACACGCAACAGGAGAGAGTAAGAGACCGCAACAACAACAACCATGACCAACCAAACCGACCCCTCTACCGCCCACAACAACAGATCCGGCGCCGTCGAAGAAGACACGGAAATGGAGAACCAGACTTCCAGCTTCCAAACCAGCAGTAGTACCATTCCCGACGTACCCGGCAGTCTGGTCGGAATCACTCAACCGGTACCACCGCCGGTGCCAAAGAAAGACCGCACGCTAAGGGAATTCCTTGGAATGATGGAGGAGTATGCTCCTATCGTAACCCCCCTCCCCCCTCCACCCTCCCTGCCGTTTCGTGGCTATAAAGCTAACGGAAGAGTAATACCCAGATCCCTGACGCGGTAACAAACTACTACCTCTCTCTCTCGGGCCTCAACACCAGCGATCCCCGTCTGAAGCGGCTGCTCGCGCTCGCCACACAAAAGTTCATCGCGGACATCGCCACGGATGCGTACCAGTACTCGCGCATTCGCCAGAGTTCTTCGAATACTGGCGGGGGGATCCCCGGCGTTGGCGCGTTGACTGGTGCGGCCGGCAGTGTTGGCGGCGTGGCTGGGGGCGCTGGTACTGCACTAAGGCCCACTGCTAGGCCTGGGTATGGCGGGGGTGGGGGAGGGGGTGGTAGTGCCGGGAGGACGGTGTTGACTATGGAGGATTTGGGAAGTGCGGTTGGGGAGTATGGGGTGAATACTAGGAGGCCAGAGTTTTACAGGTAGAGGAGGATGCGGTGACTTTATGAATTTTCACAACTCGGGATACACAGCTAGCTGGAAGTGTTTTTCGCTCTTTGTTTTTTTCATTTTCATTTTCATTTCTAGCTCTACAGCTCCTTTTTGTTTTCCTCGTTATGCTCGTTATGCTTCCCTTTCCCCCTTCCACACCTCTTTCTCGTGTTAACACGACACGCCGGATATATAATCGCATTCCTACGAGGCATTGACTGGCTGGCGGCTGTATTTTATATCAAATTGTTCAATTGTACTCTATCATAACGCTCTCAATTGCGGTGGCTGATTGAGCTGCTGCATAAATTCGAATTTCTCGTCATGCTCCAATACACAAGGGGGAAAAAGAGAAAAGAGGAAATGTCTTAATCCCACCCCTGTTCGTCCATCAGCCTACTTATCCATCCAGTTATGCCATGTCTGTAATAGTAGTAAGAAGAAAAAGGAAAAAGCTATCTAGGGCTTCTGGGGGGCGGCAAAGTAGTAGTAAGTTCGAGAATAAAAGGAGTGGAGGGTGACAAAATACATCGTGGAAGCTACGAGAGAATTATACCATAGCCAAATAAAAAAAAATAGAAGAGGAGAGAGTGAAAAAAACACCAAATCCATGTACCCTTTGAATAAGCGCAATGGAAGTTTCAAAGCGAAGAAGAAAAAGACAAAGAATGTGAACCCCAATCGGACAATCCAAATCCAGTACTCGAGTGTATAGCCATCGATTCGTTTTTTCTTCCCAAGACATCCATCGTCCGTTTGTTCATTTCCGTACCGGTCCTTGTTTCATTGTTTTCCGTAGGACCTTGTCGGGAAGCCTTCTTTTTTTGTCAGACAGGAAAAAAACCATCACTTCAACCATCATTCGTGCAACCCCCTGCCGTGAAGGGATGAGCAGATTATCGCTTCCTCTCAAAATAACTGCTACTGCCCATCACAGCAATGCTCTGGTCCATAACCCATTCTCCAAAATTGAGGTACTTGTCGATTGCGGAGCGGACATCTTTGGATTCAATCTTCTCTGTTTGGAAGCTAGGTCTAGTGGTCAGTTTCGCCCGTCTCTCGAGAGCTAAGGTCTGCGGGCGGGGTTTTTGGGGAATACTAGGGGGTCCTGTGAGATATGCAGGGGAGGGGGGGGTTGTAGTACGTGAGACCGGTGGACCGCTTAACGCCCGCTAGAAAGGCGGAGAATAGGATTGCATCAAAGCTGTAGTGTGCAATTTTGCCGATCTGTTTTGTGGTGTTGGTGGTAGAAATGTTAGTACGTGAAAGATGGTAACGGAAATAGGATGGGGATGTAGCTAAGCTTCATTTTTGGAGGGTGAAATGGGGGATGGATGGAAGAGGGGAAAGGGAATTAGAATAGGAATACCATATTGAGTGGTAAGGAGATGAAACTGGGGAGTAGGAGGAGGAGTATGGCTGCGGATTTCGGTTGGTGATGAAGGGTGGAAAAGGGTGGCTGGATAATAGGTTCTTGAGCGCTGCGAGTTCAATGGGAGGTTGGTGGTGGATAGAGAGGAGGAGGTGGTGGTGAATGGGAGATCGTCGAGTGGAGGGTTGCTTTTCCGACAGAGAGAGCACTGTGTGCCGATGGTGGTACTGTCCCTAGGTGTGTGGCGCGTTGGTAGGTTTGGGCTTTGACACAATGACGGGGAAAACAACGCCATTGTACTGGTATAGGAACCGTATCAGAGAAGTTTACAGCTTTGTGATCATTGAATGGCATACCGGTATGACACGTCTGGAACACGGCCAATTTGTGCTTTCCGGGAGGGCGGCTTTATTTGCACCGTTTTTACAAGATCTTTGGGTTTCTCTAATTGTGTCTCTTTGGTGGAGAATATGATCTTTGGGGTATTATCTGTAGATAGCATACTCGTAGCCTTTCCTCACCTTCTACTCGTAGGCGTTGCCATGTGGAATATCTCGTGGCAAATAGATGGGAATCTCTGGACATACTATCACAGGAAAATAGTGTGACATGTGGCCTTCATGCTAGATGACGATGATGGCTTCTATGATCGCTCAAAGACCCGGAAGGTTCACCCGTTTCAACAACAGCATCACCGTGTATAGCGAGGACAATTACAGATGATAGCAGGAGGGTCATACTGGCTGGCTCTGGTGGGGGTCATTTTCTGCCAGCACCGCGGGCACCTCTTCCTGCATCTTCGATGCTTTCCTCCCCACTTGCCACTGCGCTGCCGGCCTTACCATCACTCTGCTCGTCCTTCTCGTTCAGCATATTCACCAAGACCTTCCCTTTCCCCTTGCCCCTCTTGAGAGTCTCCTCAACTTCCTCTACAGACTGTTCGTCGTTCTTGAAAGGTGGGTGTATGAGCAGAAGTGCTAAAGATTCGATCTGTCTCTGAGCCCTGGGGTTGGTGATTTGAAAATTGCCTGTTGTTCCATGTGAGGCAGTTGCAGAGGTGGTGGCGAGGGCATCCGATGACTTTATCCTTGCTTTCCAGACCGAGCACCGGCCTTGAAGCTTTCCAAGCTCCAAAAACTTTTCGAAGCCCTTCTCAAGGCCGAAAACCCGACCCTCTATTCTCCCTGCCTTTTCACCGTCAGAAAGGCCATGGGCATATCCTTCTTGATAGTAACTGCATGATATGTATTAGCTGCATGATAGAAGAATTCTGTGGAAGCATAGAAGGCTTACTCCTCTTCCAAAGATAGAAGCGGGTCAAAAATGTCTGCCATTGCTGACACAGGAGCTCTCAGGAGTCACTAATGTTTAATGTTGGACGGTGGAGAAAAACAACTTCGGATTCTGGTGGGTGTTAGGGGTTAGCTGCGGGGCAGCCATAGGAGGAGCCGCGACACCCCGCTCTCACCCAATAAAATTTACCAGTCAACATTTGCCGCTTACACCCATCTCCACCGACCTCTTTCTCTATTCACTCGGATCTTTTGCAAATCGCAGAAACCACAATATCGAGCTGCAAACTTTTTATGCACTGTAAATACCGTGGGGACCGCCAGAAACTCAATACTCTAAGAATTCGATTTTGTTCCTGACACTAAACCACGGTGTAAAACTTTGGACACAACGCTTTTACCAAAATGGCGTCCTTTAAAGTCAACATTCCAATTCCTGCTCCCTCAGGATCCTCAGCCTTCACTCAAACTCTTAAGGTTTGCCTGGCGGCATCTGCCTATGGAGTTCCGGCTCAGTTTGTCAAAGGTTTGTTTCCGCTTCATTTACTATCATGACTCATGACTCATTTTCGCTGTTACATAGTTTCCGGCCAGACCAACATAAGTCTTGAGATTCCAAAAGAGAACAAAATTCTGATAGAGGCGAATGCCATCGTTCGGTACTTTGCTGCTATTGGGTCAAAGCCTTGGTTGAAATCAGGAGAGGAGGTCTTAAAAGACTCTGCTCTCATTGAGTTTGAGGAGTCCGGACAAGGGATCAAAGCTGCGGATGTCGCCGAGAGAGCCATTTCCAAAGCAAATTTCTCAGCTGTAGGACTATTCCAGGGGTCGAGACCATTCCCGCTTTACTAATATTTGTTTTTTTATCTAGGACCCAGCACTCCCGCCGAGTCCTGCGGAAATAATTCTCTTCTCAAACTTATGGGATCTGGCTTCAACCTCCACTTCGGATGACGGGTCCACGCTCGCGAACTGGCTCATTAGGATTATTGGAACGGAGTGGGCAAAGATCGGAACTGAGCAAGCTATCACTCACACGACAGACAAGCTAGTCACAAAGAGCGATGGAAAAGGGGTTGGAAAGGGCGCCGTAAAGGGTGTTTCAATTCCGGCCCATGACACACCACGCGAGATGATTCAGAGAATCAATGAGGGTACGGGCATGAAAATAAGGGATCCTAACGAGTCTATGTAAGCCCCGGAAAATAGTTATATATTTTATGCTATCCCCATGGAGCTAATTCTACGGATAGACTCCCAATCCATGGCGAGAGAAATATTCTCATCACCTCTGCGCTTCCTTATGTTAACAACGTCCCTCATCTTGGGAACATTGTTGGAAGTGTCCTCAGCGCAGATGCGTTTTCTAGGCAAGAGAAATGCTATCTATTGTAATTTGGCGTACTATTCGCTGACAATTACTCAGATACGCAAAGGCTCGCAATTATAATACCCTGTACATTTGCGGAACTGATGAGTATGGAACTGCCACAGAGACCAGGGCTTTAGAGGAGGGTGTCAGCCCTCGGGCTCTATGCGACAAGTACAATGTACTTCATGCCGAGATTTACAAATGGTTTGATATCGGGTTCGATTATTTTGGCAGGACCACGACAGACGCCCAGACTGAAATTGCTCAAGACATCTTCCTAAACCTTCAGAAGAGTGATTTCTTAGTTGAGGAGTCTATGACTCAGCTATTTTGTGAAAAGCATCAAGGATTCTTGGCCGACAGATTTGTTGAAGGTACATGCCCCAAGTGTGGCTATGAGGATGCAAGGGGTGACCAGTGCGACACCTGTGGTCTTCTACTTGATCCCTTTGAACTTATAAACCCGAGATGCAAGCTTGATGGAACTGGTCCTATCAAACGCGACTCAAAACACATCTTCATTCAACTCGACAAACTCCAACCCGAAATTGAGGAGTGGGTTAACAAGGCTTCTGAAGAGGGCCAGTGGTCTAAGAACGGTCGGATAATCACTGAATCGTGGTTGAAGACTGGGCTTAAACCACGATGCATTACGCGTGATCTTACTTGGGGGACTCCGGTGCCTGTGCCGGGCTATGAGGATAAGGTTATGTATGTGTGGTTTGATGCTTGCATCGGATATATTTCTATCACTGCCAATTATACCAAAGAATGGAAGAAGTGGTGGAAGAATAAGGATGAAGTTAAGCTTTATCAATTCATGGGCAAAGACAATGTTCCTTTCCACACTGTTGTTTTCCCTGGAACTAAAATTGGCACTCGAGAGGGAAATTGGACTATGTTGCATCATATCAGTACTACAGAGTATCTGCAATACGAAGGAGGCAAGTTTTCTAAGAGCAGAGGGATTGGCGTGTTTGGAAACAATGCACAAGACACCGGAATTCCGCCTAGTGTACGATCCCCACTATATTGCATTATTAAAGAGCTACAGCTGACTCTGTTAGGTTTGGCGCTACTACCTCTTATCCTCCCGCCCAGAGACAAGTGATACGCAGTTTGTCTGGCAAGACTTTGCTACCAAGAACAATTCAGAGCTTCTAGCAAATCTTGGGAACTTTGTTAATCGTCTTATTAAGTTTGTCAATGCTAAATATGCTGGGGTGGTCCCTAATTATACTACCGGAATCAATGATCTATCCTTCGGTCAATATAAGGAATCAGTCAATGCCTTGCTGAAATCTTACATTGAGGAGCTCGAGAACGTTCATATCCGCGCAGGCCTTGAGAAAGCTATGGCAATTTCCGGTGAAGGCAATAGGTTCTTGCAGGACAACAAATTAGACAACGCACTATTCACGAACTCTCCCGAGAAAGCAGCGGCCGTAGTCGGTTACGGCCTCAATCTCGTATACCTCCTATCTGCCCTCATATATCCATACATGCCTGCAACTTCCGAATCGATAGTCAAGCAACTCAACGCACCACCCCGAGCTATCCCTGATGTTTGGGATGTCGATGGCTTGCTTCCAGGCCATGTCATCGGAAGAGCCGAGTACCTTTTCAGCAGGATCGAGGAGAAGCAGGTTCAGGAATGGAAGAACAAGTACGGCGGCAAGCAGGAAGTAGATGCCCGGGATGCAAAGAAGGAGAAAAAGAAGGGGAAACCGGCGGCCAAGCAGCAGAATGCTAAGCGAGAAGATTCGGCGAGCCCTAGTCCTGCGTCCACTCCCACAGCTAATGTGGAAATCAGACCAGTAGTCTAAGTTGATCAGTCATCCGCTGTTGTTTCGTCTTGGGTTCAAGTGAATAAAATTAGGGGATTTTCTTTGGAGTTTACAAGAGGCTTGGTAAAGGGGATGAGTTATCTTGTTTGGTTTAGTTTTTTCTATTCGGTCTTTTCTCGTCATGCGCAGTGTGGATCGACATACGAGATACCGAGTGAGAATTAAAGTGGCTCTTCTGTGACTTTTTTTTTCTCTCTACGGGCTCCATGAGGCCAGTTTGTGGTCGGTCAGTATCCGGGCTTGTACCTTGTTGAACTTGCTAGAAGGGCGCCATTACTTAGATATCTGCCGCCCTGCTTGCCCGACCAAGGCGGCCATGAAGCTCGTCTTCCAGCTATACTGCCCCCATTGATTTTATGAGGAACGGGATCCCGGTAATAAGGCTTCTATATCAGCATTAGTGACTGGCTGACTTCTACGCACTTGGATTACCCATCTGTTCAAATAATTAGGGTCATTCAATATACGGGTGAACTCGGGGGTCAACTCTCGTCCCCACCCTTGTGGCCTTCACAGAAATTTTTATCCCACCCTATCTGTTGAGTTTAGTGCTTATCCGTCAAACAGACTAGTTTCCTTTTAGTTAGTTTCTCCTAGTACTTTCCTCACCACTTTCTTCAACGTTAGTTACTGTTTGAGTGTTTCTTCATTTCTTCCCTGTCCGTTTCACAACCGCACAACCATGCCATATTCAACTATGGTATTCCGAGGTTCTCATATGTTTTTTCTTCCTCACCGAGGTTTCGTCAAATTCTTTCCTCCGAGGTCCTCATGTTACCGACCTCGGGTTTTTGTTATTTCTTTTCTTTCACTTGATAGTTTAATTAGCATAAAAGGCCACTGCTGCGCAGGTGGTAAGAAAATCAAGCTTCTTTTCTCGTCCGCAGTCATATCAATTCACTCTATCAGCGAGTGATATTTTGTGATGGTGATACTAGTATTGGAGTTGGTATTGAGTGGATAGGAGTTAGGGTTCCAAATTTGGAAGGAAGGGAAAAAAGGCAAGGAATCACACAGAACCACCTTTGGTATGATAGCTGGGAACTTGGGAAGCAATTGGGTATCTATTTTCTAGCTTGGAGAACTTGTATATATAAATACATGTACTGGAGTAAACTGGTGGGAATGATCCCCTGCATACTAGTGTGGTGCCCCGCACGACATAGCCATGGAAGGAAATGCCCTGAACGGCATCGTCCACCTGGCGGGCAAAGTGGTTTAGGCTTCTGTGGCCATGGGATAGTTTCAAGTGGATTAGTTGAGCAACTGTTCTGACGTTTTCCCATTTTTATTTTATTTTTATTCACCTTCTCGATAGTGATGATACGAGAAGAAAACCCCAGTGTCAGGGTCGAATAATAGGGATAAGTTACACGGATAAAGTAAATAGTCGGGGAGGGGTAGCGGATGGAAGGTGATTGACGATTGAAGTTCATTTGGGAATCAGAAGGGCCTGAAGAAGGACGAAAGACAGTGCGCGAGGGATAGCCAGGCGAACCTGTGTATTGGCTGCGGATATGATACACGGTCCAGCCAACCCAGGTCGAAGTATGATTGGCCTGGGCTTTTCCAAATGCTGCAGTCTTCATGAACGCTAAGTGGTGAGAGTATGCTCTCAGCATATGCCACGCGGCTAGTATTATAAATATTTTTGCGAACGATTCATTACTTAGCATAGCGGATACCTGAAGTTTCCCGAAGGTATCCCTAAAATGTCGAAAGATGTCTGCAAATTTGTCTTCAAATGCTGACTGACACTGACATCTGCTGATATGCTGTTAATATCCGAGGGAAGGAATATTCCACCGGTTCGCGAAAGCAACACATCACGATTCCATTTTCTCTTGGGTGTTGGGTCAATAGATGTGGGGGGCTGAGGATGAAATCTTCAACCCCTTTTCAGAACCAGACCTGGACATCTCCGCACTTCTGAAATGTAGAGGGTGAAAATTTAATAAAAGTGTATGGACAAGCAAAAGGGAAATAAGGAAAACAGAAAAGAAATAGCCATAGTCACCTCTTATTGTCTTTAAGCATTGTCCATACACATCTCTTATAGGCATGCTACTATCATAATCAACTAATGTAGCCCATGCCTGGCCACTTACCCACCGTTGTAGAAATATTGGGGTGTTCTACCAAGGATTAGCTAACTGCCCCTATTTTCACCCCCCCCATGGGCTTAGTGTAATTTTACTTCTCACTTGTTCGTATCTGTACTTGTAGAAGTGCCAGAGCTGGTATTTGTTGTTGAGTATTAAGTTACCTACTGAAGAGCAATCTCAGGCCTAGGACACGCAGTGAGAGAATTCAATAATATTCCGATACGTTCAGAGAGCGGGGAGCGGTGTGGGTGCTGGGAAACTTCCTATCACTTGGGGCATTCCTAAAGTGCGGTTGGGTTACTCGCGCATTGGCAAATTAATATTTGATTGTCAGGCCGTTATCCCTCACCACTCCGGTATCGTAAGGACCCTCAAATCCCTAATACTTTCCCTTACGGCCTCTTCTCCACCGCATCCTCTTCCAGGCGCTCTTCATCTCAGTGACTCCGCATTGCGAACTACCTCACCTTTTCTATTCTGACCCTGACTACCAGGTTGGATACAACTATTCGGGCGAGAATATAAGTGTACACTCCGGATTAGTGGCAAGTTCTGAACCCTCTTTTAGTCCCTCGTCCATAAGCAATACTGGCAAAGATAACGTATCGCGCCAGTATGGTCAGGCAGGCGCAGAGGCTGTTGATGCGTACCGCTCGTGTTCCGTTCCATCAATCCATGTCAATGTCTATATACGTCAGGAAAACTCCCAAAATCAGAGCAATCATGCGCGATCACTCGGTAGTGCACATATCTGGAGCCGGCCACGGCTGGTCAGCCGATCAAGCCAGACTGCGGGCCTTATTACAGGAACTCTGCGATAAGTGGCCGCGCATGCCGCCAAGGGCAGGAAGAAAGAAACTAAGCTACCCGCGTGATTGTGGTGCCGCATATTTGCAGGTCACTGATGCACCAATTGGCGCACAGCATACACTACTTTAAGTGGTTCCAGGTCAATGGGCCGATGCAAAGTCGGCTCCCCAGAGTATGGCCCGGGGTACAGATTCCTCCGCATGTGTCCCGAAGCCGAAGGGTCGAGAGGCCCCGTGCGTGGCTCTGGGAGACAACCACGGTAGTGAAAAAGCCCCTTCCCCGGCAGAAGAGGGAACCCAGTTTCTGTTGATCAGTTCCGGGTCTTTAGTGTGTGTGTGGCAACGAGTGATGCCGTTGGTAGTCGCTTTTAAGACATGGAGACAAACATAGGTCACGTGAGAAACCGCAAATGAATTGTCATGCTTCGCTCAAGAGAAGAGCGCAACCCCCATCGGCTTTTTTGGAAATTTCACATGAGATCTCCCTTCTCTGATAAGATAATTTCCACCCCTTTTCCCGCCACGGGTAAGAAGGGGAAATACACAGCCTTCGCTCCACTGAGGGCACTATGGGGAGAAGAGCTCTTGATAAAACCTAAAACTAAGCATCACGAGAGAGCACTTTAGGCGTGAGCATAATGAAGGCAGGTGGGAATCAAGGTGTTCTCTGAAGGAGGCATACCGGTTCTGATCACACCACATAGCTTTGGGTAAAGCCGCCATCCATTCACCCCCCATACTAGTGGTCTGTCTCACTTTGTAGAGTGGATTCCATACTTGAAGGGTCAACTCATAGAGCTAGGAATCTATTCAAATGTACCTACTTAGAGAATCGCTCATAGCCTGTGATATAGTACAAAAAATCCCAATGTGTTAAGTCTAGCCCTTTTTATCTGGTTTCGGATCGCCCGCACCTTCCCTTGTTGTCTCAGAAGCGGCTATTTCTTCAGCCACCTTGACCTCCGTTTCCACCTCAACTTCGGCCTTCAGTGCTTCAGTGGCTTCTGGGGCCGTCTGAGCGGTGATTCCCTGAGGCTCCGTCTCTGATCGAAGTTCTTCCTCTGGTACTGGGATAGCGGTTCCGGAGAGTCTTGTGCATGAATCCTGCGTCGGATTTTCCTGAGATATCTCTTTGGCTTCCCCCGCGACCGGCGGTTGGGCCTCAGAGACGGGAGAGGCGGCTCCTATGGGGGTTACGAATGGCTCTTCCGCCGGAGCATCAGAAACATCCTTACCTTCCTCCACAACTGGTGGGGAGGTGGCTGCAGCGCCTGTCAACCCGCCTTCCGCTTGATCTCCGGGAGTATCTTTGGTCTCCTCCACAACTGTCGAGGAGTTTTCCGTGGTATCTAACAACGCCTTCCCGGCTAGAGCCTTAGAAATGTGCTTGGCTTCCTCCACAACTGGCAAGGAAGTTTCTGTGGTGTCTACCAATTCCCCCCCTACCTGAACCTCAGGTGTATGTCTGGCTTTCTCCATGGCAGGTGATTGCGTTTCTGTCTCATGCGGGGGTGTTACCATAGCTTTGGCTGATGGGGTTTCAGCTACTGTTTTAGGGGTCTCAGGTACTGGATATGTAGCCGAGGATTCTGGTTGCAAAGGAGTAACCCCAGTTGTTTCAACAAGTCGTTCCTCTAGCACTGTTTCCTTTGGTGCGTCTACCACTAAGGCTGGAGATGCCGTCAAGGTCTCGGCGGGTGCAAAGGTTGCTACGACTCCCTCTGCTTGGTCTGCTGAAGGATCTTGAGGAAGGTCTGTGGCCTCCTTCGCCTCTGGTGGTATAGCTTCTGTAGCGAAGGCTGCGAGCTCTTTCTCCTGAGTTTGAGCTAATGGGGGTGGTTCGGGAACCTTAGCTGCCTGGGAAGAAGTTGTTACAAGAGTATCTTCTATCGTAGGGGGAGGCCCCGGGGGATCTGTCAGCGTCTCGATCTTGGCTTCATCGATCGGTTGAGCCCCGGACCCAGACGGTTCTTCCGGCTCGGCCGTTTCGTCAAATATCCGATCCACCCCATGTACTTCGGCAACCTCTTTTGACTCTTCGGCCTTCATTGCTTCCTCCTCCACCTTCTGTATAGCCTCGTCTACTTCAGCTTCTGAAGCTCCTTCTGAGCCCACTGTTTCCAGTGGGGCGGCTTGAAGGAGCTCCCTCTCGGCTTCTTCCACATTGGTCTTGTTTGCGAGAACCCTGTATTCCGGGCTGTTCAAGATTTCCGCAACCCTCTCGGCCGTTTCAAGGGTCTTTCCAGCTCCGCTATGCGCCCATTTAGGCTTCGTTTCCGTGTCCCGTAAATTGTCTAAGCTGACATTCATCCGTTTGCCAACACCTACAAAAGCCCCGAATTAATATAAGTAATAAATATATAACACGTGCGGTGAGAGGGTCACCCAATTCCTCGAAGCCCCAGACGTTCGCCTTCATGCCAGTTCCATAGAACTGGTGCTTCTTCAAGTAAGCCAGCCATATTTCCACCGTTTCCGGATGACCATCCTTAATCTGAATTAACCGCTTATATGTGACTCTCTCAAAATTTTCCTGGGACTTTTTGTGAGCGAAATGGCCTCGGGGAACAGTCCACCTCTCAGTCCTCCGCGGGAGTGGTACTGGTCCAGACGCCGGGAGGTTTAGGTAGTATGCTGCACGGAGGGCAAAGTCGCACATGAATTCCAAGTTACGAACACTGTAAGACCGTATCTGAAGATTGCATACTGGGAGGCCATATTCTGCCCTACGTCTGAAGGGCCGGTACCAAACCGACTGAATACTTAAGGGAATGCGAGGTTCCAGGTCGGCGTCGGGATCTACTGCTTCAGCACCTGGGTTGCTAGTGGAAGTCCTAACTCCCGTCAGGAGAAACCAATATAATCCACTGCCGCAAAGCAACTGGGACCTACTCTTCGGTAATTTCCTGGCGCAGTAGAGCTGCCGCCGAAAAATTCGACCTTGGTAGGACTGAACATACCTATCCATAAAATTATCAGTTCAACCAATTCTAGCTATTGATATCTTTTGAATGAAAACATACCCCTAACGGTCTTCGTATAGTCTGCACACGAGTCACAGCGGGCCATGATCGAAAGGCGAACATGTTTCAGAGTGCCTCGAAAAATGGAAGATCTTCTGTCGTGGGGCGACTTTGCCGTCGGGTGAACACCACGTGATAAAAGGCGGGTAACCCTTGTCTAACCCTGTATCACGGGGTCGCGCTTCTCTGCAGGAGGCGACTGTATAATCTACGACAATCCCCTACCGCGATTTCAAAAAGCTCCATCTTTACGAAAGGAAATCGAAAACTCAAATAATGGAGGCCTCCCGTGGACCCCCCCGGGTCAAAAATAAGGGGGCAAGCACCCAGCAAATAAGGTACATCTCGACACTCCGGACAAACTGTCTTAGCCGTGCGGCAGCAAAGCTAACAAGCGTCGCAGTGCCGAACAAATTCTCCGGGAAGCCTTCGAACGGCAAGAGCAAGGGCTCCAGGCACCGACACAGCGGTTCGCGGATCTCGAAGAGCTTCATGAGTTTCAAGGCCGGAAACGCAAGGAATTCGAGGACTATGTGCGTCGTAATCGGATTAACATGAACAACTGGATGCGCTACGCGCAATGGGAACTCGATCAGAAGGAATACGCTCGCGCCCGCTCAATTTTCGAGAGGGCTTTAGATGTTGATTCCCGTTCGGTCGTATTATGGCTACGGTACATTGAGGCGGAGATGAAGACTCGGAACGTAAACCATGCCCGAAATTTACTTGACCGTGCGGTCACTATTCTGCCGCGAGTGGATAAGTTGTGGTATAAATATGTCTACATGGAAGAGACATTGAGTAATATTCCTGGCACTCGGCAGGTGTTTGAGAGGTGGATGTCGTGGGAGCCTGATGAAGCGGCGTGGAGTGCATACATCAAACTTGAAAAGCGGTATGACGAATTTGCAAGGGCTAGAACTGTCTTTCAGAGATTCACTCAAGTTCACCCTGAGCCAAGGAATTGGATAAAGTGGGCACGTTTTGAGGAGGAGTTTGGAACTGAGGATAACGTCCGGGAAGTCTACACATTGGCTATCGAGACTTTGGGTGAGGAGTTCATGGATGAGAAGCTCTTCATTGCCTATGCCAGGTACGGCTATTCCTTTGCGCCCCCGGACAATCCATGCGCAAATACTGACGATTCCCTCTAGATACGAGGCCAAGCTGAAGGAGTATGAACGCGCCCGAGTGATCTACCAATACGCTCTTGATCGCTTGCCAAGATCTAAATCTCAATTGCTGCACAAGTCATACACAACGTTTGAGAAGCAATTCGGTGAACGTGAGGGTGTAGAAGACGTGATCCTATCTAAACGACGAGTCCAGTACGAGGAGCAAATTAAGGAGAACCCCAAGAACTATGATATCTGGTTTGATTACGCCAGGCTGGAGGAGACACTTGGGGATAAAGATAGAGTACGAGATGTTTACGAACGAGCCATCGCAAATATCCCCCCAACTAAGGAGAAAAGGCATTGGAGGAGATATATCTACCTCTGGGTATTCTACGCCCTCTGGGAAGAAATGGAAGGAAAGGTGCGCCCATAGTTCAACCCTTCCTACCACCAATATATCTTAACTTGTGATCCACGGGCCCATGAACAAGCCGCAACTAACCCCCCCCCCCCCCCACTAGGATATCGACCGCACCCGCCAAATCTACAACGAATGCCTAAAACTAATCCCACACAAACAATTCACCTTCGCCAAAATCTGGCTCCTAAAGGCGCACTTCGAAGTACGACACTTCGACCTCCCCGTCGCGCGAAAAACCCTGGGCCAGGCGATCGGCATCTGCCCGAAGGACAAACTCTTCAAAGGCTATATATCGCTCGAAACCCGACTGCACGAGTTCTCCCGCTGTCGCACGCTCTACGAGAAGCACATCGAGTTCAACTCGTCCAACGCGCAGACCTGGATCCGCTTCGCGGAGTTGGAAATGGCCCTGGAGGACTACGACCGCGTTCGCGCCATCTTCGAACTCGCTGTGGATCAGGAGCTGCTGGACATGCCGGAGCTGTTGTGGAAAGCCTACATCGACTTTGAAGAGGAGAGCGGCGAGTTCGAGAGGGTTAGAGGCCTCTTCGAGCGCCTTCTGGAGAAGACAGATCACGTTAAGGTCTGGATTAGCTACGCGCACTTCGAAGTCAACGCGGACGAGGGCGAGGATGAGGATAGCGTTAGCGAGGAAACTAAGGCGCGCGCGAGGAAGATTTTCGAGAGAGCGTATAGGAGGTTGAAGGAGAAGGAGCTTAAGGAGGAGGTTTGCTCCCCATTACCGCATAGGTTGCCGAGGCTAATGGATATACATGCAGCGCGTTGCGCTCCTCAACGCTTGGAAAGCATTCGAGCAAACACACGGCACCTCCGAAGACCAGAGGAAGGTGGAAGCGCAGATGCCCAGCAAAGTCAAGAAGAGGAGAAAGCTGGACGACGATACTTACGAGGAGTACATGGAGTACATGTTCCCCGCCGACGAGCAGTCCAACGCCCGGATCCTCAATATGCTACAGGCTGCCCGTGCTTGGAAGCAGAATCAGGCGGGCTCGGGTCCTGCTTGAGGATGATGTCAACTCTCGCGTTATTTTTCGTCACGGGGGGTTTTCCTTCCGTTCTTTCTTTTCTTTTCTTTTCTTTTTTCTTAAAAAAAGAAAGAGCTTTAATCCTCAGAAATTTGTAGACTCGTGGGCGTACTCTTGTAATTTTAGCTAGGGATTGGTCATTATTATTGATGCGGCTACGAATTTAGATTAATTACACGGCGGCAAGAATATTGCACATGCAATCATGGTATATCACTCATGACACTTTTTCCATTAAATTTTGAGAAAAATATCTCAAGCTTTGTTTGATGATCTGAGCCTCAAGGCAAGACTAATTGTGAGAGCCAATGATAATTATTCCAGATTGCATGGACGTCCCCAAGCACAAGCATTTCCCAAACAACCACCCAACCTTCCGTCCATCCGAATCGACCCCCCGAACGGCGCTAATCTGATTCACTGCGGATAATAGAAAACAGATATGCCAGACCCAACCTGACTATGACCATAAACCCCCACCATCTACCACTTGTGATCCTAGCAATTCACACATGAATATTACGTTATATAGCTCGCACAAACGGACGAGCCTATAGCACAAGCCAGGCTACTCTCGCTCGGCGCCTCCCTTCGCCAATCCACAGGGCCAACCGACCGACTGGCAATAGGGCACCGTCTCCAGAAACCCACCCACCGTCGACAGACAGCACGGGGCAGCACAACAGGCCCCTGCGTCGTCCTTCCTCGCCTCGCAGCCAGCAGGATCGGGAAAAGCCACTTCGTTTCGTCTGAGGTGGTTATCAAACGTGCTGAGCCAGGAGCACCATGTCAATCAGTACTCGTGACTGATGGTTGGGTTTGGTTTTGTGTAGTGAGGGAAGAAAAAAAAAAATTTCCCCGGGCTGAAGGAAGAAAGGAAATGGGACGTGGCAACTAAGAATTGAGAGAAGAAAAAAAAAAGGAAAAAAAAATATAATTTCAGAAAAGTTGATCAACCCGGGAGCTCCTTTTCCTATTTTAGCCCCCGTTCTCGTGGGATGGGGTGGAAATCTGGATGGATGGGTGGATGGATGAAGGGAAGGAAAAAGAAAGAGGGAAAAAGAAAAATGGGCTGGCGATGTTTCCTGGATGCATTTGTGAGATACTCGATTACCCCTGAGGGAGGGGGGGCGTTTACTCACCCATGCCGATTGGGTTTTGATAAGCATTGATGGTTTGGCATGGGTGATTTTTTTGTGACCCTTGGGTCATGCTGGTTTGGAAGTAGGTTGGGGGTTTAATCCGTATTGGCAGTTTTATAGCGTCGTTCATTGGAGAAGGTTTGGTCACCAGTAGCCCCTACAGGCGTATCAGCATGTTATGGCTCTAAGCACTAGAGTTGATCGAGGGCGTGCACTACGATTTCGAAGTACATTGTATTTCTAGACGCACCCGAGTGATGGCCCCTCTTTGATGATCTCACGTAGGACTCTCCGGGCCCTGAACCGCGCAGCATGTTGAGTAGGAGTGGTCACCTCCCCCCCCACGTTCCTTTGATCCCCAGTTAGTTCTCACCGGACCCCTCGACTTCCAGAAATTGTTTACGTGGGGACACGTGACTCTAGGAAGTCACCTTTGGTGCTCAGGATGAGCATCGGTCGAGCGAATTCGGCGCTGGGGATCGCACTAATGTAATAGCAAGTAGTTTCCAGATAGGGAATACCTAGCAAGCCTAGAAGAGAAAACAGGTTGATGCAATTCCGATCCTAAATGGGGACGGCCACTTAGCAGCGCCCCGAAGGCCAATGATTTAAACTGTTTCAAATCAATTGATCCAGATCATTTGCCCAGAAAGCCATCATTGACGGTTCGGCTTGCTTTGCAGCCTTAAGTCTAAGTTGAAGTCTTATTAAACGATGCTATACTTCCCCGAAATACCTCCAGAGCATTGCATGAAGACCTATCGCCTGGATCGAGCTCCATGTAGCCCTCAATAACTGCCAGAGCCAGTCGAAAAACGAACATCTGTATGAGTAGTGAATTACGAACCAGTCGGAATCAGATTCGGACTCGTCCAGGCCGATCCTCTGTGCCAAAAGTCCTAGGGACATGCTTGCCAACTTCATTATCCTGGGTTTCCGAGTATCTGCAGGATAGTAGGGCATGAGGCTTTGTGATAGGTCATTGGTTTCGTCCATTATCCACGTGTAACTGATAACTGGGATAAGTTTTATGATACAAATCGATATGGTCGATACTTATACTTATGCTCTACGTACCTAATCCCTTGCTTGATATGTTCGAGTTACCCCGGACATCAAATAGCTAACAATACCATCAAACTTTTCTTTGAATTCGAAGTTTCCAACCCCGACAGCACAGGGCCTTTCCTATGTGGCTAGCAATATGTCGACTTCGTATATAGGGAGCCCGTAAGTGCACACTAACGAATTATAGCCTGGCCTGGCCGTCGGATTTCGTCGAGAGTGGAATGCATGCATATTCGGCACCAAGAAATAGGGGCACCATATTTCTTCACCGAGTAAATCCTCCCCACGGGTTCCCATTGTGCAAGTACGCTCTGCGCGCCACCTGTAGCCTCGTGATCGGGTAGCTTCGTAAGGGTTTTCTTGTTGCCCGGACAGGCTCTGATGGACAAGTAAACCCCACGCTGGGCTCGCGGAGGTCAATTTAGATTATCAACGTCGTGGTAATCCTGGGTCGCATGACAATTATATTTCCAACCGTCGCGGCTAGGTGCAAGAATCTCTTTGTTAAAAGCTCATCTAGGCACCTACACGCGAGCCGGGTAGTATCCCCAGAAACCAAGATATGGGCCGTTACCACGATGACACCGAAATTTGTGTCTGTAAGATGACCGACGCACACCACTTTGCAAGTGCCGCCCAGCATTCTCTCGTGCAGTCTAGTGACTGACCATGGCTAGCTGTAATCTCAGCAGACATGCTGCGAGGTTCCCTGGGCAATCCATGATAATTGCACCAATTAGATTCCTTGCGCAATTCAGGTTTCCCTCCTTGGAGTACGCAATAACTGTTTTGCTTGCCGATACTATTCCCCCCACATCTGTAGCAAGATTGTGCGGATGTCATGAAACGGGAAACCCGTACCACGGCCATGCATGATGCACAAACAAAGGTTGCGTCCCAGCCTGAGAAAGTATCACAGGGTCCACAGGGTTGATCCTGCTGATTGCATCGAAGGATCTCTGGAGCCACCCAATGGCCTCAGAGAGGACGTTCTGCTGCGGTTCTCTGTGGCAGATCTTGTATAGCGCATTCACTAGCGTTGCTCACTCTTTGTCCATACACCTCTGCTGCTTTGCTATACATATATACTGCCAGAGAGCAGTCTAGCTGCCACGCAAGGATGGCCCAAAAAGCACAGTACTAGCGCCAGGCCCCATCCCGTAGCTGATAGACCGGAAGCCGGTCGTTGCTACGGCTTGAATATTGCCTCACGGTGCTTAGCGGTATTTTCTGTAGCATTCATAGTCCATTGTCGCTCGCCAGGGTCTACTCACTTGACCAGTATTGTTGATTTTGAAGCTGTGAGGCAGCCAGGGAGGTAGAGCTACTAGCCTAGACACGCTCAAGCGATCCCCATGGCTATCCCGAAGAGGTGCGTAGCATTCTCGATCTCATATCCGCGGGAGGGTATGAGTAGTCAAGTATGAGATGCACCAATAGGTGAACGTGAGGGGTTTAGTATTTGTCATTTACAATCAAGAAATGAATCACAATACCCTTAGGAGACCGGTTACACCGTGAGCCGGACCACCCGTTATTATTATTATTGTGCCACTGGCCTCTAGCCCCCGTGGGAATTTTTGGTCGCTCGGTCCTGGACTTTCGTGGGGGGATAACCAGATCCGTGTACACCTCAATTTGACCTTCACTTGCACGTGTTTTTGGCCACTTTCTCAGCTAGCCGGACCCCCTGCACGAGTCGGATGCCAAACAGACTTGTTAGATTGAGTTGTGAGACCCCAGTATATTTCAAAGGACGATGCTAGAGCACGGAAAACAAGTTTGGTTTCTACGAGTCCGCATCTACGAAGCAGGGAAAGGCGATGTGTGTGCGTGGGGGACCGACCATACAAAGCCCTGTTCCTTTTCTGCGGTGTGCCCAAGGGGGCATCAGAGGATAACATTTCTCATCGATATCCATCGCTGGCCGGTAAGCAAACTAGGGAGCTGTTAGAACAGCGGATATGGCCCGAAGCTGCCGTGTTAGGGTGGGAGGGAGTGAAGGGGGGTAACCTATTATCCGGCAGTGATGGCCCTCTATCCGGTCAGAGTATTAGAGGAATACGGGGGGTAGGTGACCAGAAGAGGGGATGAGAGGATGAGAGGGGGGGGGGGGGTAGAAGGGAGTGGATAGGTGTTGGGAGGTATGAATTACATGGGTGGATGAATGGATGTATGTGTCGAATGTATGGGCCGCGGTGACGGGCAGAAGGGACGGATTTGTACGTGAGATGAGTATGGTAGTGATAGTGAGTGAGACCTCCTACCAGTATGGCAGTGGCGGCGGAAGGTTGACAGCTCCAAAAGTGCCGGCCGGAGATGTAATGAGCTGGACTGCCCCCTCCCCCCTCCCCCCTTCTCGGGTAGACGCATTGTCTAATAGAAGGACGAGACACTGGTCTTCGGGAGCCTGCAACTTCAATTCCCATAATATGTGATTGTACGACTCGCAAATATAGGAGTAAGAGCCCACTCACACAAAATATTGGACCTCTTTCTCACAGTTAAGAACTTTAATCAATGGACTGAGTTCTCCCTCCTCCTGCCCACACAGTTCATTCAAAACCAGAATCTCCAATTTGATCGCCAACCACCCCGCCATTGGTCTTGTAGCAGACATACCACCTCTTCAGGGAATCCTGTGAGGAGGGAAAAGAAAGTAAACCGAATGCAATACAAATAAAGAAAACCTGAGGGACGGAAAACTCAAAGCAAACGTTCAACTCCGAGCCAGCTTCGTACCTAACGCCATGAGAAGCACGCAAAAAGGGACACATTGTAAAAACCTCGCCATGTAGTGCCCCGCCGCAGGTAGAATCTTAGTCTCAATAAAGCACACAGGAGTGATTCGGGCAATGACTTAGCCAAGCCCTATTCAGCAGCATGCAGGTAACAATCATTACAATCATCGGTGGCAAAGGCTATATCCTATGTAGAATTACACCCGGCAACGGAAGTGACATGAAACAAAAAAATAAAAATAAATAAAAACAAAGCGTAAACCCCAATTTATAAATCAATAATTCTCATGCGCCAAAGCCATGTTTTTTAGGGTGTATAGGTAGAAAGTTACCAATTATTAGCGCGGGACTGCGGTTCACAGTCGAGTTAGTAATAGAATATAAGGCACTGATGGCGGGGAATAACTGACATGTCGTTCATATCTCGTCGAATCGTGAATGAGAAGCAACAATGGATGAGCTTTTCCTTGGCATTTGGATCAGGGTTCTTCAAATGGCAGCTCGTCAACATAGCCTTTTGGGTGGTGTCAAAGGCGATGGTGCCGAATTTTTCCCAGTAGCTTACAGCAGAATCTTCTACGACTAACTCATAAATCGCCAACTTTCCCTAGTTGAGCCATCAGTAACAGTTTAACGAAACCTGCAGCCTTGCATTCATCCATGATGAGTGACAATTTCAAAGCGCCCGCACCCGCGCCCGCCCCCCGCTAAAGCGTGGAATAAGAGGCTTACATCTCTCATTTGCTCGATTGGGACATTTATAAGTTCCGCAAACTCCTTGTTTCCTCTGAATATCTCTCCGGTCCTCCGCCAGAGGCAAGCCGGGACTGCCATGGAAGCAAAAACTCGATCGTACTCGAGTAAGGACTTTTCAAACCATTCTTCCACATGAACCAAATCGAGATCCGTCAACCGATGCGTCCGCTCCCTAAACTTTGGTCTGAACTTGTCCAATTGCGATAATATCCTTCTGCGCGAACTGTGCGCCATGTTTTTCTCCATGTACTGCGAAAGTCTAGCGTATCCCTTTACATAGTTGAAAGGTTTCAGGAGGCCCGCTTCAAGTTTCGCTTTCAGGACCTGTTTCATCCTCTCCTCCGGAGCATCCTGAGATGGATCCGCGGCAGTGAGATAGTAGTTTTCCCTTGCTCTCTCGGCCGATGGCTTTACGCTCCCTGGGCGAGGGATTGCCGATATCGAGCTGGAGTTGGCAGGCGGTAGAAGCCTCTGCTGATTGAAGGTGGCATTACCCGCGTCAGATTGACCCAGTTGAACGTTAGACGCCGTGTCTGAAAATAGGCTCTGGTTCTGATCGGTAGTGAAGATCTCATCGGGGTATAGATTGCCGAGGAAGTCGCTCAGCAAGCTGAATTCGCTAGACACTTCCGGAGCGGAAAACATCCACTGCTGGTGATATGGATTGGTATACGATGTTGCCGGCTGTTGTTGCGGTAGCGGATGATCCCAGTCGGTAACTCCCAAAACTGTCAATTGATATGAGCCAGAAGATCCGCGCAAGGGTCGCAGCCAAGTATTTATATTAGGGTCCAACTTACAGGCTTGGGAGCTTCCATTGAGGGTTGTCCTCGGCGCTACAGAGACCGGGGACGGTGCGACAATGGACGTCCCTGCACCGGGCCTAGAGGGAGGTATGGGTGGCGGGGGGAGCGAGACACTGGATGTAGCAGTCGCAGTGGAGGCCCTCGCCTCTTGCTGCTCAAGTGTTTTGGACATCCCGTTGGCCGGAGGCGTTATTGACGCCTTAGAGGGGGAGGTATTCGAGTCCTCCTGATCGTTTTCTTGGGCGGCTGTAGAGGTCTCTGTCTTTTGCCTTTTGGGCTCGCGAGGCTCGTCGTGACATAGATGACCTATATTTCTTTTCACACAACGCATACATGGCCGGTCTGCCAACGTAGCACATCAGCATTCTACGCTCACTACAGACTTCTCCCAACCAGACCGTTGGGAGTAGCAGAAAGCAGAGAACTGAGCCAAACGGAGGTTTTTTCTCCTTACGTACCATCATCGCACGTCATGTGTGATCTTCGGCAATACACGCATGCTATCACGCGACCCTAAGTCAGTTTATAGGTTCTAGATGCTGCGGCGAGAAGGTTATACAGGGTGGGGCGGATCTCCACTGCCTTACCATGATTGACTTTGCGGCGCTTTTTAGGGCTCCGTCCCATAGACGTCTGGCCAGGAGTAGAAGCAGCCGGGGACTGGGAGCCCGGCGGCTCAGCAGCAGCACCGACAGTGTTCGACGAAGAAGCCGAATTCCCAGATGCACCACCACCTTGAGAAGTACCGGCACCCCCTCCATTACTCTGCTGAGCGGACGGATGCGGGGCCCTTGCTGCAGCCCCATTGCTACTCGCAGTTGCGGGAGGGTGAACCTCGGTCATTTGGAACGAAGGATTGGAGGAAGTGTGGGATAAGTTTCAAGTGTTATAGTTGACTCTTGTTTCGCCGCATTCGACTGAGCTTTCTGGTGCAAAGGACGAACCGGTTACACCCAGAAAGTCGGTGCGCTGATTGTTCGATCAGTGCTGCCTCGTCTTCTTTCCTTTTTTTTCCCTTTTTTCCCTTTTTTTCTTGTTTTTCCCTTTTTTTTTTTTTTTTTTCCTTTTTTCCCTTTCTCCCCTCAATATTTTTCCAGCTTCCTTCTCCTTCTTGGCCTCTCCAATTCTCCGACTCGAGTCTGCCACGCAGAAAGAGTGAAGCGTGTGGATGCCGACAGCGTGGTTGTACGTACGCGTGCAGAGTTTAGAGAAATGAATGGAGGCTCTAGGGGGGGGCTGTCGAGGTGTCGCACGACCAGAAAAGGTGCAGGCCGGCAAGGTCGTGGTTGGGCAGTAGATGGCAAAGCACAGACGGGATACCCTTCGCAGGATTGATACGCACACAGTGGGTAGTTGTCAGGCCGGTGTCGAGCACGGCAGACTGGTGCAATTTCTCTCCTTCCCCAGCTATAGGAGGGTGAATGTATGAGCACAGCACTCGCCCAGTAGGAGCGATCCGAAGGATGAAAGAAAAGCACAGGTAACCCTTGTGTAGGCTATACAGGGCCGCAGTCGCCTCTTGCCCGGGGTTGTATTCGATGGTGCTGAGAGGTTGGGGTGGGGTCGGGGAGAGAAAGGGAAAAAAAAAAAGAAAAAAGCCCTTGGAAACTCCATCTACGGGATCACACCGTATCATGCCCACAAGACTCAAGAGAAGTGCCTCGTCGCTCATACTGGCCGGACAACGACGCCCAGGCAAGTACTGGTATACGACACGAGTGGATAAATGTAATGAAATTTCCACACATCGAGAAACGTTTAGCAAAAGGAACAGTATTGGCCGAAGAAGATACAGACTGCCCTACCGTACCTGCACTCGGGCTCGACGACTCGGGGTGAACAAGGCTCGTTCCTTTGTTCCCCAGAGTTCCCCCAGGGATCCTCGCTTGTTGGCTCCATTTCAAACGAGTCCTGAAAATCTGCCCTTGCTTACCAGCTTACATAGCGGTACACATTATCATAGGCACGGGGATTTCTACATAAAATTTACATATTCATGGCAACCGACCCGCAACCATTCGACAGGAGGGATTGCCGGTAGTTCTCGGCAACGTGATGAAATGCGGTCTTTTATCGTGTCCCCAACAGACAGCCCACCCTGAAGCCCTTACTCGCTATCCCCGGATCCTGCCTAATGAGCAAGGGGTACTCGAGCACTCGAGTACAGCACTCTCACCTCGTTGCCTTGATTGCTGGCTCTGATCCCACAAATGGAATCGCCGCTACGCTTTTCGCCATAATTCCCCGCACCTCAAGTACGATCGTACAGCATCATGCCCGTAGGGGTCGTCGTCTTGATAGCACGAGGACAACGCTTCCACTCCAGCCCTGCGCTCTGACGCCCGCTTCTGGGAAGGAAACACTGCTGGGCAATACCATACGGTACCGGTATTGCTGCTGCCACTAAGTCTACTCGAGCGGTTCTTTGCTGCGCTCGAGCACTCGTATGTTCCTGATCGCCCATCCTCCCCTTCCGGCCCCGGGGAGCGGTGCCCCATTGAGACCGCAAACGGCCACAGGACAGAGTTTTCACAGTTCGACCGGGTGAGGCGAGGCGTGAACCTAGACCTAGACTCACGAGTGAAGAAATATGCTGGCTAGAGCGTGTCGAGTGATTGAATTGTACCGTGCTTGGATACCGAACGGGAGAGAGAACCCAATGGTAGATCTTCGTGCACGGTATGGTGAGCCATCAGGAAAGGAATCCGCGGATAATGAAGGGAATAGTGATCATGTTCATATATCCTTAGCACCTTTTGGTCATCGCTCCTCAACGTAGGTCGCTGGGCACGAGTGTATGATTCCGCCAGTATCAAACTTAGTTCCCCGGGCCAAGCTGCTGATACGCGGATTCATCGCCAGCACAGAATGCGTATGATACCGCTACCCTATTCTGCCCCATTTTCCCCATTTTCAGAACCCCCGACGGCACACTCGCAACCATCTAAGCATTCGAGCTCCAGCTCACACCCCTTTGCCAGTACTCCTCTTATGGTGGATCACAAGACGAATTCCTTCATGCGGGCGTCAGATCTATCTTGGGAACCAATTTCCCCGGATGATAAAACTTTCGAACCAGGGTCCTATTGGAATTGAGCACGAGGTAAGCTACTCCCCGATTTGAGTTCATCTCAATGTTACTTCACCCCTCCCACCCCGTCATGGGAGGCCATGATAGATCGTGTTCAGAGTAAGTTTCTTCATCATTTTTTTCTCCCTCGAGCGCTCTTTCCGGTTCCCCATTGATGGACGGAATCCCCAAGTTTCCTATACTAACTGATGATTTTGCTTTTGGAGTAGCCATCTATTTTTGTTCACGGGCGGGCAAATCAACCAACCAACGGCCAGCGACTGTTCCCTACAGTGATTCTGCCAAACTCGTTGTCGAAGTGATCAGTCATTAGCTCCACAAGCGTACATACGCGTAGCACAAGCGTTATTGGGGAATCCCCGGCTGTGGGTGTCTCTTTTCTCACTTTGGGTGAGAAAGAGCGGGGTAGGTCTTAGCGGAATAGGACTCTACTGGAGCAGCGACTGTGTGGTTAAACACAGATGGGGTGCCAACCAGGGAAGCTGGCAACTTAACGGCTCCTCCCGCAATACACTTGTAAGACCATATATGATACCTCTACAGTGTTCCGGAGGGTCTGGAAACCCTGTGTCCCGGGGGACCACCTCCTAGAAGCAGGGAGTGATCTACCCGCCAGACCTGCACCTCACCCCCACCGTGCTGTACTGCACCACCAGATCTCTGAGACAAAATTTGATCTCTGTTGTGATATTACACACAGCTAAAACGATATTCGAAGCTCCCGCTATACCCCGTTAGTGTGGCAATCCTGGCCGATATGCGTGATCGCGATTGCTGCTCACCCACAGCACCTTTGAAGCTAGGGGCTTATTCCTCGTATTCTGGAAACTACTTCCCTTCTGGTGCTGTGCCCCTATTGCTCCGTATGATTGCCACCGCGGTGAGTCCTAAGTTTCCCCTAAACCTACCTTACAATCATTGACATACACTGAAGCTATGCCGCACACGAACGGCGGTTAGGATCTGGATACAGAGTAAGCGTACCGTAGGGTTAGTTCTCAGTCCGGGTGTGCCCTGTTGGGGGGAGATTTCGGATCCCGAAAGGGACGGCAACTTCTCTCATTCGGAAGATCCCGTCCCCCCACTCTTTGGTTAACCATGTCATACGACGCTCCCTTCAATACAACCAATCGGTACGATATTGGTACGGCCTTACTCTATTGTTTCCCCAACTTATTGTCGCCGGGAGATGCCCAACGACCTAGCCTGGGTGGCGGAACGTCTTGGGCCTGTACAAGCGGTGAAGTACCGGTAAGTCAACGCGGAGGCTTCTCGGCACTGCGCCAGATATGGGTCAGGCCTTCTGCAATTAGCTGATATGTACCGATGCAAGCCCACGGTTCGTACAGTAGCACCGAAATTTCCACTGACCAATTGTGAAACTCTGTAATGTCAATGTTCACTCACTACAGAGGTTTCTGCACGATTCTCTGCGATTGGTGGCGACCCCGACCTAGACAGTATGTATTGTACTCGAGTACTCGTAGACGCTCTGTTTCACAGAAAGACACCGGACGGTCTGGGATCTTACCGGCAGTGCGTTTCTTACCCCATCGTGGTTCCCGAGGGGCAGACAGGGCGCTGATTATACACTATTATTGGACGGGCACCGTACCTCCACCGGGTGCTCGGGACTCTCTCGTTGCGGTGATCCGGGCGACAAGCAGGGAGCAAAAAAAAAAAAAAGCAAATTCCACAAGTCTGATGAAGCAGAATCTTGGATGCGAGATAATTAAGCATTGTGCTTTGCGAAAGCCTGTGGCGTGTCGCCCCACATCGATAAGCTGACAGCTCTGCTTTCTTTTTCCCGTGCTATTAATTTGATGCCTCACCAGATGACACGATCTAGAGGCGTCGAATGAGAGTCTGTTTTTCTCACCGCTCCACACCAACATCTAAACTTCACCGCCCGCGATTGTGGGTCATAAACATCACTGCCAATCACTCGTCACCTGGCATTCAACTCACTGCAACCAACCACTGCCCGGCTCGCAATACCGGATTGTGGTTTCTAACCCAACACAATCACAGGCCCCGGTTCGAGGGTTTCGAGGGGGAAATAAAGTCTAATAACTCCTCCGCGTTCACACTCTCTCGGCCGTATGGGCCCAAGCGACAAAAAAAATTACTCAAGTGTAGATAATTATACAGTAAAGAACCTTCCGTGTTTCTCCGCAGCCGCCATCCGGAAAATTCTCGTCTAGAGTCCCATAATGGTATCATAGGTCTGATCACCTGCCTTCTTAAAGAGAACCTCGTCAACTGCCGCTTTACCCTTTTGAATCCATTCTGCGACCTCTCCCAACGATCCGCTATTGCCCTGCATACTTGTGAGATGTTGTTGTAATTGGGTCGTTAGGGGATGCAGTTGCCGGTCGGAATCAACATCGTACAGAGATGCACTCAATTTTGGTGTGAGATTTATCTTTTCCACCCCGTCGATTGGATCTTGCTTTGACGGGGCATTGCGCAGAATGGGATGCATCTGTGCGGCATCCACCCGTTAATATCGTTGACCAACTAACCATGGGAGGACAGGTGTTAGGTGGTTAGGCGGGTAGTGGGATATAACACACATTTCGAGATTTTTGGCGCCTTATGCTTTCCTGCGCGATTGCGTTCCTTTTCAATTCCTGGAGGTATCCTTTTTCCTTTTCCAGTAGTTTCTGCTCCTTCGAAATCTCGACCTCGAGCCCAGCGATTTGTCGGAGATCAGGCTCCAGGATGGCTTCCAGCGCACGCTTGATGTTCCAGGGAAAGGGATGTCAGCAACATGGCGTAAGCTAACGGGTATAAGCACGTGGTGGCATAGCATACGTTCTTATCCAACAACTTTTCATAATTGAGATATGCATCTTTCCCCAATGGTGGAACAGGGACCTTCGTTAACGAATTCCCAATCCTGCCACCACCATAACACCGGTCAGCCAGTCGGCCAGTTAGGGTGAAAAAAGGAAAGTAAACGAGGAATAGCAATCAGCATGACGTGACATATTACTCGATCAATTAATGCAAAGCCATACCTCCTAACAACCCTATGCAACACCTCCTGCGCTTCCACCCTCCTATTCTCCCTCCGGAACGTCATGAGTACCGGTCTTTCCGCAGCCCTGACAACCTCCATGGCCTCCTCGCGCCCCTTATCGGATAGCACGCCCCATTTCGCTTCGACAAGCTCCTGCGGGACGTTGCGCACCCGCGGCTTTAGCATAGGCATTTTGGCAGGTCCGGATTCCTCTTTTTATTTTATTTTTAGAGTAGTCATTAGCCAAACCATCAGGTAGAAAGGCGACGAACAAACTCACTTTCCGCTTCTACTCCTGCTTCAGCTTCATGCTGGATTCGGTCTCCAGCTTCTTGAGCTGCCGACTTACGCCTCGTTCCTGCTGCCCTGGCCGTTATCACTGGTCGGTGAGGCAGCGGCATGTTACTGGACGCTGGGGTGGAAGTCTGAGCAGGAGGCGCTGCCCTGGTTTTCGCTTTTGAATCCGTAGCGGTGGCGGCGGTATGTGTAGACCTTCTCGTCCGCGGGCCTATTGGAACAATCTTTGAGTCTCGTCCCCTAGAAGTAGCGGAAGATTGTGTGGTTCTTTGTTTTCGTTTAGATTTATTGGTCGCCTGCTTCGTTAGCTCGCTCATCCACTTGCTTAGAATTAAAAGAGGGGGGGTTTACCATAGTTATGGTATAACCCTAGCGATGGGTGGAAACCGGGGGTAAAACGCGTGAAAATGTAGTGAGCTCGCAGGTTTTCGCGTCGGATGGGCAGGGTACTCGAGTACGGATACCGGTAGAGTAGCCAGGGGGGGGGGGTGTGGTGGGGTAAACAAGAATTACCGTGCCGTGCTGCGGTACCCCCGTTCTGATGAGTGCGTAATACCCGCGTAAACTTCAGTTCGCTCCGTAGTTATCATATCATAGCCCGGTTCGGGAAGCCACACTATTGTGGCTAATCACAATATCAAAATTCCCAAACGTGTTCCAGGTTTCCAGCTAGACTACCAACCCCACCATCCGCAGAAAGGAAAAGTATTCGTATTATACCAGCAAAGAGGGGAGGAAAAATGGTCAGCATCAAAATCCGCATGTTCCATTTACGCTCCGTAAATCGCCCCCCGCCCCACTCCCCGCTTCCCAATTCCCCGATTAACAGGTATAACAAGCGCCTAGCACTCACCCGAGCGGGCATCGGCGCAGCAATCCTCCCACCAGAAGTGCGCAAGTTGGCCCTAACGTTCGCCGTGAGGAACAAGGACGGACACATGGGTCCCCGGTATGTATGATCCAAGCTACATCGCCCCAACTGACTTGGAAACGTAACCAGCTGATTTGGAAAAAAAATTCAACGCTGGGTTATTGTAGGAAATTCTGGTACAAATATCTCCCCCGATTGAAATATCATAATCCGGCCGTGGACATGGAGGTGAGTCGGGAGGGGGTTAGTGGTGGTGATGCCACTTTGGCTATTGAATTTGGTACATCCCCCCCCCCCCCCTTCTGGCCCGTTGGACCCCTTTCCCGTGGTGGTGGTGGAGGACTTAGAGCTGATTGATGACTTTTTATTGGGGGGTGGGGTGGGGTGGGGTAGATGGTGGCAAGACGGAGACCATTCATGTAAAGCACAAACATGAGAATCAGATTGCTCGCGCGGTGATAGAGTTGACCAAGGCGAAGCCGGTGCCCACGTCTGAGGAGGATGCGGAGATTATTGCACAGTACGAGTTATATAAGGTGCGGACGGAGGAGCAGCAGGTCATCAATGAGCGGAGGAGAGCCGAGAGGAGGGCCGAGAAGAATGCTGTTGGGGGCATTGGGAAGCTGGCTTAGTGTCATCTCCTTCCTTCCTGTCTTGGGATATGTGGGCCCCACTTCAATGCACTTTTACACCGACTCTTGCTTTTTCCTATTTCACTTTTTTTGTGGAAAAGGGATCCTTGGGGGTTTGTTATTCCCTACGACTATGATCTTTGATAGCTATCCTACATAAGGCGTTCGCAACGCTGCGTAGCGGCTTTTAGTGAGAGGGAATAAAAGGTATAATAAGTCCCACATAAGGGGATGTAGGAATTAAGAATTCCACCAAGAAACCATGCCGAGACAGAATATAAGTACGCCAGCATCAGCAATGAGGGTAGTCCAGATCACACTATATCGAGCGATAGTGGTCAGGAAGGTTCCGAACGGATAAGGGAGGAAGCCTCCAATCGTAGTAAGCCAAGATCCCGGAGGAGGACGACCCTAGACACATCAAAAAGAGAGCATATGAGCAACGGATACGAGATAACACAACCACCCACGAGGTAGAAGGAGTCTCTCTCTACCTTTTCAAGGAAGAAGCGAGAAGATTGCAGGATTAACTCCATAGTGGCAAAGTACCAGAACATGGGCTATAAAAAGAGGGAAGTTAGCGCACACGCAAACCAACAAAACAAAACCAGTCCGCGTAATGCAATGGACGTTATGATTACCGGTGCCTCCTCTCTAGTCATATTGGCCGACTCGGCTCTCTCGAGCGCAGACCCAGTGAAGCTCCAGTCAGTTCCCCGCAGGACCCAGACGGCCAGGCACAAACTCCCCAGCACATGTAATGCCTTCCACCGCATCCCCCACGACTGCTCCCTCTGCTGCATTTGTTGAATCTCCGGAGGGGGCGTACCCATACCCATCCCCGGACCGCCCAGACCCCCCGGGCCGCCCACCCCGTCGAGTCCCCCTGCACCGCCCATAAGTTGCTGCATCATCTGGAGCATCGGATCCTCCCGACCGCTCCCCGCACCGCCAACCTGACTGCCAAACATGTTATTCTCCATCATCAACCGTCCCAGATCCAGATCCGACAGATCACCGCCAGCACCGAAAAGAGGATCCTGCAGCCCCCGCGTATCGGCGAGGGGACTGCTCCTAAACGACGGCGGTGGTCCCATTCCAGCAGATATATCCTCCCTTCCGATTCGCTCCTGCTGCCGAGCTTTTGGCTCGTAGTGGTGTACGGAGATGTCGACGTCGGGGGGGTCCGGGGTAGATTCCTGAGCCGGGCGAGCCACGGAGGTTTCTGCATCTCGGATTACCGGTCAGAACAAAAAGGGCCCGACCAACACTAAGGGGAGAGACCGAGATAATTCGGGTATGCCAGACTATCGTGGTCATGGTTTTTTGTTTTTTCTTTCTTTCCTTTTTCACTTTTCTTTATTGTTTGAACGTACCCTGGTTGCGGAATGTTTGACCCTGTGTCCCAGTTATGCGATTCAATCTTGAGCTTCCCCCTTCTTTGACTTTAGCCTGGCGACGCTCTCGCCGAATTCTAGCTTGCTCCGCTGGGCTCAGCGGCGATGAATTAACCGGTAGATCTTCCATTACTGCAACTGTAGATCTGGAGCCAAGAGAGAAAGTTTGTGGAAATGGTGAAAGTCTTTTTTCCTCGAGGTTGTTGAGGTAAGGTGTCATGAGCTTGGTTGTTGTCACGAAAGTTAATCGGTTCCGCCTTAGGTGATGACTATCGTCGTCATCTCTCATGAGCGAAAGGGGTAATCTGATACAAAAACCCATCCCAGCCATCCATCCTCCCGAAAACCCTCTCCACCTTCCTCCTATCTCATCCATCACCGTGTTTCCTTATACAATCACACCCCGCTGTCCCGTATAAATCTCTCTGAACCTTGACTTTCTTTCCACCCAAACCTCACCCGCTGTCCCGGATCCCTCGCTGTACCGGACAGATTCTCCGGATTTTGGCCATGTCAGCAAAATTCCTGGGTTTGTTGATGAAATTCTAGGAGTCAGTTAACTTATTTGCTAACCAAAATGTGTATTTTACAGAAATAATATCAAGACATGCAACTCCACTATCGACTGTGGTTAGTGGCCTTTGAGGGGTCATGATTTTGGCCTTTGGCCAAATTTGATCGCAAAACCAGGCCCTCACAGCACAAATTGGTCAACAGCAATTCCAGATCATCGCACTTCAAGTTGAGAATTGGAGTTTGAAGCACCACACCCCGCCGAGCACCCAAAGAAAGAGGATGGGTTAGGAGGATCCAAGTCTGTGGATTTATCCCCAACAAAGAGCACAAGTAGTTGCCCGGGATAAACTGCGATGTCCACGAGCGGCCGGCGAGAAACGGGGGGAAACGAGTGGACAACGGGCAACGGGCAACGGACAACGGGCAACGGGCGGGCAATGGGGGGAATGGGTGGGCAACGGACGGGCGGCGAGTGAGCGGTGGGGGGAAGTGAGCGGGCAGCGGGTGGGCGTAGTCTACATTTTTTCTTTCTACGGTACTCATGTGGAAACTAGTTTTTTTTTTTCCGTTGTTATGGAAATGGGGGGGTTTTTTTTTTTTTTCCTACTCTTTTGTGGACGTGGTTGTTTTGTTTTTTTCAGCTCATGTGGAAATGGTTACTTTTTTTTTCCTGCTCATGTGGAAACTGTTTCCCTCTTTCTGCTCTCATTATCGATTTCGAAAAGGTCACTGCGCAAACTCTGCCCGCGGGATAAATTTATCTGTTCTGAACTGGGCAAGCTGAACCGAGGATCTGCGCAGGGCTAATAAACCCTAAAAATTTATGCTATTAGCCAATACCGGGTTATAGTGTGCGTTTTTACCCTTTGAACAAACCACGATACCGCGATATCACACTCAGATCAGACAGGTTTTTTTTTCATTAGGTTACGGTACTCGAGTACATGATATCGATCCACAAACGGCAGAACAGAACGAGCCGATACCGGTAGCCGGGCAGCCAGTGACTATCAGCTTGCTGCGGGCGCCCCAGGTACGGTTCGCAGTACATTAATTAAAACAAAAGGGACTGCATCCAGAAAAAGATATCGGATAAAGAAGAGAGCTTGAAGTGAAGAGTAAAGGATAGAAGGGAAGGGAGGGGGAGGGAAGGAAGGGAAGAGGGAAAAAGATACAGAGAATTCAACTCCAGGAAAATACAGTAACAGAGACACGTCCGTGGTCGTACACCTCCGATTGCCATCATTCATCCAGATGAGTAAGGAGGGGAAAATATGAAATAAATGAAAATGGAACATAATGTAAGAAAAGCAATGAAACCAATAACTCCGGCCCCCCATAAAGTATTTTTTACCACCGCTCTACTTGCTGGTATTTTACCCTAACCCACAAATACCCAACGCGTACTCCACCCCAAAATCAAAGCATCCACGCATAACTAGTAAGCCCGATCCATCTGCAATTGCTGGAGCTGCTGCAAATACAAGCGTAATCGAGCGTTTCCCTTCTTGAGGTCATCCAAGTAATTGGCGGCATGTACCAGAACCGCACTCTTGCTGTAGCCCCCGGACGAAAGCTCCGGGACCAGGGAACAGAGGTCTTCAAAGCCCTGACGGATGAGGTTTCGACGCTTCTGTTCGCTATGTATGTGATTTTCCCTCTTTTGCGCCTCGGTCAAGTTGTCCCTTTTCTGACCACCAGCCTTCTTCTTGGCCATTCGCATGCTCGCCTCCGACTTCCGGGACCGTGGTTTACGAGCCGACTTTGAGAAATCTTCCCCCCCATCCATGCGCCTCTTTAGCATTGCACTATTTCTCGAGGGGGATGGTGTGCTTTCGTTACCATCGTACACGGGTGTGCCGGAATCGTCGTCCTCCGTATCCCCTCCGCCCTGTTCGTACTTTATTTCGGTGGGCGAGTTCACGGCGGTGGTGACGGTGGAATCATTCCTGAATGCAGCGTAAACCCTCGAGCGGACCTCCACCTCTTTTTCCTCGAGCGGCACTGGAAGTGCAGGAGGATGGTACCCGTTGGGCGCAAAGTTTGTATCCGTGCCAAAGTTGAGAAGGTTGTGATTGCCGATCTGCTGAGAAGCCTGCCCTTGTTGGCGTTGCAATAGCCCACGGCTAGCGTTAAAGGAGTTTATATCAACCTGCGAAGGCGCAGCGGAGACTGGGCTACTGGTGAGGTATCCATCCATGCTACTACTCAAGTATTGATGATGGTGGTGGTGGCGTGGTGGCATTTCCGGGACGGTGTTCTGATAGTTCGAAGGCATCTCTGGTGACCAATAGGGAGGATCATCGGGGAGTTCGGAGTCGAATAGATTTGAAGAGGGCATAGAGCCTGATCCGATACTCTCAAACCAGTTCTCAAGCCCTTTTTGCTCGTGAGTATCAAGCAGTGGCGGGCCGACCGGGGCGGGGGGCGACGGGGCGTTGAATCGGGCCTCAAAGCCATCTGCGAAGGTTCAGTGTTAGCACGAGGAAAGGCTAAATTGTCGGTTGCTGAAAGGGCGGGGGGAAGGGCGGTGAAGGAGAGAGTGAGGAGGCGCACGGGGATATAGGCGGGGCAAGGCGGGGCACAGGTGGTTAGAGGGGAGGGGGGGGGGGGGGGGGCGGGTTCTCACAGAAATCGAAGGTAGAGCGAGAAGAAGCCATGGGATAGCAATGTTTGGGCTTAAACTTCAGTATATCGTGATTGTAGTGTGAAGCGTTGAGCATTTGTAAGGATGGTGGATGGACGACGGGGACTGAAGCAAGGGGGCGAGGAAGCGTACTCATCCGCAACCGTCGAAAGATGGATGGATGGGGTGGTTGACCTTCTGTCTCCGCAACGGAATGTGGGGGAGTGGATGGCACTAACGGGTAGCGAGCGTAGGTTTTTGGGTAGCGGGCTTGTCGAGTCTTAGTGCACCGGTGGTAAGAGCAGCACAACCAGCAGCGGTAGCAACTGTACCGCTACGATAACAGGCAAGGGAAACGGGACAACCCCAACGGGCAAACTGCTGCTGTGCCGGTAATCTACCAGCAGTGATACCGGTAGCAACGACAGACCACCGGGCAGCAGCAGAGCTGTGACTAGCGGCGGGACGGGGAGGGAGAAGGGAATGGGAATTTAAAAAAAAAATCCAACTCTTTCTCGCCCGCTACTGTTTGCCTGTATGCCGTACCGTACGATGATGATACGAGCGTCCGTAGTAGTGGGTAGTGCGGACGTGCCTGCGGATGGGATAGAACAGTCGGCAAGATTGGGATGAAAGAAAAAAAAAAGGCTGACCGTCCCTGCTTGCTTATGATGCGGGAATCTTTCTCCGTACCGTATCTCTCTCTTCGTGCTTTGATCTATATCCTTCTTGAGGGGCCGGCCGTAGTGTCGTCGCACGAATCGAAATCAATCCAATCAGCCAAGATGTCAGTGGATAATTGCTTATGTTTTTCCTTGTGCCTTTTGCTTCTGGTCCTGGATCCTCCGAGTCCTTTTCTATATCTGCCCCGGGCGCTGCAAACTGACTGACCGACAATTCTTGGATGCGATGTATCGTAGGGGTTCGATGGGACGGCAAGCCGATGATGGAGATGGGGGGATTAGATATGCTGGAAGACCCGCTGTCCAAGGTCCTAGGTTTATCTCTATTTTCCATCTCTCCGATTGATGGGGAAAACATGACCCTTTTGACTTGTCTCTGTATTTCTTTTTTATCCATTCCCATCCATGCTTGACCGTGGGTGCCTGAAGCGTCCTGTCCAGAACTGTATGATACCATAACTTATGAGGGGTAGAGAGACCAGGAGAGGAAAGACTGGCAAAGCAAGCAGTCTGCGAGTACACTTCCTCCACCACCCCCCCCCCCCCCCCCCGCCACGCACACACACCTTCCTCCTCCTTGAACATGGAAGGCTCCGTTTCTGTTTCCAGACCTCAGCGGTATGTGGTGGGTGATGGTGAGAACTCACCCACCAACCCTGCAAGTGCATATACATCTTCACGTGTTGTACGACCCCCAACGCTATCACCGTCCTCGGGTCTTCTACGGCCCTGCACCACCCTTGACCCACCAGTTGGAGGGTCTGAGAAATAGAGTGAATAGACTACGCCGCGCGGTGCACCCCAACGCCCTTAGGGTTGTAGGCTTGCATCAGACGAGAGGGTCAGGGCCAGCTCGCTGTCTCCAGTTCGTTCATCAGTCGGCACTCGACGTGAGAAGGCCCCCTACCCTCTGGCCGCCTGACCCGCCACCTGTCTCCCCACGTTTACAAAAGCTTGATTTGGGTAGTTTAAGTATTCAGCCGGGGTGGACACACTGTGTGCCCATAGAGCACCACCAAGCATACCCGGAGACGATGCACATGCGATGGATCAGGGCAGTTCGTGCTATCCGTACATTTTCGCTGCCTGGTAGTGTACTCGAGTACAGTACTGTACCTAGAGCCCATCCCCTTCAGTGGAGCCTTGCCTCCCGGTACGGGCAATGCCAGTACGGCGGAGTGAGGGGGAAGGGGAAGGGAGGGATGTGGACATCACCACTTGCATAAACGCCCGCAACAGATAGTGCGCCTGTTTGTAGAAGGCCCCCCCTCTCATTTACAATGTTTCAGATCCTTCGAAGACCCTTCTATAATGCTTCTTCTCCGCATTTCAGCATGGGCTCCTCTGGTCAAGTTCGCCCCCCAACTAGGAGCTTCATAATATAGGGTAATAGAGGCAAAGCAATAGCACAGCAATAACCGAGAGCGTGTTTGGCAGGAGTATTCCTCCTCCCCGGTCGGGAATGGGCTAAATTTGGCGCGAAGGGTTGCGCACTGTACGAGTATGATGCTAGTAGTGCGGTACTACCGGTACAGTGCTGAAGAAAGTGTTCCGGCAGGTGTGACAGGGGTTGGGAGGAGAAACGCTCAGGGAGTTATCTAACTGGTCGAGCCCAACCCTATCTCGACTGCCCTAGATCTGCCAAAACCGGTAGCCCAGGATGGTAAAGGGTTTTCTTTTCTTTTCTTCTCCTCGCTCTTTATTTCGTTTTTTTCATTAATTTTCTTGTTCCCCTAATGGAGCAGATTTAACGGTGGTGGTGGTACGGTACTCGAACAGTGCTCGAGTAAAATAGTGGCGCCAGAAACCTATTTGCAGGCATGCATGTCAAGCGCCAGTTCGATCAACCCACGATCTTTCTCCCTCGAGTTTCTGTTTCCGGAACTCACCACATCCCCCATCCTTCCCTGCCCTTCCCTCTTGTTTTTTCCTTCTTTCTACTCTTGAGGTTTCAAGTGAGCATGCATATATCTTACCTTTTTTTTTTGTGGGATATTTTCTTACGCTCATTGCTGTTCCCGAAGGTTGCGAGAGGGAGCCAACAGCTCGCTCCGTTTCTTCTTTCCAGAGCTTGATTGCGCAGTAACGTTCACCGGGGACTATATTGAGGTTTCGCTTTGAAGAACCAGATATACTGTGAATTCTCGGGTTCAGTGGCTTGCCAGGTGCTAGTTGGACAGAGCTCTCCCTCTCAAAAAAGGGTTCTCAACCTTTTGTCCGGGGAGCCTTTTTTTCCCTTGCAACTTTTAGAAAATCTACAATAATCTGCGGTAGACTACGCTGCCCAATTTTTGTTGCTACTCGTTCCGTACGGTACTCGAGTACACCCACTACGGTATTGCTCCCCAGGCTGCTTGTCGCCACCGTCTCCACGGCGACCACCACAACCGCACCCCTCTCTCACCATTTCCATCCGGCCCCGGCTCTTTTTTTTTTTTTTTTCCTTCCCCTTTTTCCTGTTCCTTTCCTTTCCCCCCCTTCTGTGTGCGCGCGCGAGGGAGTGTGAGAGAGGGCGAGAGAGGGTGAGAGTATTTGACGAGTGTGAGTGAGTGAGCGACTACTGTAAGTGACAAGGTGAGAGAGATCAAGCCACCCAGTGTACAGTACTGTACTGTACAGTGCGCGCGTGTATTCATTCACTCGGCACCTCATCGTGAATCCCTCTAGTCTATATCTTACCTTACCCCACCGTACATCACTCCCCCTACCAAACAAAAAATCAAAAGAAACTTGTTTCTGCGTAGCTAACCTGCTTAGTAGATAGCCACTTATTGCTGTACTCGTGCCGCTGCACTATTTGTTATTTATCTCATTATTTTTATTATCGCGGCATTGAATATTGGTTCTGGCCCCGTTCCTGCCGTCAAATGTCTCTCACTTCCCACTCCTGGTATGGGTGTGTATGTCTCGAATCTGCGCTTACTCTATACACCTTTGGCTTTGTGTGCACAGAAGCAGTCCCTCAATACGGTAGACTAACAAACTAACCCACCACCTCGCTATCCGAATTATGGGTTTACCGGTACTTCGTATGCCCCCACATGGTTTAAAGGAGTTTAACCACTATCCTCATCTTTTCTATCCGTTAGTATTCACAAACAAACACCCCCCCCCCGCCCCTCCCTCCCTGACTCCCTGCATTAACCAATAGGCATAAAATTCGCTTTATTACTTCTATTTTCCTTGCTTGTTCGAGAAAGAAACCCCCGTACCGTACGAAAGAAAAAAAAAATTCCTCACCAAAACTTGAGTTAAACGCCATAGCTGATATCATCCATTCTCCTCCTGCCCGGTCCACGTACTGGAGCACAGTTTTCTCAAAGCATATGGACTTGGCTTCTTGTACTATCTGAGTCCTCGCATCTTCGGTCTCGTGCGCTCGAAGGTTAAGCAGAGGATAAGCAATAAAAAGAGCAATGTTGTTTCACCTGCAGTGAGTGGCTACTGTCCCTGCAAGTCCCACTTGTTTTTTCATCCTTAGCTTGGAGCGTTCGTTCGGCAAATCAAGGACGCAACTAAGTATTTATACTCTTTTTAAAGAATCTTAACTGACTACCACCCCTCCCCCCCCCCCCCCCAACCTCCCTCTACGCGGCCAAAAGATTGTAGATATTTTCAGAAAGTCCTCCGAACTTCACCGCTTTCCCGCATTTTGCGGCGTCACAGTGGGTGGTTGGCATGTCTTGCAGCCAATCTTCGAGAAGTTTTTGGGAACTGTCGGTAAATTTTCCGAATCTCTGGGTGCCGAAAAGACTACCGGTGAGCAGAGACGCAGGGTTGCTACGTTTTTGGCATCGGCATCGGCTGCTGCTGCCGCCATACGACAATTGAACAGTCGCGGTGTAGAAAGCCCGGCAGGGCGAACGCTAGATCTCACCCTCTTTGCTGTCGTGAGAGCCCTGGACGTTGTTATTGGTGAAATCTGGGCTCGCGGAAAGGCACACCGGGTTCGCTCTGGGGCCTTTGCTAGACTTGATAGGATAATTGAGGGCAATGTTGATGTAGCTGTATTTGCTGCGAGTGCTGCGGTGATAATGTTTTCCTGGTTCTATGAGCCGGAGAAGCTGCCAAGGTGAGTTTTTGCTTTTTCTGTGCTCCACTTTTGTGCTCCTCTGCTTCTTTCTTGTCGTGGATTATGTTCCGGCAAGCTAACCATAATATTCTCTCCAAGAACTTACAATAAGTGGATAAGTGAAATCGCCGAGGCCGATACTCGTCTGATAACGGCGTTGAGGCGGATAAGATCTGGTGAATTCGTATATGGAAAGGAGACAGGGCAGGCCCCCTTGTTGCAGCCTTTATGCGAAGATCTCGGTCTACCCAAGGCTTGGGGTGACCCAGCTGTGACGAAACGTATTCCTTGTGAGGTATGTATACACCCACTAGTAGGATACACACACTCTCTCTTCGCCATGCATGAAGCCCAAGTTTCAAATCCCTGGCTCATTTTTTTTTTTTAACGAATTTCTCGTCAACCTATAGCTGGTTCACCATGGCTTCTCAAAGAGCTGCGAGCTCCACGCATGTTGGAGATTCTGGAACGCATGGAAAGCAGCATTCACCATGTACTTGGGATTGAATTTCCTGGTTCGGCTTCGAAACGGTCTCAGTTCACATACGTCCTTGCGAGCTATCAGTGATGCGGCAAGGTCGGCGGCATTCCTTGGTGCATTCGTCGGCACCTTTTGGTATACCATCTGCTTGACACGAACTAGGTTGGGGCCGCTTTTTTGGCCGCGAAGTGATCAGTTATTTTTGGAGAATCTGTGCGTGAAAATGGGCTGTCTGGGTTGCGGTTGGAGCATTCTGGTGGAGTCGGCTCGCCGCCGTTTGGAAATGACATTCTTTGTTGCTCCCCGTGCACTGGGGACTCTTATACCGAGAAAATACGATAGGAAGGTGTGCGGTTTTCATACTCTACCCTAAGTTACGCCCTTCCCATTATTTTTGGCTAACCTTGGCGTTTCTCGTCTCACCCCTTACAGCACCTCTGGAAGGAGACTTTGGTATTCGCAGTGAGTGCTGGAATTGTCTTTACTGCGCTCAAGGAGAACCCGAAGAGGGTAAGAGGAGTGTTTGGAAGATTTCTGAATAGTGTGGTTTCGTAGAGCAAAGGAGGGGTATTCCTCAAACAAGCCCGAATCAGACCGTGGCTTTTTTTTTTTTTGGGGGGGGGGGTAGAATAGAGTTATCGATTCACATACTTAATTTGAGTTTGCTTCATAATGTTTAGAGGTCCTGCAGAAGAATTGACAATGACCCAGTGAACTTCTTCTCAGCCTTCTACTCTAGATGGTAGAGGATCTACCTGTGGCCATGTCCTCACGAACCTTAATCCCATCCCGTCCGGTTACAAACCCCGATGACACATTGAAGGGAACACGGATCACGTTTTGACAGCTCAAGTCGTCGGAACTGGCCCTTCCCATTGACGTTCTGTTACCTCACCTCCACCCCTCCCTTCCCTTCTTCCAGCTTTCCTTAGTGTCTTGAGGCAGGGAACATGGTAGCAAGCCAGCATATCAAGCAAGCACACTCACGGACGCGCGGTGCGGGGGCCACCGTAGTGATGGGGGAAGGGGGCTTGCCGCTTGGGTCGGGTGAGGCTTTATTATTATCCGCGTCGACTTGGAGTTGCCTTACTGTGCTTTGTCGTAGTACTATCTTGTGTGGGCCGGCACCCCGAGTGAGAAGTTATGAACCACGCCTTTTTTTTTTTCTACTTCTTTTTTTCCTTTTTTCCCCCCTGCTTCTCGTTTTGTGCTAAAAAGTTTATGGATTGGAAAAACGTGGATGATTGAGGTAGGTTGTAACTTTATTCGGTAAGGGAGGGTTTTTCCCCCTAATGTTTTTTTTTTTCCGGAACCATAGGAAAAGGGGGGGGGGGGTGTGAAGGAGGAAGAAAGGAATGGGAAGTGAATACGATATCATACCGGTAGCTCCCCTCCTACGAGTATGATACCTTTTCCATGGATGACGGAGAATAATAAGAACAATATTAATGCCCCGATTGGATTGAGTCCTCTTTTTTTTTTCTTCTTCCTTCTTCTCCGCTTTAATTAGAGATCTACCGTATCATACAGTACCAAAGTTACCAGTTCGGCCCTCCTCCTCCCGCAAGGCGGAGACGGAACTGGAACTCTTCCGTACCATACCATACCGTACTTTACGGTACCATACCATGAGAAAGAAAGAAAGACGGAGGGAGAAGAAAGAAACAAGACGAATCACGATTGGATTGATTAATTAACCAACCAGCCAACCATCCACCAGATCAAATCAACTACTGCACCCCGCGAAAACGTGGGTGCTATATGCGGCCCCGACGCTGCGGTTCTGTACGGGTAGGATTTATATATTATATGGGTTTCGTATTTTGTTATTTTTTTTTTTTCTTCGGAGGAAGGAAAAAAAAAAAAAGTTACCTTTTTCTTTTCTTTTTCGTTTTCGTTATTGTACGGTACTGTACAGTACAGTACTTTACAGTGAAGTGCAGTTGTCTCTCCCCTGTGGGAGGATTTTAGCCGTTATGGAGTCGGTATAGTGCCGGGACCGGTATCATACCGTACCGGTAAATGTGTGGATGGGTATCATAGATTGGGCGGTATCTACCTTTTTTGCCACAAATTTTTTTTTTTCTCTTCTGCTTAGTGGTGAGGGTACAGTACTCTACCGGTATCATAGATATGATTATGATTACGATTACGATTATGCGCACGAGTACGATACATTGCTGTGAGTTGATTGGTCGGTGGGGACAGCATCTCGCATGATACCAGTACAGTACAAGAATAATTGGTTTCTCTGGCAAAATATTATACATACGGTACATAACATATCGTGCTCCACTCCACTCCACTGCACCTTTTTCTCCCCTCCCCCTGGAAAGGGGGAGTAAAAATAGGGGTATTAAAAAAAGGAAAATGAAGCGGGAAAAAGTGGGAACTTTGCACTGCGATACGATATGATATATACGATGTATGAGACAGTACCGCGGAGGAGGAGGAGGAGGAGGAGGAGGAAGAGGGCATAAATCGGGGGTTTACCCTATCGTACTGTACTGTACAGTACGATGCAAGTTATAAAAGAACTTATGATACATATATGGTAGTTGTAGTAATATATGTAAAGTCCACCCACTATACCAGACTGACGAATCGAATCGAATCGAGAGGGAATGTGAAAACCTGTCCGGTGATTTCTATCTATCTATCTACTCGTACATGCATACTGTACATCATACAGTGAGCACCTTCTATTGTGCCTGTTTATGATAAGTTGCCAGCAAATTTACGGTACGTGCAGTACGGTACGTACTCGAGTACAGCATCATAAATTATCATATCATACATCGAAAGCCTCTCTCTCTCTCTCTCTCTCTCTCTCTGCAAACCCCCGGTTCAGGTGGCTGACGCACTCACTCTCAAAATTTAATAAGGCATGGCACTCTACGCTAAACTCGAATCCCCAACCTATTTATTTATTTATTTGTATTCCTTTTTTTTTAAAAAAAAATGCCCTTTTCAACTGTTCCATCGGGCTTGTCTATCCATACGAGTGATGCATGTATGTATGTAAGTAAGTACAAGTGCCAGGGGAGATGTCTTCGTACAAGACAGGGATTGTTTTGCGGGTTAACCTAAATTAACTGTGCGAAAACATTATCCCTGGCACTTGTAAGTAAGTAAGTAAGTAAGTATGTATGTATGTATGCACCGGGGTGGGTGAGCGATTGGGCAGACAGACAGGCAGACAGACAGACAAGAATAGTATACTATAGTACTTGAGTATGTAAAAGTTATGTGGGGCAGTAATTGCCACACCCAAATTCGATTTCGCGGGGCTTTTCCCTCTCTCTTTACGAGTATGATAACTAGTGCTCGTGAAGATGAAAAAAAAAAAAAAAAAAAAAAAAAAACGGTGAAGAGAGGAAGAGAACCATTGGCTCTCGATTCTTCTGGACCTTGACTTTGACCTGGACTTGGACTCTGTACTAGTACTGTGCCTATCCCTTGCATCTTCATGTGGTAGATATGTCTCTGCTGTGTAGGGTACGGTAGGTAGGTAGGTAGGTAGGTAGGTAGGTAGGTAGGTAGGTAACTCACGGATGCCATGCCTGGTCATCCCTGCCAAGATGGTATCTAAAGGAGCTCGCGGGGGGGTTGGGGTTGAGTACGGTACCGGTAGACCTCTTTGTGCCTAGTTACATGTTTAACCACTTAACCACCTTCCTAGACTGGACTTGTATCTTTTTTTCTTTTCTTTTCCCCCCTACTTGCCTTGGGGTTCGGGAATACCCGTGTCTTCTTTCTCTCTTTCTTCACTTGAGGGGGAACTCACTCGTTGTGACGTCCCGTATTATGATACTCGAATATCATAATCGTGGAATGATACGGGGAAGAGAGAGAGAGAGCGTGTGTGTGTGTGTGTGTGTGTGTGAACCCAGGTACCGTACCGTATGATATGATAGGTACCGTAGGGATATTAGGTCTCTGGGAGTTTTGGTATGGGAGATTTAACTTTGCCGGCATGTTTCCAATGGGCTTCGTGAAAGGTGCATGGTTTGTGGCATGAGGGGGAGGGTGTTCTCCTGCAGATCAATCCCTTATAGCGGGTACTTGTACCTACAGCAGTTACCCTCGTGGAGCTTGCTTTACAGTACAGTACGGTGCTTGTCCCAGGCGAGAAGTACTCGTACTGTCGTTGAATGCAGGGGGGGAGGTTTTTTTTAAATTTTTTTATGGTTCTCAGATACGGGTTGTTTTCTTTTTTTTTTGCAATGTACCGGTATTTCTTTGATCCTCGTTTTAGGGTGCTTCTGGCCTGGGACAGGTGGATGGGATGGGATGGGAATTGTTTTGGTCAGGGAATGTTCGGATGTCTGTACAGTACAGTTGCCATACGGTATGTGGGCTTGAAGTGTGTGGGATGGATGGAGGATATGTGAGCACGCAAAGTACCGGTGTATGGGGAGTCTGTGTCACGCACTGTGCTGGATTGTGCTGCATGATCGATCGTTGCTTGTCGACCTATGATACTTGTACCTACCGTACGGTATTAGTAGGGACCACTAGCTCATCGGAGAGCCCGAGCAACGGAAGCCATCTCATGTCCCATGGTACTCGAGTACTATACCTCCCCTCCTCGCATCTCGCTCCCCATCCGGCTCCCTACTGTATCCGTGCCCGCCCACTCCATCGTATAGCTACCGCACCCGGCCCCGATTGGTTGGAATGGAATCAAGGTGAGTGTGGTGGTGGTGGTGGTCCTTCGCATCTTTCGCTTCATCCCTTCTTTCCTCACTACCGCAACGCTCGATCACCAGGAACAACACACTCTACAACTCCGAGCCCTTCCGGCCAACGGAGAATCCCACGTCTGAACTACCGATATGCCTGCTTCACACTGACAGATTTGCCTCTGACAACGGTGCATCATCGTACATACCGTACGGACGCTTGTCCCTGTAAAAATTAATCAGAATCCCTAGCTATTCGTTCGTTTTTGGACTCCACATTTCAGCTTACATTGCCTCGAATCGTCTCCCTCATTTCGGGCCAGTTTTACTGGCCCAGCTTGGGCACTGGGCCGATCGTGCCGACGGAGGTGTTTAGCCGGCGCGGCGATGAAGCCGGAGTCTCGGCACCTGGCCGGGAGGTTTTCCTTATTTATTCCTTTATTTCATTTTTCTTTTTCCCTTTTCTTTTCTTTTTTCCCTTTTCCTTCTTGTCCATATTATTAGCGTTGCATCGTGACAGGGTGCGCCTTTTGTTCCTCTCGCAAATTATTGAGGAGATGGTCTTTATTTTTGGTCTGGTGTACTTACCGATATGCTTTGCATTAAGTGGGCCTGAGGGGAGGAAGGGAGCGGAAGAGGGTCGGGGGATGGACTGATTTTGTTCAAAGAGTTACCGCTAAGGGGAATTGTGAAGTTGCCCGGAAATAGCTTTCGGATGAAGTGCTTCAGTTCTCTTGCGTCACGATTGTGTGCGCCGCCTTTTTTTTTCTTTCTTTTCTTTTTCTCCCTTTTTGCCTCCTACATTTCTCGTGCTACCTCTTTGTGCCTCATCGCCTGATTCTTGATGGATCAGCTGAGGTTCTCCATGACCCTTTGTGTCACGAGAGTTGCATCAAAGATCCGGATCGATTTTTCTGCCC